AAGCATGTATCCATTCGGATCTTGCTTTCAATTGTTGTTCAAGAAGACTTGGAACTGGAGCAATTAGACGTTAAAACCGCCTTTCTACATGGTGAGCTAGAGGAGAAGATATACATGACTCCTCCAGAAGGTTATGAATCCATGTTTGGAGCAGATGAGGTATGTCTACTCAACAAGTCTCTGTACGGTCTTAAGCAGGCTCCACGATAGTGGAATGAGAAGTTTGACAACTATATGTCTGAGATTGGTTTTGTGAGGAGCAAGTATGACAACTGTGCATACATCAAGAGTCTACAAGATGGGTCGTTGATGTATCTACTGATATATGTTGATGACATGCTTGTGGCTGCACGAAACAAGGAAGCTATCGTTCAGTTAAAGAAGGAGTTAAGCAACAAGTTTGAAATGAAGGACCTAGGTGCTGCAAGAAAGATCCTAGGCATGGAAATCATCAGAGATCGTACTGCTGGTGCTTTGTGGTTATCTCAGGAAGGTTACTTGAATAAAATCCTGCAGACTTACAACATGAGTGAAGCTAAAGCCACGACAACTCCTTTGGGAGCTCATCTTAATCTAAGAGCAGCTACTGACGCTCAATTATCTGAAGATGAAGACTTTATGAAGTCTGTTCCATATGCAAATGTTGTAGGAAGCATAATGTATGCTATGGTGGGGACTAGGCCTGACTTGGCTTACTCAGTTGGGGTAATTAGTCGCTTTATGGGTCAACCGATCAAGGATCATTGGCTTGGGGTCAATTGGGTTCTGAGGTACATCAAAGGAACACTGAAGACTCGACTTTGATACAAGAAAAGCTCTGACTTCAGTGTTGTTGGGTACTGTGATGTAGACTATGCTGCAGACCCTGACAGAAGAAGATCTACTACGGGTCTTGTATTCACTCTCGGAGGAAACACCATAAGTTGGAAGTCTGGTTTACAGCGATTCGTTGCCTTATCTACTACAGAGTCTGAGTATATGTCACTCACGGAAGCAGTTAAGGAATCAGTATGGCTCAAAGGGTTGCTGAAAGAGTTCGGATATGTTCAAGACTGCATAGAAATCTTCTGCGATTCTCAAAGTGTAATTGCTCTGTCGAAGAACAATGTGCACCATGATAGAACGAAACACATCGATGTGAAGTGTCATTGCATTCGAGAGTCGAGACATCATAGCAGATGGAGATGTGGAAGTGTTGAAGATATCAACCGAGAAGAATCCGACTGATATATTCACCAGGTGTTGGCGGTTAGCAAGTTTCAGGAAGCTTTGAACTTGCTACGAGTCAAGCCTGAGTAATAAACTCAGGGAATCCGAGTCTGGAATCCAGGATACTAAACAAGGTACTCTCTCTCCCTCTCACGTTATTTATAAAATACAGGTTTCTTCTGTTTGTTCTTCAAATGATCAGGTGGAGATTTGTGAAGTCTTGATAACTTGAAGAACAAGGAAATTCAAGTTTGGAGCTTGTCACGATGGGACCACATTACTAACTGGATACTATGATCAGCGATGATCATGGTTGGGTTAAATGGGGGACCACTTTGAAGCTGGCATAACAGCTACTGCGGATACGAGACAAAGCAGCAGCCTCGCCTCCAAGCTCAAAGACTTCCCTGTCCGTTTCTGGTCAAAGAAGAAAGCACTTTTGGAGGATTCACAATCGCATTTACAGGACTGTGTTTTGGCGTTACAAAGCGGGTGGAGGTGCCGTTGCGTTATCAGGAAGCCCTAAGGTGTTAACACTATGAGAAGGCTTCTTGTGGTTTGAGAGTGAGTGAGTGTGAAACTTAGAGTTGTTAGAGAGTGAGAGAAATACTTATTAGCTTAAGCTTGTTCATTGTATTTCTCGGTCACAAGAGGAAGAACAGAGTGGACTCTACAGACGCTAGTGAAGGACGGTAGTAAGGAACACTTGTTCTCCTCGGATATTTGTAAACTCTCGGTGCTGTTTAGTGTATTCCGAGCAAGGCTCGGCGAGACGTAGCGTTCTGGTTTGGATGTGAACTCGTTAAAGTTTCTGTGTGCTCCCTTTCTTCGTTAGTTCTTCTTCTTCTTCTTCTGTTACTCCTCTGTTTCTCCCCTGTTTCGCATTCAAACATCTCTCTCTCTTGATCTGTTTCGATTCTATCTTAAGGAAAGTCGACGCCTTGAGGTTCATAGATCCTAACAGTAACAACGAAGGTATATTCCATTGTAGTGTTTGTTTTTATTATGGCACTGGCTTCTTCTATGAGGATCAGATAGGAGACACAAGGTTCCGGCTAGACTTACGTTGTGCTTCCATTACTGAACCATTTCAATACCAAGGCCACAAACATCCTTTGTTCCTGCCTCTAGAGCCCTCGAGAGCTCTAATAATTATTATTTATTATTAGAGCTTTCTAGAATATTCAGAGGTTTTTCTGATTTATTATAAATAAGCCGTTTAGGCATTCATTGTAAATCAGACTTTGATGAATTAATAAAAAGGGATTTCCTAAAACTAAAAGAGGTTTTGATAAACCACTGTGAAGAGTATTCACAAACCCTAGTTTCCGGGTATTCTCAGAATCAACGGATCTAGTTATATCCGTAGTAGCTTCCGCTCCATCAGTTGGTATCAGAGCTGCATCTCTTTGATTTCTTAATCGAAGAACGATTCTGGATCACGATGAGTAGTTGCATCTACACTTTCGAGGGTGAAAGTCCTTTTGTCGAGAGAGAAGAGAGCCAAGAGATTTATAGAAAAAATCTATGGTAATCCGATCTACGACGTCTATGAAGATGATGTTCGTGTTATGGACTTTATTTTCAAAGAAGGTACCTTTGAGAATCTGATGCGTGCAAAATCCGTGCATAGTCAGATTAGAATAAGTTTGGTGCATGATCCGGTTGGTGCGAAACTCGTGTATGATCGGATTCTGGCGAAAAACGTGCAGATTCAGATCCGTGCAAAGTCCGAGCAGAATCGAAGATTTCCAAGGTCGCAAGAGAAGCAGATCTGTGATGAATTCGGTTCATGCAAAATCGGTGCAGATTCGGTTTGTGCAAATTTCATACAAAGTTTGGTTCGTTCAAAAACCGTGTATTATCAAAATATTAAACCGATATGGAAAAACCGATTGAAGATTCGAGGGCGAATCTTTCTTGGCCGGCGAGACCTGATGCAGCGTGATATTTAGAATATTTCCAAATATCTTAAATATTTTTATTATTTAATTATTTGTGTATTTAGATAATTATTATTTATTATTTAGAGCTTTCTAGAATATTCTGGGGTTTTTATGATTTATTATAAATAAGCCGTTTAGGCATTCATTATAATTCAGACTTTGATGAATTAATAAAAAGAGATTCCCTAAAAGAGGTTTTGATAAACTACTGTGAAGAGTATTCACAAACCCTAGTTTCCGGGTATTCTCAGAATCAACGGATCTAGTTCTATCCGTAGTAGCTTCTGCTCCATCACACAGGGACCAAACAAAAAAACTGCAATTTCTTAAATGCGATGACTGCTGGGTGACTTTTTTTGTTGGTAAAATATTAAATTTTATACCATTTTTTTTAGAATTATGACAGAAATTACAGAGAAGGTTCGGATTCTCCCATCAATTGTGTAAAACTCATTATATTTAATGGAGCATTAGTTACTTGAGAGCTAACAAAGTTGAAAATTTAACAATACTTCGCTCTTTTGACTCTACAATGCAATAAAAGAGTTATATCGTGACCGGTGACCCATACGCAGTTCAGCCTTGTATACCATTTTGAGAGTGGAATTAGAGCAAAGCCCAAAAGCAATGGTTATGATCCAACCGATAAGAAACAAACACAATCAGTCTAACACCGTTTAGTTCCGTAACTCTTACTAACTCTGGTCGATTGATAATCTACTTCCAAGTTCGAATTCAAATTATTTTTTAAAGCGGGGAAGTCTTTACATTTTTGTTTAGAATTCAATAAAGGGATAATTGTGTTGTGCGAGTGGGTCTTCTATACAATTTTTGTTTAAAATGTTGAAATGATGATATATGTATATCGATCGTCCTACGTGAAAGTGACTTCAAAGATTTTTGTCAGAGGATCGAAAACAATAACTAAAGACTTTCTATAACAAAGATACAAAAGTGGTAAAGGACTTTAAGACCATTGACCAAAAATAATTAGAATAATAGGCAGAAATATAAACATAAACCAAAGTTAGCTGTATTTTTGATTGATCTTACATAAATTAATATAATTAACTCGTGTGAAGAACTTCAAATTGGAAGTCAACATCTTGAAGCTATATATACAGCATAGGGATCCTTATCTTTAAGTAAGTATTTGTTTAAAAAGGCAATTAATTTTGTGCAGTGGGAGTATTAAATGAAACATTTTTTATTTCACAACGATATTGATTTGCAACCTTTTTTGTTTGACAATTGCTAACCCTAACACCTTTTTTTATTTTTGTGGAGTATATATATATATTAGTAATTTACAAAATCAAAATATATAATCTATTTTGATCTAATCTTATATGTATTGATGTATAAATGCATTTAAAGTAAACTTTAGAAACAAGATCCGGAAGAGACGGTCTCCTCTCTATTAAAAGACTGCACAGAGCGATTCGAAATCAATAATGAATGAGTATATATAGCAATAAATATAAAAAGACCAAGATTAGTTAGCTGTATTCGCAAGTTCTATATATTTTATGTTTGGCTAAAATGAATCAATTGCTCATATGCTGCGATTTCATGAAAAAGATTTCATATACTATTGTTATACTTGATAAACTTATTTTGTTTTTTTTTTAAAATTAAAATATAGAAAATACTTTCTAAATCTTTAACGAATCGGAGAAAATATATATTTAATTTAAAATTATCTATTTTAACCATCAACCCGACTAAATGAAATGGATCATAAAATTTCTAAATTTTCTAATTTTTTTTCTCGTTCTTCATCGAACATCTTTCCTTCTTCATCTGAGTAAGAAAGGGATAATTTTCCATTAATCCCAAAAAAAAATGTCGGTCCGAAATTTTTCTTTGATTCAGGTTGTTCTAGTAGAGAAGAATGTTCAATTTCCATGAAATCTGATGAAAAGGTAAAAACTGTGTTTTGTCTATACGATTCAAGATTTGAATTTATTTCCATAAAGATGGTGATTCTAAATCGAGATTAGGTGCTACAGCTGCTGATGGTGCCTCTATTTCTATTCACCGAATTTTTTACCAATTAGTTTTACAAATACTATATCAAACGAAACTATTTTATAAAAATGAGATATAATACAGTAGATATTATAATATGGTATAAGTATATTTTCGACAATTGATGGTAGGTCATGGTTAGTTTATAAATTATTCATACACTATGACTATATTCTTTATTTCAACTCTCAGTGTGGTTATATATGCAAAACAACTCAAAGTTGTAGGGAAAACTTTTTTTGTTTGATTATTTGTAAACATTTAGTATAATGACAATTATGCAGGCAAGACGTAACCATGATGAACAAATAAATAACTCTAGATAAAATTTTATAAACAAGTTCCGTAAGAGACGGTTTCTTTGATTGAAAAGTATAGATGGGACCATCAATTAGCAAAGAGGCACTACTTTTATTGATAAGTTTATAACAAAGATTATAAAAGACAAATGCTTAGCTGTATTCCCAGAGTTTTATAATAACTGACTTGCTATAGACATGACAAAGTGTAAAGGAGAAGTAGAATATCACAAGAACCCAAATCTCCATTGTAGCAAAGATGAGTTCTGTGGGTGTATTTCGTAAGGTGGATATTGATGAAGAATCATATTGGGAATACACATTATTAACACAAACAGATAACAACACAGACTCCTCCGGTGAAGCAGCACGTATCAACCTCTTCTCTTCTGTCCTGTTGGCGACCACCTCCCTTTTCAAACGCTCTTTCTTCTGGTGGAGACAACCTTCAACCTCTTTCTTCTGTCCTATTGCACGTATCAGATTTCTAGAGTTGAAACTAAAGGAGGACAATGCTGATCATCACGATCATTACAAGTTGCATCCAGTCAATTCTTCCCCTCATTTCCCCACCACAAGAAGCGGTAATCAACAAGGAGATCAATCTCTTCTTGATTGCGACCAAGATGATATATGTAAGCTCCCTGTAGTTCATCTTAAATACGTTGACGACGAATTCGAGTGCGGTGTTTGCAGAAAGTCATGGGTCAGCACAAGCTATTATGCATGTCTCGGATGTAAGAAAAAGTTCCACAAACAATGTGTTGAGTCTCCACTTGAGATCAAACACCCTTCCCACAGCTTTCATTCCCTAAGACTCTACAGTCAAGGCATGGGTAACAAATGCATTTCGTGCGATGCAAGTATCTACAGCGATTTGTTTTATCATTGCACTACCTGCGAGCTGTTTATGCATCCGATATGTGCGATGAAGTCAATACCATTCGTTGAAGACCATCCAAAAACTCATCCCCACCCACTCACTTTTTTCCCTACACAAGCTTCTTTAGTTTGCCATATATGTGGCCTGATCAAGAACCTTGATCCCACATACATCTGTGTCGAATGTATCTTCGTAATCCACAAAAACTGCATCGGTTTCCCACATGTTATAAGGATATCTCGTCACCAACATCGTCTCTCTTTTACACCTTCTCTTCCACCTGGAGAATTATCTTGCGGAGTCTGCCATAAACTGGTGGACAACAACTATGGTGCATACTCTTGCAGTAAAGGTGAAGCCTTTTTTGCTCACTCAAAATGTGCGTTAAACCCAAAGGTGTGGGATGGAAAACACCTCGATGAAGTACCAGAAGAAGATGATATAATAGACGATGGTGAGCCGTTCAAGAGGATAGCTGATGGGATAATACTCCATCCTTATCATACTCACAATCTGCGTCTTGAGATCATCAAAGCTTTTGACGAAAACAAGTATTGCCGAGGATGTTCAGTTCCAATCTACGAAGGTCAATTCTACTCATGCATGGAGTGCGACTTCATCCTCCACGAGAGCTGTGCAAACGCTCCACGCATGAAACGACATCCTTTACGTCCACATCCACTTACACTAGTTGCTGCCACCATTGGACCTGGTAACAACGAAGGTATATTCTACTGTAGTGTTTGTTCTTATTATGGTACTGGCTTCTTCTATGAGGATAAGATAGGAGACACAGTGTTCCGGCTAGACTTACGTTGTGCCTCCATTACTGAACCATATCAATATCAAGGCCACAAACATCCTTTGTTCCTGCCTTTGGAGCCCTCGAGAGAGGCACGCTGTCAAACGTGCAAATACCAAAGCTACGATTGGAAAATAAACTATTGCATCGAATGTGATTATATCATATGTTTCCGTTGCGCTACCTTGCCGTACAAGGTAAGGTACAAGCATGACGATCATTTCCTCACGATTTGCGATGGGAAAGAGGCAGGTGATGAACCAGATTGGTGTGAGATTTGCGAAGGCAAGATAGAGGAAATCAAAGAAAGAGAGTATCACGGGGACCAAACAAAAGAACTGCGATTTTACAAATGCGATGACTGCTGCACAACTCTTCATGTTGAATGTTTACTTGGGGTGAACATTTACATGAAACCATCTGGTAATGCTATAAAAGACTACGTTTATTTTACAAAGTACTCGTATGAAAGTGAAGGTACGGAATGGATAAAGGTTCGGATTCTTCTCAACAGTTCTCTCTCCCGACCAAATTGCACCGGATGCAACCGACGTTGTCCGTTCCCAATAGTTTTCAAAGGGTTTGATAAGAAGATATTTTGTTCTTGGGATTGTATTGGATATGATACCTGGTGACTTAAGATCGAACGAGTTATCTCTTTTTCTATTCTTGTTAATTTGACGTATTTATGTTTATCGGCTCTTTTTTTGTTCTTATTAATTAATTTTCATTGTGAGCTGTAACTTTCTACATATTTTTTAAAAAAATATATTTTGTGTATTTTACTTTTTCTTGAATTTTACTATGTTTATGATTTTGATGTTTGGTTATATGACTATGTTTGCTCAGTTGGTCGAGAGCTTTCATCTTCCCTTTGACATTTCATAATGAATTCAGACGTTCAAAAAAATAAAAAATCTTAGCCACAATTTCAACTACTTTTTAAAAATAGTGTTAGAAAATCATAAATAAATAAAAATTTTCAAAAAAAAAAATCATAAATAAATGATGTTTTGTCCGCTTGTGGTTTTTAAAAGTATAGTAGGATATATAAGTATAGTATTGGGTGTTATGGGGGTTAATTATCACGCTATTCAAAGATATTATTGTGATGTGAAATAAAAGTTGAAGTTTCGCTTTGAACTATCTTAAGCAGTGATTAGGTACTAACACAGTCACAGATCTTGTGATTGGTTGCAATGATGCAATTAAAGCAGTTACTGCATGAGGTATAGCCGTATATATAGTCAATCACGAAACATAAAAGTGTAACTAAAATCTAAATATTTAGTCATGATAAATGTAGTGAAAATTTTGTAGCTTTTCTCTTTCGTTGACCATCTAATAAACCTGTGTTAATTTCTACATAGTACGTAGGAGATGGGAAAGAGAGAGTAGAGAAAAAAAGGATATTCTCATTAATTGTGTAAAACTCATTTACATATGGTTTATATAATGGGGAGCATTAGTTACTTGAGAGCTAACAAAGTCTCTAACCCCCGTCAACTGAAGCTAAAGCAGTATCGGTTTGATATGTACGTGAAGTGACTTGAACGATTTTTGTCAGAGGGTCGAAAACAATAATTAAAGACTTTCGATAACAAAGGATACAGAAAGGGTAAAGAACTTTAAGGCCATCGACCAAATATAATTAGAATAATACGCAGAAATACAAACATAACCAAAGTTAGCTGTATTTTGATTGATCTTACATAAATTAATATAACTCGTGTGAAGAAGTTCAAATTGGTAGTCTCTAATAAGTATTTGTTTAAAATGGCAATTAATTTTGTGAATTGGGAGTATAAAATGATTTTTTTGCTTGTTTGACAACAACATTGATTGCAACCTTTTTTGTTTGACAATTGCTAACCATATAGCTGTTATGTATAGAGTCAAAAGTAGTGGTGGCCAATTAACCATTTTTGTTTTGTTTTTGTCAGGGAGCAGGTGATTATTTTTTGTTGTTGTTAAGTTGGGCACAGGTAAATCAAGATGAGAAATTAAAATATAAAATCTATTTTGATCTAATCTTAGATGTATTGTTGTATAACTGCATTTTCATATAAAAGTAAACGTTAGAAACAAGATCCGGAAGAGACGGTCTGTTCTCTATTAAAAATTATAGAAATCAAGCCATATAAAAGACTGTACAAAATCAATAATGAATGAGTATGTATAGCAATGCATATAAAAAGACCAAGATTAGTTTAGCTGTATTGGTAAGTTTTAAATTTAATGGCTGGCTAATATATACATGCAAAGGGGGGAAAGAAGCAGAAGAAGAAGAAGAGTATCACAAAAATCCTAAATTCCCATTTTTGTGGCAGCCATGACTTCCATGGGTGTATTTCATAAGGTGGAAATGGATGAAAAGCCATTTTTGGTATGCACATTAACACAAACACAAACACAACCACAAAATCCAACAACCCAACGAAAATTCAAAAGAATAATTAGAGGACAAAAACCAGAAAATCCAACTCCAACCTCTTCCCTCCCTCTTCAAACCCTTTTTTTCTGTCCGCTCACACGTGTCAGGTTACAAAAGTCGCGACTAATTGAAGACGGTTACGAGCGAGACTACGACGACATCGATGTGGAATATGGTGATATTACTCATAATTTTCTTGAACACAGGGTCCAAGACGAGAAGGTCGTTAACAAAGAGCTTCTTCGATTCAACTCTCCTCCTCACTTCGCCAGCACAAGAAACATACACCTACGTTCTCTTCACTGGGACAAGGACAATCGTTATTTCTGTAAGCTCCCTGTACTCCCTCTCTTTTGGTGCAACAATAAAGAACCGGAAAATTACGAATTCAAGTGCGGTTTATGCCTATCGGCAACGGTCAACGTAAGCTACTACGCATGTCCTCAATGTCAGAAAAAGTTCCACAAAGAATGTGTAGAGTCTCCACTTGAAATCAAACACCCGTCCCACCCCTTTCATACTCTTCAACTTCGAACACCCATCGCTCCTCCTGATCGATGGTACAAACTCTGTACTTCTTGTGGAAAAGATCTTGCCAACATGAGTTATGAGTGTACCACCTGCGACTTAAGCATGCATCCGGTCTGTGCGTTGAAGCCTGTACCCTTTGTTCTCGACCACCCAAAAAGCCATCCCCACCCTCTCACCTTTTACCCTGCGCAAGCTTCTTTGGTTTGCCAGTTCTGTGCTCAGGTCAAGAAGCATGATCCCACGTACATCTGTATCCAGTGCGTCTTCGCAATCCATAAAGACTGTCTCGGTTTCCCACATGTCATAAGAATATGTCGCCACCAACACCGACTCTCTTTCACCTCTTCTCTTCCACATGGAGAGTTCCCTTGCGGAGTCTGTTGGCAACAAGTTGACAACAACTATGGTGCATACACTTGTAGTAAAGGCGATGCTTATTTTGTTCATTCAAAATGTGCTTTACATCCAAAGGTTTGGGATGGAATAGATCTCGACGGAGTACCAGAAGAAGATGATATGATAGATGATGGTGAGCCGTTCAAGAGGATAGCTGATGGGATAATACTCCATCCTTTCCATAGTCACAATCTGCGTCTTGAGACCAGCATAGCCTATGATGGAAACAAGTTTTGTCGAGGGTGTGCCTTTCAGGTCTACGAGGGTCAAATCTATTCATGCATGGAGTGCGACTACATCCTCCATGAGAGTTGTGCATATGCTCCACGCATGAAACGACATCCTTTAGATCCACACCCACTCAAACTTGTCACCATGGGATCTGGTAGTACAAGCGCTCTAATACAATGTCGTGCATGTGACCGTGACATTTCTGGTTTCTACTATGAGCATTATGCAAGAACCGGTAACTGCCTGCTAGACCTAAGTTGTGCATCGATAACCGAGCCATTTAGATATAAAGGCCACGAGCATCCTTTATTCATACCTTTGGAGCCAAAAGAAGGCGCGCGATGTCAAATGTGTAGATCAGAAGAAAGTAAAGACTTGAAACTGATTTGCATGGAATGCGATTATATTATATGTTTCCGTTGCGCTACCTTCCCATGCAAGGCAAGGTATAAGCATGACGATCATTTTCTCACGCTCTGCGATGGGAAAGAGGCAAGTGATGAACCAGACTGGTGTGAGATTTGCGAAGGCAAAATAGAAGAAGTGAAAGAGATAGGGAATCGCAAGACGAACAAAAAAGAAAGGCGGTTTTATAAATGCGATGAATGCTGCACCACTCTTCATGCTGAATGTTTACTTGGGGTAGACATTCTCATGGTACCTGGTAATACTATAAAAGACTGCATTGGTCGTTTCTACAGTTATTACAAGGACGAAGATGCGAGTAGACTTTGGCGCAATAAGGATGTTCGTATTCTTCTCAACAGTTCTCTCTCCCGACCACTCTGTAATAGATGCCAGCGACGCTGTCCATTCCCAATATATTTCGAAGGGCAGAACAGAGACTTTTGTTCTTGGGATTGTACCCAAAATGGTGAATATTACTGAGCATCTGACGAGTTATTATCTCCTTGTTCTTTGAAGTATTTTGATATTCTTGTTGTTGGTTCTTTTCACATTTCTATTTCTTTTAACAGTGTACATCAAGTATTTTTGTTTATTCATTTCCTTGAATTTTAGCCACAAACAGCTAATTTAAAAAAAAAACGAATACATGTGAAACTATTTATACAATTTAAATAATAAAGAAAAGATAAAAGAGATTTTTTACATAATTTTAGTTTGTTTTTGGGGGTTAACTCTTATAGTATTAAATTATTAATAATATGTACATTGTATATGACATTGTTTTCCTACGTGAAGTCCTGATATGTTCCCGTTCCGAGATGGGATCTGAAGGCTTGTTTCGATCGAAAGCGCATTTTTCATGAAGAACTAAACTTTAGAAACACGATCCGGAAGAGACGGTCTCATATCTAATAATAAAAAGAATAGAAATCAATATAAGAAAAACAATAATACGTATATTCAAAATTAATAATGAACCGACTGTTTATACACAGAACATATAAAAAAAAAAAACCTAGCTTAGCTGTATTCTTAATTAGTTCTCTATGAATCGACTTGTTAAAGATATGTAAGGGGGGTGAGAAAGAAATTAAGAGAATATCACAAAAAGAAGTCCAAATCTCCATTATTGTAGCAGCCATGAGTTCCATGGGTGTATTTCGTAAGGTGGGAATGGATTTGGTATAGCCATGGATTCTGGTGGTGACGACCTTCCTCTTCAACCTCTTTTCCTCTGTCCTGCTGCACGTATCAAATTTCTTAAGTCAAAACTAGAGGACTATGATCATGACAATCATTACCAGCTTCATCCATTCGACTCTTCTCCTCACTTCCCAAACACAAGATCAAGCGGTGATTATCAGCAAGGCGAATCTCTGCTTGATTGCGACGACGGCGATGGTATCTGTAAGCTTCCTGTAGTCCCTCTCTTTTGGTGCAACAACAATAAAGAACCTGATTTCTACGAATTCTGTTGCGGTGCATGCCGAGAGAACAGGATCAGCACAAGCTATTATGCATGTCTCAAATGTGAAAAAAAAAGTTCCACACAAATTGTGTAGAGTCTCCACCTGAGATTGTGTCACCCTCTTAAACTATCCTTTCAGCGTAACAACTCTGTACATCGCTTTTGTGGTCGTGGAACTACCACGGAATTGAGTTATCAATGTACTACCTGCGATATGAGTATGCACCTCATCTCTGCGAAGGAGCCTGTACCCATTGTTATAAACCATCCAAAAAGCCATCCCCACACACTCACATTTTTCCCTAGACAAGCTACTTTAGTTTGCAATATTTGTGGCCTCATTAAAAGTGACTGCTGCACGGCTCTTCATGGTACATGGTAATACTATTAAAGACTGCATTGGTCGTTTCCACAATTATTACCAGGACAAGATGTACGTAGACTTTGTAATAGATGCCAACGACGCTGTCCATTCCCATTATATTTCGAAGGGCAGAACAAAGACTTTTGTTCTTGGCATTGTACCCCAAAATGGTCATTATTACTGAGCATCTGATGAGTTATCTCCTTCTTTTTGTTTGTGTTTTCTTTTAATGTGAAAGTATTTTTGATAATTCTTGTTGTTGGTTCTTTTTCACATTTCAATGTAAGATGTAACTTTCTATTTCTTTTAACTTTCACAGTTTCACCTCACCATCTCTCTCACATGTCACATGCTTCTACTTTATAGACCCAAACTCACAAGAAAATCGAATTTTTGTTGCAGTTTTGATCCTCTGCCATTGAAATTCTTGATTCTTCTCCTTTGTGTTCTCTCTGTATCCGAAGTCCAGCAAGATCTTTGTCTTCATCCATGTTTCCACTTCTCGTGTATGCATAAGGAACACAATGATGAGATTTATCTAGATGAACAAGTTTACTGTCGACCTCTGAATCTTTCACCTGCTCCGTCTGATTTCACTCCTCAGCTCTCAAAGCTCATTTTACAGCAGTTGTTTGCCATCTGCAAGGAGACAAGGATCATCATTCAAAAAGTTCTGCAGAGAAGACGAGTGTGGAACGAGAGGGCTTAGGGCTCTTGATGTTGTTCTTTTATAATATCATTACTCAACTAACCACTATTCGAATTAAACCGACTCAGAAACTTAACTTCATTAAAAATTTATGAAATGTTAAGGGAGAAAACTATATAGAATTTCCAAAAGTGACTATGGTTTAGGGAGATAACAATGTCGTGGATTACCTGCTCAGGAATGCAGATAGATTGGAGTGAAACCCGCTTAGATGCTCCAACTCTGATAAGTCCCATAACAACTTTTTCAAGGTCCCCAGCTCGAGAGCATGGATATTACATCTGATATGAACATCATGAAACAGGGATCATGAAGCACATTTGCATGGTTATGCCCTTGTGGATATGCAATACTTGTTTGTCTTCACCAAGGAAATCAATTCTACTCATCAAGACGAAGCTGTTTCTTCAAATACTCCCAATGCTTAGGCCCATCGGGATGTCGGTTTACAAAGCGAGCCACAAACCGTTGGTCCGAGCACACAAGTAAACTGCTGATTGCCTTTACTTTTTTGCCTTTCAGACACGGAATCATCCCTAACCTGAGCTTCATCCGCTGGAGAGTGAACACAAGACACGAAGGGAAAGCCACAAAGGTCGAGAGCGGATAGCCTAGTTCCTTGACAATGTAGTTCACCTTTGCTTCCACGAGATCAGAAGCTTGAGATAAGATCGGAGGGAATGCTTTCACCATATATCTCACATCCTTCTCGTTCAGACCCAAACTCACTAGGAAATCGAACCTTTGTTGGAGCTCTGATCCTCTGCCACGGAACTTCTTGACCGCTCTCTCCATCTCCTCTGAGTTCTCCTCGTATCCGAGGTTCAACAAGAACCGTGTCTTCATTAATCTTTCCTCTTCCAGGGTACTAGGCAGTGGCAGGACCCTTAAACCCATTGTCCATTTCTTCATCTCCTCTGGGTTTTCTTGGATGATTTGACAAAGCCGCCTAGCCCCGACATTCAGTTTGCAGATTAAGGTTTGAGTTTTCTTCAAAGTACACGCACCGAGCCAAGAGGAGTGAGAACGGAATATCTTCCCCATCTCATTACACTCCATCTTGATCTGGCTTAGGAACAAGAAGCAATGCCTTAGATTCAAAACACATTTCTCTACCTGAATATCCGGGAAATTCTGAAAGAAAGATGAGAGTTCGCTTCTAGATGACCCGAGCTTTGTTTGAAACCCAGCTAGAAACAGAGTCCATTCCCCTGAATCCTCAAAAACAAGTCTTGGCTGCTTCTTGAGTAACTCACATAGCTGCTCATTCTCATCGGAAAAGAGATCTCTTAGCAAGCTTAAAGCCCTATGCATAGAGCTCCAATCATAAGATTCCTCCTCCTCTGACAAGTTCTCATTCACCCAATCAACACCAATTCCTATGGATCTCAGAATCTCTAAAGCCTTAGCCACTTCAACATTCATATTCCCAATCAAGATACTCGGGCTACAAAAGATGATTCTTGACACAAACGATTTCGTCAGTCCCAAATCCTCGAAAGCCTTGATCTTGGAAGCTAAAACACCAGTTTCATACCTGAAAACTTCCCTAGCTTCCTTGAAGATCTTCCCCATCTGCTTGATTCCAATCCCATAGATCCAAAAAGTATTGTAATTCTCAAGCAAGAATGCATCTTCATTCAAGAACATCTTATCACTGGGAAGCAGATGACTGTACTCCGATGGCTTCAGGCCTAAACTCTCGAAGAAAGGCTCGAATTCGTTTATGGGATGAAACCGTAGAAACTTAGTGATCGATAGAGCGATATCAGCATCAGCAGCATCACAATTCAACTTCTCTAAGAGATTATCACTGAAAAGAGGCGCGTTCTTACTCATACTCTCTGCGACCGGAAACTGCAACCCCCTCGTGACATAGAAGTAATCCAACATCGCAACCTGAGCCTTTCTCTGATTCTCATTTCGTGTTCTAACACTCAGTTTCTTGCCGGCGCCGACGGTGGCGAAAGACCTAGGATTTATGGTAAAATGAAGATGAAACCCAGTTCCAGAAACCTGGGGTTTGATCTGAGTTTCTGCGGAAACTTGAGATACCCATTTGAGAAGAGAGATTAATCTAGGGTTTCGCATAAGAGACATAACCTCTTCTCGAGTTCTGGCAGTTTCTGGTCTGAAGACGGAAAACGGAAAACGGAAGACATATGCTGGAAATTGCTTATTTAATTTCTGAATATAGGTAAATTTATTTTCCAACTATCATGTATGCATATTAATCATCAACTTAAATTTAATTTCATAAATTTAGACATAAAAAAGTAACATTAAAGAAAAAAACAGAAACAACAAAAACTTGAGAAATTAAACAATTATTTTTTATTTAGAAAATTATGATTATTTTTATAAATTGTGATTATTTGTAAAATACCATCAAATATTTTTTTAAGAAATATTATTTTATTATATTATGTTATCTGTTGTTATGAATAAAATTTATAAAATTATATGTATTTAATTCTGGTGATTTTTTTTTTATTGGCAAATTTTTTGGTTATCAACCAATGATTATTCACCTATCATACGGTTACTCTATTAGAAGAAACAATTTTCATCAAATTCACTTGTTTTCATCTATTTTTTTCAGTATATGGTAGTATTTGGTTATCAACCGATGATTATTCTCCTATCAATTAGGACTATTTATTTTATTAATTATCTGTTCAATATATATATATATATATTAAATTTCTCAAAATTTTCTGATTTTTTTTGAAATTATCCAAAATATATATCTTGAAGTTGATCTTTACCCAAATTACTGGGAGTTTGAGAAGAGATTTTGGGTAAGAGAATTTCTCAAATCCGTTTCGTTATCGGATTCTCACATTTTCAATTCTCATCATGAGTCCTGAAATTATTAAGGACATATATATCTGCTTAAGTTATTTGTTTTTCGAAAGTTATCTATACTGATTTTTGTAATTTTGATAAAATATTAATGAAATTTTAGACAGAAACATAATATAATAAAAAAATATTTTTTTAAAAAGTATCTGATGGTATTCTACAAATAATTATGATTTATGATTGTTAGAAAATATAATATAATAAAAAATTAAAGTATTTGATAATATTCTACAAATAATTATGATTTATAAAAATAATAATAATTTTTAAATAAAAAATAATCATTTGTTTCCCTAAGTTTTCTGGAGATTAATTCACCAATTTTTAATTTGGTAAATTAATTTCTCTAGTTTATGTTGACTTTGCAAAATTGGACTGAGAAAAGTTGACGGTAACATTTCCGTTTTCTTCTTAAACGTTGACTTTTCTCATGTCTAAATTTGCGCAGTCAACACTAGGTTGAGGATTTAATCTGCAAATACAATAATTGGGAAATAAATTTGCTGATTGCAAATACTTGAGTAATTAAATGAGCAATTTCTCAGACATATACCTATATGTATTTAAAAGAAACTTTGATTTAGGACAGCAAATTGCTGTTTAAATCATAGGGCAGCAATTTTCTAAAATGGTTTAATAATCTATTTTTATTGTTAGTTATATTGTATTAATCTCAAATATGAATATAAGTTTATACATATATAATTTTATAAATGAGAAACTAACAACAATAAGTCAAATTATTATTAGAGGAAATGACTCCAAAAATCAAAGAATGAAAGTGAGGAAACAAATAAAGGAAATTGGCTGATATAACCATATAAATACCTAAAATTTAGAAAGTAACCATACCAAAATAGGTGTTATTATATTCTTCATATATTCTACAATATATACCAAAAATCCCTTCGTTTAAATCAACAAATAGATTGTATTACTATACTATACTGAGTTGGTGTAGTATGCTATTAATAGTTGTACAAATATACTATTTTATACCGTACTATACTATCATTATGAGAATTGACTCCATATTGTATGAGTATCTACTAGCTCCTCATTCTTACCAATATCATCGTCTCCTGAATTCACCTTCATATAAGACATCTTCCAACGCAAATTCCACATCTATAGATACCCGAAAAGTAAACTGGTCATAGTATTTCAAATGGAGTATACTACTATACTATACTCACTTGGTGTAATATGTTATTAAGTAATATTTGTAGTACACTACTATACTATTTATTTTTTTAATCTAATAATCGATCAATCAATACGTTTCCATTTAAAACAGAAAAAATTTTTAGTCTTTTCTCTGTGGGCCATAGTTACTTTCCATATTTTTTGAATAGCATAGCTATATTTTTAGATTTTTTTACTAATATGGTTAGATTGCAAATTAATCCAACAAATAAACCCACAAAAATTAAAGAATTAAAGTAAGGAAACAAATAAACCATATAATTTCTTTCTCTCCATCTTTCTACTTGCACTGATCTAACATTAAGAAGTTTATTAGTACAGATTTTTTTATATTTCTCTAACAATTAGTTATAATTAAGATAATTTTTTTTTTTTACTTTTTCTTCTTTTTGATTATTTTATTATTTTTAAAATAGTTTTCATCCATAATTAATAAAAAAATTAATATTTTGGAGAAAAATTAGAACTATAATTTAGTGTTATTATTTTTACTATATAATAATTATATTTATTATTATAAAAAATATAAATGAAAGCCTTTTATAAAAAAAATTGTTTATGGTATCGAATGAGGTTGGTATGGCTCTACATATGCATATGAAAGAGTGTTTTCCAGTTCTATTTAATTCTTCAGTGTTTTACAAATTTTAAATTTCTTGGTTCTTTCGTCACCTTGTTGTAGCCTTTTCGATATGATACAGAAACTTGATAATTAATAATATTAAATTACCGATTTCAGTATTACATCTGATTATCACACGATTATTTGAATGGGTTGTGTAGTAATAATATTGATCTGACCAAGTAATTAATAATCCTCTCAGCTTCTGTCATGTGAGCTCAGTGTATAGTTGATTTTGCCTGATATAATCTATTACTCCATCTTCAGTCAAGTACTTGACGGATAATCCTCGCGAAATGCATTGCCTAAACAGAAGCAGAGGAGTGAACATGAGAAGCCATTGTTTTAAAAGTGTAAATAAAATGTTCTTGAGGAGGATAAACCACACACTACCTTAATCTACTCGAACTGATCTGATTAGGAACAAAATTGTTGACGATTCTGATGTTATCCTGCAAAAGAAACCGTATTAGACGGACTGATTGATATAGCAGACACAAAAAAAAAACAAAAGGAACCTCGGTAAAAATGTACTTACACGAGTTTCGTATAAGGTTTTGTCACCAAAGATGATATTTTCGACATCTTGTCCTTCTCTACGGATGCACACAATGCCATAGTCTTCACAGATAGTCTTTACCTGTAAAAAAGAGCAGAACTGTGAGTAGAAATGATCAAACAAATCTCAGGTTTATACAACGATGATGCCTTGGTTTACCTGTTCAGGGATCCACACACCGGGAGTGCAGAAAGATTCCAGTAAGTCCGAGCCACATAATAGCATGACTTTGAGAGATTCTAGCATTAGAAACCACATACTACTAAATTTTGAGTTTGTCATTTGCGTACTAGTAAGTATGATGAAACATAGCAATCCAAAAGGATGCTCAAGGCCACATAGGACAGTTTTTTTTTTGGGCAGTTATCTTACCTTCGGGTACAAGTCGATTGTTTGTAAGGAAAGTCTTGACCCTTGATAAAACCACCAAAGTTCGTTGGTAGCTGTCTTGGGATGCCTGTAGAAACAGCTTTCACAGTTTTGTAAGGAAAAGAACGCTTTGTTCCTCTAAAGAGAACTTATCAAAAGCTTTTGAGTAAGAAGAGATGGAGAGAGAGAGTACCTCCCACGGATCAACCATTATAAAGTCGGAGCTTTTACAGGCCAGATTACACATCTCTAAACGATGCTCTGCAGATAAGAGCCCCTACACAGAATCTGATGTTTTTATTACTTCTAAAGGAAATTAAAGTCCCATTTAGCAATATCGGTAACAAGAGTCATTGCTGAAAGAAACTAAACTTCTCAATACCTTCTTCTTGTATTCATCATTTACAGGGGACATATAGCCTCCAATAACATGAGATCCCTCTGAGTGTAATGCATCTCTCGCCAGCTCTAGACACGAAAAACAAAAAGAACTTATCGGTTCAAAGGAAATTTTGAACTAAAGGTCGCAGCAAGATCATTCCACAAGACAAGCATCAACATGAATAATCAAGAAGCCAAGTTCTGCTCTTCTTTCTGGTTATGAAAATACAAAGCTAATAGAGCAACACAGTCACATACTTTAACCATTGTTTCACTGCATAATCTAAGCCACAGTGTCCCATTAAAACGACTCATACACTGATCATAATGCCTATAAAATGTGCCAATTTATCGCATTGATCAAATCCGAAACCCACTGATAATCGTAGGAACATTGAATTATATAGCTGATCTGATAAAAACTCACCAAACATGCGTAAATGCATGAAAGTTGGAGGATTGAAACTCCCAGTTGCCACAAGCACTACATAAGTTTTGTCCCTGAATCAGTCAATCGATAAGAAAAGTCAATATCCAGAAATTTACAGTGAATAAATCTGGTGAGAATCTCATCAGCATAAGTAATTAACTAGATAAAATCAAAAAATTTCATTAAAACAAAATTGAAGAGCTTAGAAATTTACTCAGGTGTTGATCCAATAGATAATTTATCTACTGGTAAGGAGACATCCATTGGAACTGATGATCGTATCTCTGAGTCTTTAACGATCACTCCGGCGAATGATATCAGGGAGGGACACAGACGACGACGGCGACGAATTAAGGATATGATAGATTCGTAAGTTCGAAACGGCGTCGCCTCAAGGTTCTACAATCTACTACGACTGCGTTTCGTTTGAGTTAAAACGCACCGTGTTGCAGTTAGCGAGGGTTTTTTGCTTGTGTGGAATATATCGTTGCATAGTGATTTAAAATAATTTTAAAAAGGAAAATGAAAGGTCCCATCCGAATAAAAAAAAGGAAAGCGAAAATGAAATCTTTATCCCCAAAATTTTGAAATTCAAATCCGCGCTACTAGTCTCTCACTCAATCTCGAGAGTAGGTCGTCGGCGATGTTTTCCGGCAGGGAGAATCCGAGGGGGACGGCGAATGTAAACGTGCAGAAACTTTTCGGGCAGATCTTTGAGAGGAAGAGGCGATGCGTCGAGCAGGTCAAGCAACAAGTAGATCTGTTTGACCAGAATCTAGCCTGCAAATGCCTACTTGCCGGAGTCTCTCCTCCGTCGTGGCTTTGGTCTCCGTCTCTGCCTTCCCAAACTTCAGGTAGTGGTTTAATTTGATATATTGCTCAATTTTCTGATATAGTGCTCAATTTCTTCTTCATTCTCAAAGTATTTTGTCCGTTGTTGATTTTTTTCGCTAATTGGAGAAAATCAATAGCAGACTTTGATTTTTCGCATCAATATTGTTGGATTTCTTCTTTGGGTCAACGCGTTTAGTGGGATTGATGCTGTGAGGTTGTTTGATACTTAAAGCGAAAAGGGTTGAATGCGTATTAGCATAGCGTCTTAGGGTTCATGAGCATGATTTGATGTGTTAGGGTTCATAAGCGTAATTTGATGTTGAACTTACTGTGTTAGTTTTTGGGTGCTCGTGCAGTTCCTATTTACTAAACAAGGTTCTATGTGCTGAATTTTCGTCAGAGTGTAGAATTAATTTATCATTTCTTACATGGGAGTGAATAATGGCGTACATCGCTTGTATATATGTTTCAATTACAATCGAAAAGAGGAGTTTCTGTTTGCGATTCTTATATTGATATTTGTTTTTATGCATACAGAGTTGAATAAGGAGGATATTATCTCAGAACTACTAGTTCCTCAATCAAGACCTTCCATCATTTGTCCAAGCAGTCGTCTCTTTTCATACCAAAAGCCTGACAATGTAATAAGACAAGACCCGACATTTTCTGTGGTAAATAGCCCTTTAGAAGAGCAGCCGCTTGAAGAAGAACAACAACACGACCACTCACAGAACTTAGTCAGACGCGTTTCAAATGCTTCTCACGAGCAGGATGCTAATATTGCATCTCCTAGAGATGTCCATGAGGAGGAGGGATTGCCAGAAAGTGTCTCAACCGGTTGCAGTGAAAATCAAAGTTGTCCGTCTCCTGAACAGTCTCAGAGTCAGAGAGTTGAAAATAGTCTTGATGCTACATCTCCTGGCCGTAGCCAAGGGAAAATGGTTCCCAAAAGTGTCCCAACTACTGGTTGTGAGCGGAAACCATCATCTTCCGAAGATTTTCAAGATGAAACTGAACCAAACACGTGCATTGACCCTGGATTACCACTTGCTATGATTCAGAGATCAAAGTCACGTCAAAAAGCTGTGGAGCTTCGTAGTAGTGCCAAAGCTTTGAAAAGCCGTTCAAACAGTAGAAATGAGCTCAGACCTTCTCCCAGTGGAAATATAGGCCTTGAGATTGCTTCTTTAAGGTCCGACAGTGTAAGTGAAATCAATTTATTTAGGCATGATGAGAATGATGAAGGTTGTCCAGACGAAGTAGAGAACAGTAATTCTCAAGGTACCGGAGGAGATCAGTGTATTAAGTTTAGCTCAACTACGGAGTCTTCTACCCCACATCAGAAAGTGGTTTCGGTGCAAAAATCTTCCAATGGAGATGCTTCTGCTTCTATTGTACCAGAATCTCTACTCGAGTCTGGTCATGTGAAGGAAATGAATATATTACAGACCACTGAGACAGTTGATAGAATATCTGCCAAAGTAGATGAGGAAGTGGATGATCCTCAAAGCAGAAGTTGCAATAAAACAGCTTATCTCGATGGAGGTTCACGATCTAGAAGCTCAAGTCAACATAGTTCCAAGAGGGAACATCAAAAGTCGAGCAATTCCTTTTCTGGTGACATTCCGTCAAGAAATCCAAATCCCTCTCACAGGACAGATCAGGAAGTAGAATTACCCCAGGTCATACCTCTCACTAATGAAGTTTCTATGGTGGCAGATGCTGGAACGAGCATCTTTCAGTCTGAAATGAAGGCAAAATTCAGCAGTAATGCTCGAGGAAATAGATCCGAGACCAAGCATTCAGGCTCTGGTGAGTCTTCTTCAGTTGACGTGGAGCCAAGACATTCAATTTCATTACTGCAAGGTGGTGATGTAAAGGAGTCGCTGATTCCCTCGACCATTGATGTGGAGGCTTTAGTAGTTGAAAATATTACCGGCGACAATCAATTAAAAGAAATGGGTGAATGTGCTGACACCAACAGATGTTCAAGCGCTGGAAGGGTCAGCCAAACTGGCATATCCAGCGAAGGTTTAGTAGTTGAAGGTGTTAAAGAGTCACTGAATCCCTCTACTATTGATGTTGAAGGTTTAGTAGTTGAAAATATTACCAGCGAGGATAAAGCCAACGAAAAGGGTGATTGTGTAAAGGAGTCATTGATTCCCTCGACTACTGATGCTGAAGGTTTAGTAGTTGAAAATATTTCCAGGGACGACCAATCAAACGAAGAGGGTGAACGTGTTGATACTAACAGATGTTTAAGTGCTGGAAAGGTCAGCCAAACTGGCATATCCACAGATGAGACCGAGCTTTTGGGCTTTGTTGAGTCTTCTTCAGTTGAACTGCAGTCAAGACACTCAGTAATGCAATCAGAGGATGAAACTGTATTGTTGAAGCCCGTTGCTGTTACTGGTGAAGCTTTATTAGTGGAGGAAGATAGCGCTGGTGAATCAATAGAAATTAGCAATACTCCAAAATCTAGAAGCGTTACCCGAACTGACGTCCCGGTAGTTGAGCCAGTGGCGCTTGAATCTTTTCTTCAGGAAAGCGGTACTCCAGAAGACTTGACTGACCATTCTAAAAAATGTGATACTAGTTGTGGGTCCAAGGAAGTGCAGCCACATGCAAAGGGTTCATTGACCAAAGCGGGGAGTAACCAATGCCATGGAAGATTAAGTAGGCCAAGAAGCTCAGCAAATGAAGAGGAATCAGAAAATGATTTGAAGGCTCTTTCTGTTGGCTCTGATAAGTGGGCTGACAAACAGCTTGAAATTAGAGGAGGAAATTCATCATTGGGGACACATGTTCTCCCTGTATTTGTGAAGCCTGAATCACCCTGTTTTGATGATAGTGAAGAACGCAACTCAGATGAGATTCCAATGAATAGTCGAGAAAAATCTACAATGGTGAAGGCCCCAACACCAGCATCCGCCGCAAGGGTGTTAGAAGTTCCATCTCTCGCTGATTCTGAAGTGATTCTCTTGGCAGACAATGAAATGAATGACAGTGGGGATTATAATGGCTTAAAGAAAGAAATAGTACCAGAAACGGAATCGCCTGCAAGCCATGCTGGCTTAAAAGTGGGAGAGAATGAGCCTCAAGAATCATTAACAAAGAGGCCTCAACCTGAAACCTCTGACGAAGGTGTTCCCCCAGTTAAAAGAAATGTAGCATATTCAGAAACAGGCGAATCTCATCGTCCAGAGAGCTCTATGCAGGAATTTTTCTGCTCTAGTTCCTCCATGGAGGGTTCCCAACTGCAAAATAAGCGGAGAAGAACCCTGGACATACTTTCGTCAAGCCCAGCGGTGAATATTCTTTCCTATGTCTTGTGACACTTAAATATATGAGAGTCTTGAACCACTCCGTCCTTCCACATGTAACTAAAATGCTTTTTTGTGAATCATGGTTTTTTATATATTGCAGGGAGACATTCTCGATTCAGGTTCTGTTAGGGAAAAAGCACATCTTATGGAGGAAGGCGCATGTCACAACCTCAATTACTATGATGTTGAGTTACAGAAGATAATTGGATCTGCACCTTCAGATCACTATGATGTTGAGTTTCAAAAGATGATTGGATCTGCATCGTCAGCTGAGTTACGATTTGAAGAGGTATGTGCTATAATTCTCATTCTTCTTAAGTTTTGTGTCTTCTAGATAGTAATATTTCTCTCTTGAAGAGAAATAGACAATTATACTTCACCTGAAAACTGTGGCTTTGTGATTAATGAGAAAATTTCATTCTAGACCAAGTGTCGTAGTATCAAGCACCTCTCAAGCTGCACATGTGTATATAAAGCTATCAACCATAACAAATTTAGGCCAAAATCTGAAATCCTAACCAATGTCTCAGATTATCCGTGCTCGTCTATGTATGTCTTTGTTGGTGTGACAATAACTGATTGTCTGCCAAGAGAAACTGCAGTACAGCTCAGGCTGTTAGTTTGCATAATATCTTCTCTTGTTTTGTATAATGTGTTTTTATTAACCGGATAAACGGATATTACAGGGCTACCTATTCAAGGAAGCTGGGTTGATGAGTCCTGCCTCGCTTTCCTTCAGACCAGAACAGCTAAGTGTACAGAGGAGTCATATTGCTCCAAATCAGGGATTTAAAACAGAAAGTGTGGGCTTTCTGCCATTTGCTGGAGAAACCTGTCATCCATTTGCTAGTTGCGGTGTCCGAGGTTCAGATTGTTCTCCTTGTTTATCACCCTTAGGTTTGATTGGCTCAGAGGATGGAAGCCCCCCTGTTTTGGAGGGATTTATAATCCAAACTGATGATGAAAGTCAAAGCGCTTCCAAAAGCCAGATAAAACATGACAGCTTCCAACTTCCAAGAACTACAGCAGAAAGTGCAACAATGATAGAGAAGATTCGCAAGTCTGCTTGCAAGACCACTCCGTCCTTACATCTGGCTAAAACATTTAAGTTCAATGGAAAACTGGACTTGGATCAGTCCGTTTCAACTGAGCTGCTTGATGGCATGTTTTTCAGCCAGAATCTTGAAGATAGCTCTGTCTTTGATAACTTGGGGATTAACCATGATTATACAGGAAGATTGTACACTGACTGTCTGCCTTTTACTGGTGCTGGCTCATCTGCTGATGCTAGGAATCCTCGCACATCTCCAACTGAGAAGTTGTGGTATAGAAGCTTGCAAAAGTCTTCCAGTTCAGAGAAGCGCGGCAGTCAAACACCAGACCTACCTTGCATTAGCGAAGAGATTGAGAACGTAGATGAGGAAGCTGAGAACTTATGTACCAACACTCCAAAGTCTATGAGCTTAGAGAAGCGAGGAAGTTCAGTTCCGGACCTTCCTTGCATAGCTGAAGAGAATGAAAACGTAGATGAGATGTCCGAAGCTGTTAATGACGTATCTGATTCCGAAAGGGGGAATGACTCTGCTGAAAGGAAACCTCTTGCTGATGCAACTGAAGACCCTCTGAAAATTCTTCCATCTGTCTCCGAAGCCAAGTATCCTGTTGACAGACAGAGTCTGGACTCTGTCAATACTGCATTCAGCTTTTCGGCTACGTGCAACAACAGTGTCAAAAGTAAAGTGGGAAGGCAGAACGGTGGTAGCCGAAGATTCACGGGTAAAGGTAAAGAGAACCAAGGTGGAGCAGGTGCTGGAAGAAGTGTTAGACCGCCTAGTAGCAGGTTCAGTAAGGCTAAGTTGTCTTGTAACTCGAGCCTGACATCTCTAAGGCCGCGATTACCGGAAAAAGAACCTAGGCACAACAACATTGTTTCCAACATCACTTCGTTCGTTCCACTTGTGCAGCAGCAAAAACCAGTAGCTGCACTATTTACAGGTAGTTTTCTCTTTCCAGAATAAAGCTTTTAAAATTCCCAATTTAATAGGAGGTATCAGTTTACAGTCTTGTGCTACTCATTTGTCTAACTTAACTTTATCTATGTTTCCCCTAGGCAAGAGGGATGTCAAGGTAAAGGCCCTGGAGGCTGCTGAGGCTTCAAAACGGATTGCTGAACAGAAAGAGATTGATCGTAAGATGAAGAAAGAAGCTATGAAGCTTGAGCGTGCAAGGGTAGAACAAGAAAATGTGAGAAAGCAGGAGATGGTGAAGAAGAAGAAGAAGGAAGAAGAGCAAAAGAAAAAGGAGGCGGAAATGGCTTTGAAGCAGGAGATGGAGAAGAAAAAGAAAGAAGAAGAGCGGAAGAGAAAGGAGTTTGAAATGGCGGATAGGAAGAGGCAGCGAGAAGAAGAGAAAAAGTTGAAGGAAGCTAAAAGACAGCGTGTTGCAGAAAATCAGAGACAGCAAAAAGAGGCTGATGAGAAACTACAAGCTGAAAAAGAACTGAAAAGACAAGCTATGGTAAGATCCCTCTTCTCGTTTTGTTCTTTGAAATTTTGTTTGACTAAATGTGATGATGTAGGAGTTAAGCTAAATAAATTTTAAAAAAAACGATATTATAGGATGCAAAGATAAAAGCACTGAAGGAACTTAAAGAAGACCAAAGTAATGCTGAGAAAGCTCGAGGACAGGCGAAAACTAGGATCCCTGAAGTAAGATCAAAGAGTAATTCCAGCAGCGATACCAATGCGTCAAGAACCTCTAGAGATGAGGATTTCAAGGTATAAGTTTCTCATCTTTTTAGAGACTTGGGAGCTGTTTAAAGATGAGACCAATCTCAGTACCTAACGATAATTGTGCTTGCAGGTAATAAGCAATCCAGGGAAAATGTCTGAAGAGTCCTACGACATCTCTCCATACAAATGCTCAGACGACGAAAATGATGAAGAAGACGACTATGACGACATGTCGAACCACAAATTCGTTCCTTCTTGGGCCAGGTTTTGCTTCTCTCATTCTTTAATGTTCAACTCTCACTGGTCACATTACCATTTGTTTACCCTTAGTTCTTCTTGTTTACACAGCAAGAGCAACATTCTTCTCACTGTCATTTCCCAACAAAATCGTGATCCTGATATTACTTTCCCTGCAAGAAGCTTCCGCAATATAACCCAAGGTAAAAAAATCTCTCGATTACTCTTTTATCATATAATAAAGTAAGTTCCCTACCTTTTTTGCCATAACTTCTTTTCAATTTTTGCAGTTCTTTTGCCGCGTAAATTCCGATCGTAAACGAGGAGCAAAACTCAGATTTGAAGAGACAGTAAAACTTAAAACCACAAACAAAGTAAGGGACTTTTGTGTTTCAAGTTCCTTTCTTTTTGCAGGAAATGAGGAGTAAATCCTTAGTAGCTTGAGCTTAAGTTCATAGAGTAGTAGTAAGTAGTTTGTGAATACAGTCTTTTTGTGGTTAACCTATTGTAGCAACTTATTATCAAAAATCGAATCTTCTCAAGATTCCTTTATGCTTTAGTAAGGATTTAGTGAATGGGTATGTAATAATAATTAATTACGTTCATACGTAACGGCTATTTCTATTTTATATCTATTCTAATTTTCTAAGGTTGTGTACTTATGTGGATTCTCCTAGTGGAAAGAGCCAGGTGCTGAAAGCAAGAGATTTGTACATATTCAATATAACCAAATTCTCACAATTTTTTAATGTTGATATATAGAATAACGTTTTTTATCACGATCGCTTTAATAACTCTATTAATTCCCGTCGAATTTGGAACTCAGATAAACTAGTAACAATAGTAGTAAATGATTTTGGTCCCAGACACTCACTGTTGCAAACAGTAAAACAGTCAACCAATATAGTCGGTGAGTCAAAATTGAGTTATCGATAGAGGAAATAATTAAATGAAGTAAAAGTTATACTTATAGTGTGTCATATTCTATGCACGTGGTGGCGCTATAGACGCCATTAAAACGGTCAGTTTTGATTTTTGCGTCCACTTAGCAGAGGCCCCACCCGACCCGCTCCTCCGGCTCTTTCCCACTTAACGATCTCTAAAACGACGTCGTATACTCTCTCCCATGCTAATAACCGTTGCCACACCGAAATTACAATCTATACCCTTTTCTTCCTCATATCAATTCGAACCCATTTTCCCACCACAGTAGTACAGTACCAATCAATCTCTCTCTAATCTCTCTCTCTCTCTCTCATGTTTCCTTCAAGAAAGCTTCTTCTCTTCTTCTTCACATGGATAGCTATTTCCATGGCGAAACCAATCTTCGTATCTGCCGATAACGTGAACTTCACCTTCAAATCCTTCACGATTCGAAACCTCACGTTCCTCGGCGATTCCCATCTCCGGAACGGCGTCATCGGACTCACACGCGAGCTCGGCGTCCCAGATACGAGCTCCGGCACCGTAATCTACAACACGCCGATCCGTTTCTACGATCCCGATTCGAACACCACAACGTCTTTCTCCACTCACTTCTCCTTCTCCGTTCAAAACGTAAACCCAGTTTCCTCCGGCGACGGCCTCTCTTTCTTCCTCTCTCACGACAAAGATACCTTGGGAAGCCCCGGCGGATTCTTGGGTCTCGTCAATTCCTCGCAGACTATGAAGAACCGGTTCGTCGCGATCGAATTTGACACCAAATTGGATCCTCATTTCAACGATCCGAGCGGTAACCACGTCGGGTTAGATGTCGATAGTTTGAACTCGATCGCGACTTCGGATCCATTCGTTTCGTCTCAAATCGATCTGAAATCTGGGAAATCGATCACTGCTTGGATCGATTACAAGAACGATTTGCGTTTACTGAACGTGTTCTTGAGTTACACAGATGCGATAGCCGCGACGAGGAAGCCAGAGAAGCCTCTTTTAACTGTGAACATCGATCTTTCTCCTTTCTTGAACGGTGAGATGTATGTAGGATTCTCCGGTTCAACAGAAGGAAGCACGGAGATTCACTTGATCGAGAACTGGAGCTTCAAGACGTCTGGGTTTCTTCCGGTGAGATCAAGATCAAATCGTCCTCACAACGTTTCAGGTAGCTCCGTTGATCCTGTGGCTATACCTCGTTCCACGAGCAAGAAGACGCGTCACAGACACAATCTCGCTATTGGACTTGGTATCTCTTGCCCAATCTTCTTCTGCTTAGCTCTCTTGGTGTTTGGATACTTGACTTTGAAGAAGTGGAAAGGTGTGAAGGCAGAGAAGGAGCTCAAGACGGAGCTAATCACAGGTCTAAGACATTTTAGCTACAGAGAGCTTTACACTGCTACGAAAGGGTTTCACTCGAGTAGAGTCATCGGAAGAGGAGCGTTTGGGAACGTGTACAGAGCCATGTTTGTTTCATCTGGAACGATCTCTGCTGTGAAAAGGTCCAGGCACAACTCAACCGAAGGCAAAACAGAGTTTTTGGCAGAGCTATCGATCATTGCTTGCTTGCGACACAAGAATCTTGTTCAGCTGCAGGGTTGGTGCAACGAGAAGGGAGAGCTGCTTCTCGTCTATGAGTTTATGCCTAATGGGAGTCTTGACAAGATTCTGTATCAGGAGTCAGAAACAGGAGCTGTGTCTCTCGACTGGTCACATAGGCTGAACATTGCGATCGGTTTGGCTTCGGCTTTATCTTATCTTCACCATGAATGCGAGCAGCAAGTGGTTCACAGAGACATAAAGACGAGCAACATAATGCTTGATATCAACTTCAACGCAAGGCTCGGCGATTTCGGTCTCGCTAGGCTCACTGAGCACGATAAGAGCCCTGTCTCGACCTTGACAGCAGGTACGATGGGTTATCTCGCACCGGAGTATCTCCAGTACGGCACTGCGACTGAGAAAACGGATGCTTTTAGCTACGGAGTTGTGATTCTAGAGGTGGCTTGTGGGAGAAGGCCAATAGATAAGGAACCAGAGAGCCAAAAGACTGTGAATCTAGTTGATTGGGTTTGGAGGTTGCACAGTGAAGGAAGAGTTCTCGAAGCTGTGGATGAGAGATTGAAAGGGGAGTTTGATGAGGAAATGATGAAGAAACTGTTGCTTGTTGGGCTTATGTGTGCGCATCCAGATAGTAACGAGAGACCATCTATGAGACGTGTTCTTCAGATACTTAACAATGAGGTCGAACCTTCTCCGGTTCCTAAGATGAAACCTACATTGTCTTTCTCTTGTGGGGGGTTAAGTCTTGAAGACATTGTTTCAGAAGATGAAGAAGGAGACAGCATCGTGTACGTTGTATCTTAGAATTTCTTTTGATTCTTTCGTTTGAATTGATTTCATTTGTTTTGATTTGTATAACTATGAGTGGTCTTTGTGGTTCAATGAGTTTATATTGAACGATTAGGTTTTTGAATCCCTATAAACCCCATCTCAGAATCCATTTCAGAAGCTCTTCTATTTTTTGACAAAACAATCAAAGCAAAACTCAGTTTCAAGTAAGTGAAGATTGATCATTAAAGGTTCCTATTTGATTAAACCCATCTCAGAATCCATACAACTAAACATTTCTTAAGGTATTATAAAGCAATCAAAAACAAACCCAGTTTCAAGATCATTAAATGTTTCTCAGTTCATAAAACCCACTTCAGAATCCATACAAGTAATAAAAAAGTTTTTGGGTATTACAGAGCAATCAAAAAGTTTCGAGTTGATGAAGAATGGGAAGTAGACATAGACAGATCTAGGTCTTGATGTTCATCATGTCGATCTATGGCCTGTAAGAAAAGCTGGGTGAACCGGTCCGGTTTACATATGCCTGAATGAAAACAGAAACGGTTAATGAAAATATCATCACTAGGTTACTTACCTTCCTTGATACTGAAGAAACATTGTTGAAACAATCAGAGTATACACACACGCTCACACGATCACATACATCGCAAGTGTAGATATGTGCGATGATGGTGGCAGAAGTAAAGAGAGCACACTCCCGACAAAGGCAAAACAGTCTTTTTGCTAATCCCGGGTTGTGCTCTCTTTCTTCTGTCAACATTTTTTCATCTTCTTCTCCGGGAAGAGGAAGAAGAAGAAGAGGAAAAGAAGTGTGACGTGCGGTGTAAGTAAGCAGTGACGGTGGGTCTGTGACTGGATTTATAGTGGGAGAGTGAGTTTACTGGTTACAACAGGTGATAGGAGGTGAAGACAGGCTATAGTGGGTGAACTAGAAATGAAGCTGAAAATGGTTCTGAGATTACTTATTCTCATGAAACTGGAAGTTTCTACATTATTAGAGATTCTTCCTTTAACTCTCTGACCTTTTCGCTTTCACATTAAATTTATTTTCATTATTATTATCTAACTCTTCAGTTTTATTAAGTTCTATTTTCTTCAGTTTTCCACTTCTAATGATCTTATTTTTCTAGACTAAAACATATTACGTGAAGAAATAAATTATTAAATTATGCCAATCTGAAGTTTTGCTTGATATATATAATATGCAAATTTGGTTGAGCGGAAACAAAAACTCTAGTGATGATTAAAAACTTTGATTTAAAAATGATAGTAATATTCACCTTTAAAAATGGATTAAATCACCACGCGTGAGACTCGGAAGTTGCTTTCACCTAATTGAACAAGGCAAAACTTTAAGTCGTCATCGACATTTCACCTACCCTACGTTCCTGCCGCTCAATCTCAGCCGTCCATTAACATGAGATCCTGCGGGTTGTGGGACCTTACTACTGTTACTACGTCGAATTATCCACGTGTTGGTTTGCACGTTGAGAATGGGCTTTATATCAACAAGCCCATTTTATAAAAACGGACTTTTTAATGAGAAAAAAACTGAAAATTTTAAGGCTTTGAAGCTATGACACTAATATAGAAAAAAAATCAACGAATATCAATTTGTTTTCTTGATTGCTTTGGCTTGCATAATAAGGCTGATTGCGATAATTTAGCACTAATATTTTAAAGAGAAAATTTGGGAAAATATATCAAAATTAATTTAGAATTTGAAACTACACCTTTATTAATTAAAAAAATAGAATTTAGTTATATATGAAATGATTAAATTAATCTTATTTTGAATTCTTATAATTTAAAAATCATGTAAAAAAATCAAAACAAAATAACATTTTAAAACTAAATGATATATATTTACATTTTAGTTTATTTATAGATTTTAAAATCTTAATTTTATACCGATCTATAGAAATGTCTATTAAAATATTTTTTGATAGAAAAAAAGAAAAAATAATCTTAAGATTTTTATTTATTCTATACTTATCTATTAATTATTATACTAAAACTATTTTTATATTGGGAAAATTAGAAATAAAGGATGTTTTATCTATGAGTTTGTCCATTTATCCTTTCTTAATCATTTGTTGGTGAGATATACTTTAAATTAATTGAAAACTGATTATGCCCTTTAATTATTAAATTTTATATAGTTATTAATAATATAACTTAAGTTATTTAAAAACCTAAAAACATAAAAACCAAAAAATATAAACTATTTTATTTCTTCGTTGTAATCTCTGCCGATTCCCTTTTTCCGATTTACTCTTCTTCAACCATCGCTCTCTTCTTCTATAATCGCTCTCTTCTTCTATAACTCTTCTTCTTATTTCCGCCGATCCTTTATTTTTTCCCGATTTCTTCTTCTTAAACCGTAACTGATTTTCACGATTTCTTCTTCTTCACCAACTCTTCTTCTTAAACCAAATAGTTTGATTGTCTCTGTTCTCTTTTCAAAATCGCTCTCTTCCTCTTTAACACTTCTTCTTAAACCGTTTTCTCTCTGTTTTCTCACCAAAATCGCTGTGAAGAAGGGTATTCGATCTCCCCTGTTTCCTCCACACAAAAAGGTACATATACTGATTGTTTTACATCTTTAACACTCACGTCATGTTATTATTGTTGATTAAGTCCCTTATTGTGATGGAAAATTAGAGAGTAATAGTAAAATCCTTTAGATCACTTCTGTCTTTCTTCTCATATCTTACTTAGCTTTCCAGAAAATTTTGAACATTAATTTTGTTTCACAAATTGGGTGGATATTGATATCGAAGAAGAAAAGAAAGCAGAGTTTCTTACTTGTGAATCCATACTTACACATCCCATAGATGAAGAATAGCGACCTTTTAAAAGTAAACAATTAGTTTCAAAATCTGTCTTTTTATAATGTTTTCATATTTTCGGTTTTGTAGGCATGGAAGAGGAATTTCCTAAACGTCTGTTTAAAACCGGACATGAGCCACAAGTGGCGCAGATTAACAACAATTGCAAAATGTCCATTCTGAACAAAATAAGAGATGTTCTTCCAGTAGAGTACAACGTGAGGAGAGATTCAGTGTTCTCACATGTTCTGGCAATCCATGAAAACTGCTTAGGATATTCTACAAGGTTGATTCATAGCATGTTCTGTAGGCAGCCGGATACTAACAAAAAACATGAGCTGTGGTTCGTGTTTGGAGGGAGGCCTCTCAGATTTTCGATGCAAGAGTTCTATGCAGTTTCAGGGCTGAAGTATAATAGTTCTGCTGAGGTCAGTAATTCAGCAACATGGAAATGTAATAATGGGTTTTGGAGCAAATTGCTTAAAACAAAAGGAAAGATTAGCATAAAGCTGCTACTTGAGAAACACTTGGGTGGTGTTAAGAATTGGAGTCACATGGACAGGGTCAGACTTGTGTATTTATGTATAATTTCTGGTGTGATAATGGCGCAGGATTGGAAGAAAGAAATTCCACATGAATACATTGAGTTAGTAGTGGATTTTGGGAAGGTTCAAAATTATCCATGGGGGGTTGAAGCTTTTGATCTACTGCTTACTTCTATAGTTAGGACGCGAGATAAGCTGAAGAATCCACAGAGCTATTTTTTGGACGGCTTCTCCTATGCATTTCAAATTTGGGTTATGGAAGCAATTCCAGTTCTTGGAGATTTGGTGGGAGAAAAACTGAATGAAGATTTCACAGGAGCTCCACGATGTTCAAACTGGATGGGAGCTGCAAAAATATCATATGAAGATATCATTCAGCTAGAGAACACACTTGGAATCGATGTGAGTTGAACTTTTAAATTCGATATTGGATTATACTAGTTTATTTTCCCATTTATCATCATATTGCGATCTTGAAATAAACATTGTTTAGGGACAATCAGAGAATATTGTGATGATGTTTTTTTGGATAATTTGATTTCATTAGAAGTGAGTTTAATAATTTTCTTTTACGTTATTGCAGGACTCTGTCTATCCATATATCTCTTCTACTGGAAATTTTGATATACAAGAGTCAGCTGAATTCTTATGGAACGATGAAGAAGTAGATGTTAGAGTTGATAATCTGACTGATAAGATTAGAGCAGGGACTGATTTTGCAGACCATCTTTGGGAATCTGTTGAGGCTACTGAGAATATAGATGAGAACAGTTCTCCTACAGAATTTGATGACTCTGTCTTTGTTTCTGAAACTTCTTGTGAAGGTGGAATCCCTGTTTCTGCAGCTTCTGGTTCGAGAAGGGGTAAGAAAACGCTACTCGACCATGGTGCTGAAAAACGCAAGAAGAAGATTCTTTGTCAGCGAGCAGCAGCAGCAGCAAGACCAGGACGTCTTGATGAAGATACAAAGTCCTTTATTCAAGAAATGTTTCTTGCTTCTTTCTCTAACTTAGAAGCAAAGATCGAGAAAAAGATTGATGAGATTATGGACCTGCGTCTTGGAAACTTTGAGAAGGATTTGTCAGAACTCAAGGAGTCAATCACTGGAATTAGAAAGAACCTGGAGCCATCCACAACAACGAAACCATCCACTGCCAATGATTCTCCGCGTCAAATATATACACTCACTATTTTACTCCCCTATCATTTAATTCTTATAATTTTACGTTTCAGGAAATTAAATATAGGTCCAACTATTATTAACAAAAAATTACTTGACCGAGTCGTGCAGCCGAGAGAATGGCTTGGCAATGAGGTAAGCTTTAAATAACATCTTAGTGTGAACAAATGTGCGAATGTTTAATAATGTTTATTTCCAGGATATTGATGGTATTATGTACATATTCCGAGAGAATACAACTTTACGCAGATGGAAACCAGCTCGAGTAGGTTTTATGAATTGCTTGCTTAGCCTGCAGATCAACATCGAATTTAATAAGTACCAGAGAGACCGTCGAAAGTACAAGTTCAGTGATTTGATCTTAGCTTACGGCAGAGGAGAACTTCCTTCTCATGGACAGACTATGCAACTATGGGCTATGGATATCGACCAGGTATATGCTCCATTATTTGTGAACGGTAATCATTGGATTTCAATGTGCATCAACTTCATTCATAGAACAATTGAAGTCTTTAATTGTTCTGGAGTTGACAATAGAAGAAATGACGAACCATTCGCTGTATTGATCCCTCGTCTAGTGAAGGCAGTTCAATCAACGTTTGTTGGAAGACAACTAAATGTGACTGAATACACTGTCAAAAATACACATATTCTGTGTGGACTCAATAAATCACATTATGATTGCGGAGTGTATGCGATCAAATACATCGAATGTCACTTGCTTGGGATGGATTTGTCTTTGATTAGTGATAACAACATTGGAGAAGCAAGAATCAAGATTGCAGTTGATCTGTGGGAAGCTGCAAATGATCTGGTTTTAATTGACCGAATGTCAAAGTACGAGCCTACAACTTTGATTCTGATGATGTTGTAGAAATTGATTGACTTACTATTGGATTTTATTTTTAGAATATTATTGGAACATTATATGTAGGTATATATCTTTTGCTTACTTTTGTTCTTGAACGTAGGAATAAAACATCTTATATACAATTGTCAAATATCTTAAGTGTTAGTGCATGAAAGTAAGTGTTAGTGCATGAAACAGCCACGACGAGTACCTTAAGTGTTAGTGTTAGTGCATCAAATATCTAAAACAGCCACGACGAGTACCTTAAGTGTTAGTGCATGAAATAATTAGCAAAATTTCAAATATATGACGTCAAAAATCACCACAACATATAAAATAATTGAACTCAGATGTAACACAATAGACATATGTATTCAAAATTAAGCAAGCCAAAGAAACAGCTTCGGTAGTTTTTCCATGAAAAAATATCAAAAGGTAAAACGAAGACAGCGTCCATTAAAAAACTGCCGAACATGCAATATTCTATATACCTTTGGCAAGTAAGGCACAAACCCTAGAAATAATCTTCTGAAACTTAGAAGGAAACCAAGCAAAGAAATCAAACAGCAAACTCCAAATTCAATAATGAAATCAGAAGTGATGAAACTTGCATATGGTTCAAATCGTTCTTTCTAACCCTTTGAATATTAAAAAACAAAAAACAAAAAGTACTTGAATTCTTCCAGCAAATCAACCTTCCCTATATTGGAATTTTACATGTCGCTCTGTTATGTCCTCCAGTATGACAATGGCTGCACTTGTGGTCTTTGGACCTTTGTGATCCTTGTGATGATCTAAGTTTGTCTTCAACAGTTTGGTATCTTTGTTTTTTGTTTCTACCAGGTCCTCTTCGTGTATCAGGAGGTAAGACTTTGGCATCTTCAACATGTTTTGGGACACGCCACTCATCTTCAGGAATCGATATTGGATTAATGCTTTCCTCATATGCCATTCTCCATACCGTAGTGATATACACTTCATCTGCGAGTGGATGTAGCTGCTTGCCCATAGAAAATGCTGCTTTAATGGCATGTCTACAAGGAATTTTTCCTAAGTCAAACTTTCCACAAGAACATGTTTTACTTTCCAAGTCAACAACGCAATCGAATCTGTCGCCTTTAACTTGAAATCTGTCAATAGTAATTGGATAAGCAACCAATGTTTCAGCTTTCTTTGTCCTTCTACGAATCTTATGCTCCACCTCAACGGTTAAAGGATGCTGGTGCTTTGCACTTAATACTCTATGCTCATAAAACCACCGTGTTAACATTTTCCTGATGCTGTCCAGCAAAATAATTATTGGATACTCTCTAGGTGATCTCAATGTAGAATTTATCGATTCAGCAGCGTTTGTCGTCCTTATGTCAAACCTGAAACCTGGGAATAGACAACGAGCCCATTTTGTCACGCCAGCTTCCTCTAGATATATTGCCATTAGCGGACTAGTCCTGCGAATTTGGTTGAAATAATCCTCAAACTCAGCAACTCTATATGCTTTCGAAGCCCTTTCAACCAAGGCCGCTGAACCCTTTCTCTTGAAATGTTTCACCACTTTGGACAACAAATGGTGGATGCAAATTCCATGTCTAGCCAATGGGTATTCTTTCAGAAGTGATTTAACAATTGAACCATGTCTATCAGACACAAAAGCCAAACCTTTCTCATCAGCTATAACAACCTTTAGTTGCATAAAAAACCATTCCCAAAAAAGATCATTCTATGAATCAGCAATACCAAAGGCAATTGGATACAAATTAGAGTTACCATCTATGGCTGTAGCAACAAGAAGAACTCCTTTGTATTTGCTCTTTAAAAAAGTTCCATCAACTACAATCACCCTCCTAATGGCATTGTAGAATCCTCTTACGGATTGACCAAAAGAAACAAATAGATACTTGAATTTACCACTGTAATCAGTTTGGTAATTAGTATGCGTACCAGGATTAGCTTCTTGCAACATGTGCAAGTATTTTGGTATTTTGCAAAAACTTTTCTCTGGAAGACCTCTAACAGCACTAACCGCATATTCACGGGACTCCCATGCTTGGGCATAAGAGAGCTCGCAACCATGTTCCGTGCGTATAATATTGATGATATCATTCGGTTTAGGTCCTTCCTTGACACCCACGTATTTATGCATAATAAGATTTCCAATCGTTACTGCTGAAGCTGTCCTAGAGAAGTTTCTTTTCTTTGAAGGAGCACATGTATGTTCAGCCACATACATGTTTATTTTGAAATACGTAGACCCCTCTAAACACTCAGCGCAAACACTCCATTTTCAAACACTCTTTTTGCAGCGAATACACCACAATCTCTTATTAGATTTTGTCACCCTATAGTCGAAATTATACTTCATCGCACATATTTCCATAGTTGCCTTTAGAGCGTCCTTGCTTGTGAAATGCTGATCCTCCGTCAAAGAGCTTGTCAACCAATGATCTTCACTTTGCCTGTCATCAATGTTTTCAGATTGTATCCCATCATCACGAACAACTTCAGGGTCTTTGGGATTGCTTTTGGAACCATCATTCTGTTTAAACTGATTCACACCTTCTGCAGATTTTTTCTGGAAATGATGCTCATCAGCTTCATCACTTGAGTCACGTGGATCCTCATTTAAATCAATATGGGCTCTACTCTCTCGCTTGTCAACTCTAGCCTTAAACGTAACACATAAACTTATCACATGCTTCTTTCTCAAATACCCAACCAAATTTCTAACTTGTCGATCGGTTGAGATAAGGACTGGCGGAGATTCTAAGTTACTAACCAAATCAGTAGGTAGATAACTGAATTCGACATCAATCATACTCTGTTCTACGCCAAAGTCTTCTGAAACCATCATTTTTAGTTCTTCAAGGGTAGTAGTTGATTCCAATATAAGTAATCTGGCACTTTTTTCTTGATCAACAGTAAATCTCCACTCGTTGTTGCCAAATGAAGTCCATATACCGCACCTCACATAAATTTCCAGTATAATTATATGTGATAAACAAAAAAAATTCATAAGTTCTCACATATAGAATTTGAATCGATGGTAAAGCAAACACAAAATTTAATAAACTCACCAAATTTATGTGAAAATGATCCAGTACTTTATGGTTTATACCATTGATTTTTGCTGAGATCTAAAAGAATGAAGACGACGTGGAGAATGGAGATAAATTAGGGATGAGAAACGTGTTTCAGTTATTATCCAAAACAAGCAGAATATATGTTCTAAATTTTGCAGAACATGTATATTATGCAGAACGTATATTATTCAAAATCGTAGAACATATAGAAACTGCAGAAGAGACATTCTAAAACTTGCAGATCATAGAGAACTCGCTGAACAAACATTTTGAAGCTTGCAGAACATATCGAAAAAGATTTTGTAAATATTTTCCTGTTATGATTTTGGAATAATATAATTTTCTTGTTTCCTTAAATATTTGTTTTTTCTTTTTTAGTATTTAAATCGATATTAAAAATAATTTTTAAAACGAAATTAGTTATTAAAAAATGTTTTTATAGGGGTAATTTAGACACAATTGTACCAACAAAAATAAAGGTGTAAATGGACAAGAGAGTACAAAAAATATCTTTTATTTCTAATTTTCCCTTTTATATTTCTATATAAAATTATGAGATATTAATTTTATCTGAAATAAGATTTATCTAATTATAAAAATATAAATTTAGAGAAAATCCTGAAATTTATTTAATTCAATAATTCTAATATATTTAATTTTCTATTTTAAAATTTTATAAAAACATATGTTATTAAAATCTGGTCAAAATAGTTATATATCAATAAATTTAATTACAAAGAAATTAAAATAGAATATTTTTCAAATTATAAATATTAATTATGGTATTTTGCCAATTGCTGATAAACTGATGTTATTTTTTTTTTTTTTTTTTGTTATCACTTGTCAGCTCATTCGGGAGATTTGGCTTAGAAAAAATCAGAATCAACTTATAAATTAGTTGTCATAGTTAATATTTTGGGATTTTCATCAATTGGATCTCATTTAAGAAAAAACTTACATTGTTGATCAGATCAGATAGTTCAATGAATTTTCTTGAAGAACCAATTAGTAAAATGAAAGTGATACAATAAAAAAGGATTACTAAAAAAATTAAAAGAAAGATGAATAATAAAATTAGGAAATTGAAGAGATGCAAAAGGATATTTGCACAAAAAATGAATAAGATCTAAAGTATTACTTTTGAAAGCAAATTCAAATAACATGATGGGAGAATTGTGATGTCACCTTGATTGTCTCTCTCACACAGATTTAAGTTTAGAGCTATGAATAAAACGTAGAAAAACGATACGACAAGTCTTTACCCACAAACCCGAAAACGATACGGCAAATCTTTACCCACAAACGTGGAAAAACGATACGGCAAAATATATTACCTATCGTGGTCAGAAGGCATCGTGGACATCATGGTTTGCTTCATGTGGCAGCAGAACAATTCACCAGCATCAGTCTTACTCAGGGACTCAGTGTTACTTCTTGTGGGTTTGTGAGATTCAATGGATGTTTAGCTCTTGCCCAATCAAAAGAAGATCTGTTGAGTGTCTGGATTCTGCAAGATGGAGAAGAATGGTCTAATGAGATGAAGTTTACTGTTCCCTTCATCATGAAGAAAAAAAGTTTTAAGTTCTTAGGAAATGATTTGAGGGGAAAGTTCATGTATGCCACCAACCGTTTCAAGCTTGAGAAGATGGTTATTTACGCTTATCCCAGCGGATATTGTGTGGAGATAGTCTGAATTGGAGGCGAATTTGCAAAGTTTGGTTCCCCTCTGTCAGTTTTTAGGGATTACAGTGAGACTACTGTTCTTAGTCCCCTTGAGAAGCCATGATCAATTTACCAAGTACATTTTTATCCTCATTATAATCCTGAAAAGCTGTGTTAGGAGTCAGAGCATAGAAAGAGGTTACAGATATTCCTCAGTATCAATTACGATTATTGGAGTTATATCAAATTAAACGATGCTGAGTTGAATTTTTCAACTTTTTATGATGAGTTATACAGTTTCCTCTCTTTTTCTTGGGTGACTTCATTAACTTCTAGCATTTTCAGAGTTACTCAAAACCAATTTATGCCAGGTCTACGAACTCGCGTATCTAGAGTGAAATTTTCTTTTGTGAGTTTGCAAGTAAAAAGAAAAAGGTTGTAAAAGAACAAGCTGATAATAATAATTTATAATGAATTGATTATCGGTTGAAGTTATTCAACAAAATAATGAAAAATTCTCTAATAATTTGTAAACCCGCGTCAGTGAGAAGTGTGATTCGTCGTAAGACTTTCCACCGGATACTAAAACTTGTAAAGCAAGCAACCCACTAGACCCTTCTTAATCGAAACCCTATATCAGTTTTCTCCTTTGTCGAATTGTCCGCATACCGAATTCAACCATAATACTGTATTAAGTATCATAAACGAGATTGAGCATCGATGTAACGAAAACCCTGAAGGCTTTTGATGACATTCTTGACTTGATCGTGGTCAAGGTTGTGCTCCTCAGAAAATTGACCCGAATCCAGGATCTGCTCATTGTTCTGCAGAAACCCTTGTATCGCTCTTTCTGCCATTATTCTATTCGACCTTCGTATTTTCAATATTCTCCCGTCACTGCCGCAGAAGGGGTAGAGGAATAGCTGAAAACTGGGATTCAATGGTTTGCGTTAAGCCGAAGACCCTCTAATCCAAGAGGTTTTTTAAAGAATTAAAAATTCTAATTAACGGAGAACCAATAGGCCCACTGAATACAAAAATGGACCTTCCTAAGTTTTGGCCCAACTACGTATCTAGCCTTTTTTTTTTCCGCCGGTAACGAGAGAGTGTAGACAGCAAAGGGGAGAGAACGGAGAAACTTTTTGAAATTTGACTGAACCGGTGCGAAGAAGCAGCCATGTCCGGTTTCCCGAGCTTATTTTTGTACAGAAATGGAGTTATCTCTCTTTTGCGTCTCAGTTCTTCGAGATTAGGATGCTTCACTCGACTAGGGTTTTCTTCCGGCGCTATAAAACAGAAGAAACGAGATGATTCTGCTTCTCACCAAGCATTTGGCGTCTCCGGTGAGTTTTTGTTTTCTGAGAAATTTTTCTGTATATGTGAATTCAAGCTCGTTAAACTGAAGAAAGGAGTGTTCATGTAAAAATTATACGATGCTGAGTTGGATATTTCACTTTTTCATGCTTAAATTATTCAATTTCCTCTTCTCTTTATTGGGTGGGCTTCATTAACTTCTAACACTTTCAGAGTGAAAATTTTGGTGATTTTTGGCTGAATTTTGGTTCCTATAGTGTTTTGTTCTGAATCTTCTGGATGGGTTTTGCTAAAGATTTGAACTTTTTTGGGGTCTATGAAACAGGGTTTGATATGGAGAAGAGCATATATAACATTCTCACTATTGACCGTTGGGGATCTCTAAACCATATGAACTATAGACAGGCTCGTCTTCGACCAGTTCATGGGAAGCTGGCTTTGAAGTTTCTTAAATGGGTCGTTAAGCAGCCCGGTTTAGAGCCTGACCATCTTCTTCAGCTGTTTTGTATCACTACACACATACTCGTTAGAGCTAGAATGTATGACCGTGCAAGACACATCTTGAAGGAGTTGTCTTCGATGGGCAACAAATCAAGCTTTGTTTTTGGTGCTTTGATGACCACGTACCGGGTTTGCAATTCAAACCCTGCTGTTTTCGACATCTTGATTAGAGTTTATCTGAGAGAAGGAATGATTCAAGACTCTCTGGAGATATTTCGTTTGATGGGTCTCTACGGTTTCAACCCTTCTGTTTATACTTGTAATGCAATGCTTGGTTCCATTGTGAAGAGTGTTGGGGATGCCTCAGTCTGGTCTTTCTTGAAGGAGATGCTCAATAGGAAGATTTGTCCCGACGTGGCTACCTTCAATATACTGATTAATGTGCTCTGTGCTGATGGAAACTTTAAAAAGTCGTCTTATCTCATGGAAAAGATGGAGAAGAGTGGTTATCCCCCAACTATAGTCACATACAATACTGTGCTCCACTGGTATTGTAAAAAGGGAAGATTTAAAGCTGCTACTGAGCTTATTGATCACATGAAGTCGAAAGGGGTTGACGCTGATGTCTGTACATATAACATGATTATCCACGATTTATGCAGAAACAGTAGAAGTGCCAAAGGTTATTTGTTGCTGAGAAAAATGAGGAAGAGGATGATTTACCCCAACGAAGTCACGTACAACACGCTGATTAATGGTTTTTCTATTGAAGGAAAGGTTCTCATTGCTCGTCAACTTTTGGATGAGATGCTAACCTTTGGGCTTTCCCCGAATCATGTCACCTTTAATGCTTTGGTTGATGGATACATTAGCGAAGGAAACTTTAAAGAGGCTTTGAAGATGTTTTATATGATGGAAGCGCAAGGACTTACACCTACTGAAGTTAGCTATGGGGTACTTTTAGATGGGCTGTGCAAGCACGCAGAGTTTGATCTAGCGAGAGGCTTTTACATGAGAATGAAGAGCGATGGGATCTCTGTTGGGCGAATCACATACACTGGAATGATTGATGGGTTGTGCAAAAATGGGTTATTGGATGAAGCAGTTGAGATGTTTGATAAAATGAGCAAAGATGGTATTGATCCTGATATTGTCACATACTCGGCACTTATAAATGGATTTTGCAAGGTGGGGATGTTTAAAACTGCTAAGGAGATAGTTTCTAGAATTTACCGAGCTGGTCTTAGTCCAAATGGCATCATATACTCAACGCTGATATACAGTTATTGCAGGATGGAGTGCTTAAAGGAAGCTTCAAGAGTTTATGAAGCTATGGTCCTCGAGGGGCACACTCCAGACCATTTCACGTTCAATGTACTAGTTGCTTCGCTGTGTAGAGCTGGTAAAGTGGGTGAGGCAGAAGAATTTATGCGTTGCAAGACAAGTGATGGTCTTCCTTCTAACGCAGTTAGCTTTGATTGTCTTATCAACGGATATGGAAGCTCGGGTGAAGTGCTAAAAGCGTTCTCTGTATTCGATGAGATGACCAAAGTAGGTCATCACCCAACGTTCTTCACATATGGTAGTCTGCTCAAGGGATTATGCACAGGTGGGCATTTGAAAGAGGCAGAGACGTTTCTTAAGAGCCTCCATGATGTTCCTGCAGCTGTTGATACTGTAATGTACAACACACTACTCACTGCGATGTGTAAGTCAGGGAACTTGGACAAGGCTGTCTCTCTTTTTGGTGAGATGGTGCAGCGAAGCATTCTCCCTGACAGTTATACATATACCAGTCTTATTTCTGGGTTGTGTAGGAAGGGAAAGACTGTTATTGCCATACTTTTTGCTAAGGAAGCTGAGGGGCGAGGTAATCTACTTCCCAACGAGGCGATGTATACCTGTTTTGTGGATGGTTTGTTCAAGGCTGGCCAGTGGAAAGCTGCTTTTGATTTCCGGGAGCAAATGGAGAAACTTGGCCTTACCCATGATGCTGTCACAACGAACGCAATGATTGATGGTTGCTCAAGGATGGGGAATATAGAGAAGACATATGACCTACTTTCTGAAATGAGGAACCAAAACCAGGGACCTAATCTGACTACCTACAATATTCTCTTGCATGGTTATTCAAAGAGGAAAGACATATCAACAACCTTTATGCTGTACAGATCAATGATACAGAACGGCATTTTGCCTGACAAGCTCACTTGCCATTCTCTTATTCTCGGGGTTTGTGAATCCAACATGTTGGAGATTGGTCTTAAAATCTTGAAAGCATTCATATGCCGAGGTATTGAAGTTGACAGGAGTACGTTCAACATGCTAATCTCCAGGTGTTGTGCAAATGGAGAGATCAGTAAGGCATTTGATCTAGTTAATGTCATGACCTCACGGGGAATCTCCCCTGACAAAAACACTTATGACGCCATTGTAAGCGTCCTCAACAGGAACCACAGATTCCATGAATCCCGCATGGTTTTGCAGGAAATGTCGAGGCAAGGTTTATCTCCTGAGTGTACAAAGTACATTGGTCTGCTTAACGGTCTTTGCAGAATGGGAGATATAAAGACTGCGTTTGCGCTGAAGGATGAGATGATAGCACTTAAGATCTGTGCGCCAAATGTAGCTGAGAGTGCAATGGTGAGAGCGGTTGCAAAATGCAGCAAGGCTGAAGAAGCTATGATGCTTCTTCGTGCCATGCTGAAAAAGAAGCTGGTTCCAACTATTGCTAGTTTCACGACTCTGATGCACATGTTTTGCAAGAATGGTGATGTTACAGAGGCCCTGGAATTGAGAGACGTCATGAGAAATTGTGGCCTGAAGCTTGATCTGGTATCGTACAATGTATTGATTAGTGGACTATGTGGTAGAAGTGATATGGTAGCTGCATTTGAACTCTATGAAGAGATGAAACGAGATGGTTTCTTAGCCAATGTGACTACTTACAAAGCTCTAATCAATGGGGTACTTTCTGGAGGAACTGTATTCTCTGAGACTGATATCATCATTAAAGATTTACTTGCAAGAGGATTCATAACATCCGTGAGCTTGTCACAAGATTCACACAAAACATTGACAATGGTCATGGAGAAGCTGAAGGCCTTGCAAAGTAACAAGAAGGGATAAAACATCAGAACAAACTTTATGTGGTAAACCATATGATCCGCTTCCCTAAGCGATTAGGGGTTAACGCTTATCTCGAGGGTCTGCTTCTCTGTAACACGGTTCGTTCTTAATCTTTATGTCTGTTACTCTTTCGTTTCTTATTTACGGTGTCCACATGTACTGTGTTTTCTGCTTTCCAGGTGGAAATGCAATTTATCACCGTGAAGAGCTGGATGTACAGAGTACATGTTCTGTAGAGGAGCCAGCTAAAAAGATCCTTGAGCTTCGTTTGATTCACAGTATGCATCTTACGTCATTCTGATTAGCAATGAAGTATGCAATCATAGTTATACTTTTGTTTTCTCTTGTTTCATTGACAGTTCTTGATGTGAGTGCCAACCAGTTCCAGAAGCTCAAGCACTTGAAACTTGTGCTGTTATGCAGAACGAGACAATCAAGACAGTGAAGCTGCGCCTTTCCCTGACAAATACAACTCAAAACCATACAAAAAAAGATCAATTGAATTTCTTTAAACTCCAGGTGGGTTTATTGTACTAACTGCTGTCTTTACTCCACTTGCGTTAAAGATCTTTATTTGTTTCTTCTTTCTTACACTTTTTTGCTCCTCTTTACAGAGAGTCAGAGCAGGAAGAGGAACAAACTCTGAATAATAGCTGGAGTTGTGTTGGCAATTCATGTGCTAACTTCACCTGTGAATCAGTCCAGGGAAAACTGGGTGATGACATGCAGAGCCATGGAAGAAGCAAAAGGTTCTTCTTCTGTGTATTTTCGAGGAATCTTTATAATGAAATTGTCGGAATGGAGACACAGAGAAACTGGTTTGTTGTGTTTGGATGGTGTCTGAGGGATCTTGATGCAGACAGAATCTAACAATTCGTCAGATTGCATCACTGGATTTGTTCCATTTTGCAGTACCCACTCGTGAGCCTGTAACACATTATTATTATCATTATAATAATGCATTATCAATGTGTAGATTGTCTGTTAGTCTTCTAACAATTTGATTTACATTCATATTGATATGCGTTAATATAAATATTTTACAAACACTGGTTGCACCTATCAGGAATAAACAAACTAAAAATTAAATATTTGTCGCGACTATTACTCAACAAAACAATAATAATTCTTTTACCAAATCCGTAATGTTTATTTTTAAAACTTTATATAATTAGAGATCTACAAAATTTCAAACATTAATACAGCTAGTGGATTAAGATATAGTGTAGTAACATTGGTAGATGAATGATGATGACGGATGGCATTTTAGATTATAGTTTTGTCAAATAACAATCGTTGTTAGGAAAAATAATATTATTTCATCATCAACAATAGGCCACTTGATAATTCTACAATTCATAATGAACAACTAGTGTCATTATTTATTTTGACAAAATCGTTTCAGCCACCTTTTTAAAACTGATGCTAAAGAAAAAAGGTTAGCCATTGATTTTGTTCTTTGGCAAAATGGGTTATGATTATAGGGGGAGTCCATTTAATAACTTTTTATTTAAAAAAAAAATCATCTGAAAATATTAAGAGGATTATATTATAAATACATAAAAGCTCAAAATTGATGCTACCAGACAAAACAGTGCCAGCAAGTCACTTGGTTTGCATTCGTCTGAACCAACATATATGCTCTCTATTAACAGCCGTTAGCCAGCTCATCTTTCCGTTAACAAACCTAAAGACGTCACGTCCCTATGACTAACTCCGTTTATATAAACCGTTACAGACATCGCACCGAGAAGACAGATAAAGAGAAAGAGAAGCAAAAAAAAGAAGAATTTTCAGAAAGAAAAAAAGCAAAAAAAAAAAGAAAGAGAGAAAAAGAAAAGTCTCTCTCTTTCTCTCTCTTTTTTTCTCTCCCAGATTCTCTCTCTCCTGCGATCAATTTTTTCTCTCACTTTCCTTGGTTTTCTCGGCGGCTTCATCTTCATTTTTACGAATCGTCTTCCCATTTTTCTTGGGATAAATCTTCCTCCTTTCTGCAGTCGCCATGTCGGTACGTTATAATCGCCTCTTCTTAAGAGTTTTTTTTTCTGTTTCGATACATGCTTGCTTGAGGATACCTTCGAATTCGATTGGATGAGTTTTGAGAATTAAGTTTTCCATTTGGTAAGTTAGATGCTTTGTTTCATGTTGATCGGAGGGTTTGTGTTCTGTCTTATCCGCTCAACAGTTTTGTCGGAACTTCAATATTCGATAAGCAGATGTGATATTGTAATTCTGATGAGCTATTGTCTTGTTTCTGATAACCCCTTTTATGGATCTCGGTTTTTATTCTACATTTTCACTCTTTCAATTTCGATCTCCGGCTTTTATTCAATCTGATTTTGATTGATTAAGCTTAGATTTTGATTTTAAAACCCGGGAGATTGATTTATCTTTTAGCTTAGCTTTTGATTAAAGGGATTTGATTTTGGATTTGAGATGAATTTTTTTTGGTACAGAGAAGTTGTCCTGTGTTAGCTTTTCTTCCCCCAGATTGTTCTTTGGTAGTGAAGAGGCATGAACATTTGTGGGGCATTTTGTTGACGGACAGGCAAAAAATCTTCTTTGTGTTGTGATTTTGTTTGCTTATTTAGAGAAAAAATAATAATTAAAATCAGTAGCTTCAAACTTCGTTTCTTTCTTCACCTAATAAAAGGATAAGAAAGTGGATAGGAGCTTTTGAATTTTCTCGTATGGTTTAGTTTTGGTATTCCTTTTGACTTATTGGTGTATAATGTTTGCTAAAAAATGGAAAGTTGGATTAGTTTTGGGCTAATTGTACAAACCTTGATTGTTTAAATGGATTCATAAGTCAAGTCCTAATCTTATCTTCTTGTGTTTGCTCCCACCTCCTAAGACAGAACATATACACTTAACAACACGTGAATTGGCGATTTATTCATATGATTTGGCACAAGGGGTTGCTGAATTGAGTTTGAGATTAAGCATGTTTCTTGATGCTTTGGTTTCACGATTTGTGGTTAACATGAACAGGACAAAGGTCGTCCCTTGCCGAAGTTTGGTGAATGGGATGTGAATGATCCAGCATCAGCAGAAGGATTCACAGTGATATTCAACAAAGCTAGGGATGAGAAAAAGACAGGTGGCAAACCGGGATCACCCGGTAAATCCAGTGAGGGTCATGTTAAGTCTGGAGGAGGAGATCCTAGTAAACCTCAGCCTGTAAGTTTCTTCTTCTTCTGTGTTTTCTCTATGTCTCTATATCTTCTGTTTTGATCCAACGTCACACAAATGGAGCTCTTTGGTTTCAGAAAAAGTGGCTCTGCTGCATGCAATCTCCGGCTGTGGACTCTTGACAGTCACAAAGATAGATTTGCTTGCTGCTGCCTCTCCCAAAAAAAAAGTCACATTGCTTAGACATCTGAAGCAATGTTCTTTTATGTTTTATTATCTTTCTTGAAAGTACCCACCACAAAAAAGTTCCTAAGATGATTTGGAGCCTCCCTCCCTTAGTATCACGATTATGATTCCTTCTTTGAAGTTGTTTGTTCTTTTTAAAATCATGTATAATCGTGTCGCCACTTTTATTGGAAAACCAGAAAGAAGAAAAGAAAAAAAAAAAACACAGTTACTGTGTCTATATGTAATGATTCTCATGGGTCTTTTTTGGATTTAATTTTATCGTGTCTTATATTTCTTGATTTCACAGTTAAGTTTATTATATATTCTCCTGTGTTGTTTTTTTCGTCAATTCATTTTGCCACGATGATGAGTGAAAATTTCCAAGACAAATTTGGTTATATAGCCATATTAAACTGAAAAATAGATAAACTAACCATAAGAATTAATGGCTATAGTATTTTGTATATATTCTACAATATATATAAAATTATTTCTTTTCTATTTTTTTTTTCTTCCTGTTTTTTCTTCTTTCTTCCTTTTTTCTTCTTTTCTTTTCTCCTCTTCACTCCTTTTTTTTCTGTTCTCTTTCCCTTCCGATCTTCTTTCTTACCCTCACTCCTCATTTTACATTTTGTCCTCTTTCCTATACAATTTATAAGATATAAATATTTTATATATAGTATAGTATAGTAATATAAATTGATATAGTATATTATATTAATGTATTTATAAATTTTATTTGAAGAGTAAAATAAACAAATTTTAGGATTTTTGATTATTAAATTAATTATGAAATTAATATGGTTATATTATTTATTTTATGGTGTAATGTGGTTATTTCACAAATTAAGTCAATTTCCAAACCCTTTTTCTTAATTTTGCTCTTTAATACAGAATATACAAACATGAATCCCAAAAAAAAGAACAAGTTGAAAAACTTTTTTACTGGGCCCATTCTGGATTCTAACTAAGCCTTCCGTCGCGACCATTTTTTGTGAACCTCTCTAATCTGCCAACAAAATGTGATCGTTATAATTTTTATCTCATTGAGTCGAATTTATAATATATATTTGAGTTTTGTTTCTTTCCCTCAGTGAGAAAAATCAGAAATGGGCACAAACTTCTGTGATGGTCAAACGGGAACACAAAACTAAAAGGTTTAAAATTTAGTGACAATTCAATGATATGAAATTATGAATGAGATGCGTCTGTATCTTTACCATCACGTATCTCTCTGACTGTGCGTATATATAAAACGTGTGCAACGTATCTAATCAGTTAAGAACAATCCAACCGTCACAGGAGAAAGTGAATATGTCGGCGTCGGGCGAGAAGAAACCGTCGGTTCCGTCTACTCATGTCACCGTCAAAGTCAGTACGTACTCAGGTACTTGAATAAATTGCCACATATAGTTGATTGATTTTTTATTTATTTTTGTATATCTACTAATACAGTATTGCCATAAGTTATCATTTTCACAATACATTCTTAAGCAAAAAAAGAAAGGGTTGATTTCCGTAAAAATCATATTATTCAACCGGCCTACAAGATGAATTAATATGCGTAAATATTAACACATATACGATGTCTTTAGTGTTTTCCCACAAATTAAAAAACAAATCATTTTTTTTCATTAAGATTGTTTTTAACAATTTATGGGGTTATATTCCTACGCTAGCACTTATTCATAACTGTGTAAATCGATAAAAAAAAAAAATCAATTTATTTATTGAAGTTTACAATTTGTTAATATTATTTACTACGAAATATATATATAAGCTCACAGCCAATGAACAAAAAAAAAAGAAGCCAGCGCCTACGGCATCACTATTTGATGTAGAACTAAGAGAGGCATATATTTATGAATATTTTACTTTTATGTTTTATTAGTATAAAAAATGCTTATGTTATTGTTTGGCACGGCTCTGTAAGCTAGAAAAAATTATATTTATGGAACAAAATAAAAACTTGGAAGATCTGTATAATTTTTTTTTTTTGCAAATATATTAACAGAAAGAGACGTGTGTATTCGAGGAACGTTGCGCTCCGTATGATGATGGAAGGATTTTGCTCCAAGCTTCGAATAGAAATGTCTATTCTAAGGTTTCACTTTGATGGAAAGAGGATTAGACCCGATCAAACTCCCAATGAGGTATTATTTATCTTCACTTTTTTTTTCTCCTTACCCCAATCATATATGGGCTTGACCAAACTGAAAAAGAAAACATTTACAGCTTGGGCTTGAAGATGAAGATGAAATCGACGCATTCTTTGACCAATATGGAGGGTGCAGTCTCTGTTATCGCTATTATCAGTGTCTCAAGAATCATTAGTACGGCTCACAAAAGATTTATACTTTAGTCTTGTTTAATTATTTTATGTTCTTCAACACAAAAGTTAGTTATTGATCAACGTTGTCCAGACTTAGGTGATTTTTGGATGAATGTGCTTTTTTTAATTGAGAGTTTTCTATAAACATAAAATCTAGCAAGTTATATTCGACTATGATTCAGTGGTATTAATAGCAATCTCGGAAAAGAATCTAAGTTCACCGTCGTCGTGTTAGCCGGTGTGCTTCTCAAGGAGTGTCAGACCCTTCTCACGGCCGGGATCCACCCTAGTGTCTATAATATGTAATGATTCTCATGGGTCTTTTAATATTATGGTATTTTTATTTCTTGATTCGATTTCTCAATATATATGAAGTTTTGTGTCGATCCTTTTGTTTTGTCTTTTATTACATCAAACAAGTTACTGTGTTGTGTTTTTCGTCAATTCATTTTCCACGATAATAGACCATCCCTTGAGTGAAAATATCCAAAACTATTCTCTTAATTGCTGTTTCACAATCGATATCACATCTCACAATACAACCTAGAATCATAATATCAAAACACATATATGGAAGCAAAGTGTGTGATGGTTATAATTTTATCGAATGATATATAAATTTGATTTTTCTTTCTTTCGCTCAAAGTGACAAAAATCAGAAATGGGCACAAAAAATTTTGATGGTCAAAACTATCAGTGATGATATTCAATCAAGGAACGAAAAAAAAAAGGGAACAGAAAACTGAAAGGTTTTAAACGTAGCGTCAATTCAATGATATTGAATGCGATACATCTGGATTTTTTATATAATAATGTGTGTAACGTATCTAATCAGTTGAGAACAATCCAACCATCACAGGAGAAAGTGAAGATGCCGGCGTCGGACGAGAAGAGACCGTCGGTTCCGTCGAATCGTATCACCGTCAAAGTCAGTAATCAGGTAGTTGAATAAATCGTAACATGGTTGATTGAATATTAGCCGTTCGTTCCGTCGAATCGTATCACCGTCAAAGTCAATAATGTTGCTCCTTTTTATCTCAAGTTACTTTTTACTGTGAAATTTTGCAATAAAAAGGTAACTTGAGTTTGTATGTTAACTTTAAGGTTCTGAGAAAAAAATATATAAATTAATTATATAATTTTATTAATTTATAGATATCTTATTTGATTAATAATTTAATTTTGGAACTGATAAAAAAATATTAATTGATTTTAGATTAGTTTATCGAATATTAATTTATAGAAGTTTTACTATATTTCAGTAAGTTATCATTTGCACAATACTACTTAGAAACAAAAAAAAATGTTCATTTCTGTATAAATCATATTAGTCAACCGGCCAATGATGCGTATTATCCTTTTGTTTCTTGAAATTTGATGTCTTTAGGAGGGCATATTGGATTAGTGTTTTCCCACTAATAAAAAATAATTAAGTCTTAACAATATTCATTTTTTTCATTTAGAGTTTTTTAACAATTCTTGCATCATTTTCCTACACTGTGAATCAATAGATGTTCAATTTAATTGTTGCAGTTTCACTAGTATTTGTTATATATAAAAGCTAGAAATTTTATTTTCATGGAACAAAATAAAAACCTAGAAGATCAAATCTAATACAACAGAAAGAGAAGTGTGTGATCTTCCGGATTAAGAGGGACGTTAAGCTCCGTAGGATGATGGAAGCATTTTCCGACAAACTTGGAATAAAAATGTCTACTCTGAGGTGTCACTTTGATGGAAAGAGGATCAAACCCAATCAAACTCTCCTCCAATGAGGTATTTCTCTTTCACATCCTTTTTTTTTTCTTTCTTTCTTAAGTGTTATACCCTAATAATATATGAATCAAACTGAAAAAATGAAAACCACTGCAGCTTGGGCTTGAAGACGAAGATGAAATCCAAGCATTTTTTGACCAAGTTGGAGGTTGCAGTTTCTGTTATCGCTATTAACATTGTCTTTAACGACATTAAGAATCATTAGTACGGCTCACAGAAGATTAATACTTTAGTCTTGTTTAATTATGTTTTTTAACACTAAAGTTGGTTATTGATCAACCTTGTCAAGACTTAAAAGTGGTTTATGGATGAAGGGTTTTTTTTTTTATTGAGAGTTTTCTATAAACATAAAATCTAGCAAGTTATATTAGACTAAGATCATTCAGAGGTATTAGCAGCAATAAAAAATCTGAGTTTACCGAATTCAATATATAACTCCATTTTCACTCATTATCAAGCTATAGAAAATGTGATAAACTGATAGAGATGGGCATGACGCATGAGTCCGTATCATCATCATCATACATGATCAAGTCACGAGAGGCATAAGAATCAAAGAGATGTAGATATTTTCTTCCTTTTTCCGTATTAAATGTAAAATATGCACAAGTACAAGAGTAAATCATTGTCAATATGATCATCCTATATATAGAAGAAAGGAAATAGGAGCGAGGGGATTTTCAAAATTTTCCATTCTCTCTTTCTTATATATAGAACTCTTGTTGCGCTGTGTCTAGGGTTTATTGCAAATTTCCCTTTTTTTCCTTTCGGAGATCAAATCAGAACTCGATCTCTCGGTTGTAGACGTCAACAATGGCGGCGACGGCACTCATGGCATCAAAGGCTGAATCCTTTGTAGACAACAAACGGAAGGAGGATGTCCGTTTCTCGAACATCAACTCTGCTCGCGCCGTCTCAGACTCCGTTCGCACGAGTCTAGGGCCGAAGGGGATGGACAAGATGATTTCGAGTGCGAGCGGCGAGGTCATCATCACCAACGATGGAGCTACGATCCTCAACAAGATGGAGGTTTTGCAGCCGGCGGCGAAGATGCTGGTCGAGCTCTCCAAATCGCAGGACTCCGCCGCCGGAGATGGGACCACCACCGTCGTCGTGTTAGCCGGTGCGCTTCTCAAGGAGTGTCAAACCCTTCTCACGGCCGGGATCCACCCTAGTGTCATCTCGGATGCGCTTCACCAGACTTGTGCGAAGTCGGTTGATATCCTGACCGCCATGGCTGTCCCTGTGGAGCTCACTGACCGAGATTCGCTCGTCAAATCCGCCAGCACGTCGCTTAACAGTAAGGTCGTTAGCCAGCACTCGGCGTTGCTTGCTCCTTTAGCTGTAGATGCTGTACTTTCCGTTATAGATCCGGCAAAGCCAGACGTAGTGGATTTGCGTGATATCAAGATTGTGAAGAAGCTTGGTGGTACCGTGGATGACACGCATAAGGTGAAAGGTTTGGTTTTCGACAAGAAGGTGAGCCATGCCGCTGGTGGACCGACTCGGATGGAGAATGCTAAGATCGCTGTGATTCAGTTCCACATCTCACCCCCCAAGACTGACATCGAGCAAATTATTGCTGTCAGTGAATATACTCAGATGGATAGGATCTTGAAAGAAGAGAGGAATTACTACAAGAGGATGATTGAAAAGATCAAGGCATCTGGTTGCAACGTTTTACTCATCCAGAAGAGTATTTTGAGGGATGCTGTGACTGATTTGTCTCTTTTCTATTTGGCTAAAGCCAAAATAATGGTAATCAAGGATGTGGAGAGGGATGAGATTGAGTTCGTCACCAAGACATTGAACTGCCTGCCAATCGCCAATATCGAGCATTTCAGAGCTGAGAAGCTTGGCCATGCTGATCTTGTTGAAGAAGCCTCTCTTGGAGATGGAAAGATTCTAAAGATCACTGGAATCAAAGACATGGGGAGAACCATCTCTGTGCTAGTCCGTGGGTCCAACCAGCTTGTTCTAGACGAAGCCGAGAGGAGTCTACACGATGCATTGTGTGTTGTCAGGTGCCTTGTGAGCAAGAGGTTCTTGATTGCAGGAGGTGGCGCACCGGAGATTGAGCTCTCGAGGCAGCTAGGTGATTGGGCCAAGGTCCTCCACGGGATGGAAGGTCACTGTGTCAAGTCTTTCGCTGAAGCTCTTGAGGTGATTCCTTACACTCTGGCCGAGAACGCAGGGTTGAACCCTATTGCCATTGTGACTGAGCTCAGGAACAAGCATGCGCAAGGGGAAATCAACTCCGGGATCAATGTGAGAAAGGGTCAGATCACTGATATCTTGGAGGAAAACGTGGTTCAGCCTCTGCTTGTGACTACCAGTGCCATCACTCTCGCAACTGAATGCGTAAGGATGATTTTGAAGATTGATGACATCGTTACCGTGAGGTAGTTTCACTCAAAACCGGTCCAACAACACTTATCTAAGCTTTGTTTCTTAATTTTTACTACGGCACAAAAGATTAATAATTTAGTCTTGTTTAATTATTTTCACATGTTGTTGTGACACAAAAGTTTGTTAACGTTATCAAGATTTGAGTGATTTATGGATGAATGTGCTTTTTGGTAGAGAGTTTTCTATCAACTATAAGTTATCCGATTAAACTTCATCAGGTATTAATAGCTTTCTCGGAAAAAATCCTGAGTTTACCGACTTCAATATATAATAGTTTTAACTCCATTTTCACTCTTTATCCTGGCATAAAAAAAATGATAGAGATGGGAATGAATTTGTTGAGGATCACTAATAATCGTTTGTCCCAATAATTGTAATGATTTTCCTTGTCTAATTACTATTTAATGTTTTTGAGGACAAAAAAACATTAGTTTAATCGATTGTTCGAATGATTGTCTATTGTTTGGTTTTCGTTTGATAAATTAATCATAATCCTTTATTTTATTACAAGCAGAAAATACTGGATTCTACTAATGTTTTTTTTCTTTTTCTTTCTGAATCAAGTTTATACAAATGACCAGAGTAATGTATTTCCAAATGTAGTGACTATCATACTTTGGTATTATTATAAATTATTTTAAAAATTATAATAGAATCTAATAATTTATAAGTGGAGTTGATTACGAGTGTCCATTTTGATAAATACGCATGGCAATATTGCCTAACCCAGTGCAATCCCAGTACAGACAGCTACTTTGAACTCCTAGATCTAGATCAGAAGTACGAATTCTTTTTGGGATGCGATCCAATTGGGAAAAGTCTTAAGGTGTTGTGTGTTGCAATTGATTTAGGAAACCCAAATTACGCTCCAAAAGCGAACATCCTCACATTCTCACCACAAGGAGCTGGAGCTGTTTGGAGAGTTCTCGAAATTCCTTTTCTCCATGACTCTTACCTTGATGGTGGTCTCTGCATGAACGACAAAATATATTACCTATCATGGGACATCGTGGTTTGCTTCAATGTGGCAGCAGAACAATTCACCAGCATCAGTCTTCCTCAAGGACTCAGTGTTACTTCTTGTGGGTTTGTGAGATTCAACGGACGTTTAGCCCTTGCCCGATCAAAAAAAATCTGTTGAATGTCTGGGTTCTGCAAAATGGATTGGTTTAGTGAGATAAAGTTTAATGTTCTCTCCATCATGAAGAAAAAAAGTTTCAAGATCTTAGAAACTGATTTGAGGAGAAAGTTCATGTATACTATCGACAGTTTCAAACTTGAGGATGAGGATGAGAAGATGATCATATACGCTTGTTTAATTATTTTCACATGTTGTTGTAACACAAAAGTTGGTTAACGTTATCAAGACTTGAGTGATTTATGGATGAATGTGCTTTTTGGTAGAGAGTTTTCTATCAACTACAAATTTAGTAAGTTATTCGACTAAACTTCATCAGGTATTAATAGCATTCTCGGAAAAAAAATCTGAGTTTACCGACTTCAATGTATAATAGTTTTAACTCCATTTTTACTCTTTATCCTGGCATAAAAAATGATAGAGATGGGCATGAATCTGTATCATCATCATAATTCATATATGATCAACTCACGAAAGATATAAGTATCAAAGAGATGTAGATATTTTCTTCTTTTTACGTATTAAATGTAAAATATACACAAGTACAAGAACAGATCATTGTCAATATGATCATCCTTGGAGGCCTTGGCCCATTGAGACTCGTCAAACTATATATATATAGAACAAAATGTTTATAATTAGATCTATTTTTTAGCCTTACATGTCGTCTAGTTCACGTGCGAAATAGTTTTATTTGCCCATCAACGCAAATTTGTCTTTCTTTCTCAATTTACGAATTTTCTCTTGATTATATATGAGTTGGGCCATAGCATAATTATGATAGATAATATAAAAATGCGAATATAAAAATGCGAATACTTTCGAACTACATTTTAAAGCCATTAACTAGTAATTTTAGTTGTCACACTTTATAACCAAATCATTTTCATTTCAAATGGCATACCTAATTCCCAATCAAAAGACATATAAACCTTTAGTTTAACTCGAGGCAATACATACAGTATAAGTTTTTGGGAATCTTAAGATGAATTATGCTAACACATACTAGAGGTTAAAATAAATTAAATTAGAGATTTACTGGCCGTCCAAATAATCATTTTAGGTTAATCGGTGACCAACCAAAAGCTGCCAATTGTCAACCAAATACACTTCCCCTTCTTGTCCCTCTCTCCTCTCTGTCTCTCTCTCGCTCTTTCTCTCTCCTCGCCACTGACTTTGCTCTCTCTGATTACAGAAGAATTTCAAACTTCATCTCTTCCGAAAGCTCATATCTTTCCCTTTCATAGGCGTCGAGACTGCATATATCTTTTTTTTGATTAACGTGTTTTATTTTCGGTCTTGATCGTCTTTTCTCTCCTAGAGAAAGAAAAACAAAAAGTCGATCCTTTTCATTGAATTTCTTGGCGCGGCTTCGATTTCCCGTTTCTGAGTTTTTATCTTCCGACTCAGAAAACGATAAAGTTTCAGACCGGAAAGATCAGGTACGAATCGATAAATTTTGTCATCGCTCGTTCGGAGAGATTTCTCCGTCGTCTTTAAAGGCTGAAAATGAACTTTCTATTTTCGATTAGCTAATATACGATCTGTGCGGATTCTTGGTGATTTGGGTTTGAGCAGATCAATTAAAAGAGGAAGCCTTTAATCTTCGATTTATTAATCTTTCCCTTAATTACCTCTGCATAGGGCTTTTTGGTTTAATCTGTGTGTGTACTGTTGATATTGCTTAATTTTCCCATTTACTGAATCAAAAGTCTCTCTCTCTCTTCTGTGTTAGGTGGTGAATCTTGTTTGTTAGGCTTTGTGGCTTTATATAGAAAGAAAATGCAAAATGGTTGCTAAGAAGGGACGTCGAGATTCTTCAGAGTCTTCTCCGATTGTAGAGGTCGGAGAGATAGACACAAGTGCTCCTTTTCAATCAGTCAAAGATGCGGTTAACCTTTTCGGTGAAGCTGCCTTTTCAGCTGAAAAGCCCATCATCATTCGAAAAGCCAGTCCTCAATCCGCTGAGGTAAGATTTGATTTCACAAACAATCTGAGTGAGTTGAGAGGTTTTTTCAAGTCTAAGTTGTGTTGTGGGGGTTTGCAGAAAGTTTTGGTGAAGCAAACAGAGCTTCACTTGGCGCAGAGAGAGCTGAACAAGTTAAAGGAAAAGCTTAAGAATGCTGAAACGATCAGGGAGCAAGCTTTGAGTGAGCTCGAGTGGGCTAAAAGAACTGTTGATGAGCTTACTCGTAAGCTTGAAGCTGTTAATGAATCGAGAGACTCTGCGAATAAAGTGACTGAAGCTGCCAAGAGTCAAATCCAAGAAGCGAAACCGGGGAATGTTTCTGTGTCTAGTAGTGATGATGCTCACTCTCGGGATATGGAACAGTACGGGACGGTATGCAAGGAGCTTGATACAGCGAAGCAGGAGCTGAGAAAGATCCGTCAGGTTTCGAATGAGGTTTCGGATTCAAAGACTGTTGCTTTAACCAAAGTAGAGGAAGCCAAGGAAGTGACTAAAGTTAACACTGAGAGGATTGAGTTGCTTAGAAAGGAAATCGCAGCTGTTAATGAATCAGTTGAACAGACGAAGTTTGCGTGCTCTCAAGCGCGAAAAGAACAGTCTGAGATCTTTGCAGAGAAAGAGATCCATCAGCAGTCGTATAAAGCTGGCATGGAAGAATCCGCCAAGAAGTTGCTCGCTTTGAAGGAAGAGTTTGATCCTGAATTTGCGAAAAAGCTTGAAGCGCAGTTGACTGAGACGTATAACGAGATTGATGAATTGCAGAAGCAAATGGACACTGCGAAGGCATCGGATATGGATTCAGTTAACGGTGTGAGCTTGGAGTTAAATGAAGCAAAGGGTTTGCTCGAGCGATTTGTGGAAGAAGAGAAGTCTCTGCAAGGGTCAGTGGAGTCTCTTAAAGCAGAACTGAAGAACGTGAAGACGGAGAACGATGAAGTTGAAGCGAAGGAGGCTGAAATCGAATCTGTCGCTGGAGATCTTCATCTGAAGCTAAGCAAACGCAAGACTGAGCTAGAGGAATGTGTTGAAGAGGAATCTAAAGCAAAGGCTGCTTTGGAAGATATGATGTTAACCTTGAATCAGATAACTTCCGAGACGGAAGCTGCTCGACGAGAAGCTGAGGCAATGAGAAACAAAGCCGAAGGGTTAATGAAGGAAGCAGAAACCGCGCATCTCACGCTTGAAGACACAGAGCTACATTTGAGGGTTGCTCTAGATGAAGCTGAAGAAGCAAAAGCTGCAGAGACAAAGGCGCTTGAGATGATAAAGTCAGTGTCTGAGAAAACCAACGCTGCGCGGAACTCGACATCATCTGAGTCTGGAGCTCAGAGCATAACGCTGTCTCAGGAGGAGTTTAAGTCTCTGAGCAAGAGAGCTGAGGTATTCGATAAGTTAGCGGATATGAAGGTGGCGGCTGCAATGGCTCAGGTGGAAGCAGTGAGAGCTAGCGAAAACGAGACACTGAAGAAGCTAGAGACAACACAAGGGGAGATTGAGAAGCTAAAGACTGCAACACAGGAGGCACTGAAGAAAGCAGCAATGGCTGATGCTGCAAAGAAAGCGGTTGAAGGAGAGCTCAGGAGGTGGCGGGAAAGAGATCAGAAGAAAGCAGAGGAAGCGGCGTCGAGGATTCTTGCGGAGGCAGAGGCGAAGATGTCCGCTGAATCATCACCACCACAACATCACTACAAAGCTACGAAGCAGAAACCTATACATAACAAACTGGAGAAGACGAAAACTTCAGTGGTATCAAAGAAAGTGCTTCTGCCGAATCTAAGTGGAATCTTTAATAGAAAGAAGAATCAAGTGGAGTGGGGTTCTCCTTCTTACCTCCCTGGAGAGAAACCCCTTTGATGATTTCTTTTCTTCTTCTCAAGATTTGAACTTCTGTTGTTGTGAACAATCAGAAAGTTGTGTGCTTTTTTTTTGGCTAAAGAAGGTTGTGGTTTGAGATCAGAGGCAGTTGCAGATTTGGTCTATAATGTGAGAAAACTGGTTTGTTGCTGTAAATTGGATCAAAGCGATTATAGGTTGTTTTATTTTGTCACTTTGTTGTGATTGGTGAATGGTTTTTTTTTGTTTCTTACATAAGCTGCAACTTTGAGACAAAATACGGATAATGAACAAATTACACTGAGCCAAGAGGAGATCACAACACCACTCTCTTGAGCTTCCGTTATATGCATATACGTTACCCATTCCATATGTTTTGCACTTTTTTCTTCATAATGTTATACAATTTATGTTTGCTATCAAGTAAAATTATCCACCGATTATCTTTAGATTTTTGTCTTTTCCAGAAATTGCCAAAGATCTCACGTTTTCCTTTCACATTTTTTTTATCTAAATTTTCAGAAATTTATATGTTTTCCATTTTTATAAATTCTATTTTTGTAAAGTTACGTATTTATGTTAATGAACATTACTAAAAATCCAAGAAGATATAAACCAAAATGAATGTCATTACGTCATATGAACGTGTCGAATTATGGTGCTACTCTGGTAGATATTATTAATACAATTTTATTAATTGACTAACAAAAAGTTTTTACTTTCTCTCCTTTCTTCTCCAAACTTTCAGGTTCGATCTCTCCAAAAATTTGAACTTCTTTTCGAATTCAATGGGAAGCGGAAGATATTTAGACGACCCTTTAACCTTCACCAGAAACCCACCATCTCCGTCGTCTCCCATCACCGTATCCAACCATCTCGACAGCTTTCTCGGCGAATCGACCTCTCGCTCTGGAAGCTTCGAAAGTGAGAGCATTAGCGACGCCGATCTCGGACCTGAGAAACTCGCCGGGACCGTTCAGTTCTACGAGAGACATGTCTTCTTGTGCTACAAAAAACCCTCCGTCTGGCCAGCGAGGATCGAGGCGTCCGAGTTCGATCGGTTACCGAGGCTTCTCTCTTCCGTCGTATCGGCAAGGAAGAGTGACATGAAGAAAGAGGTGACCTTTTTAAGTCCTTTTGAATGTTTATCCTCTGATTTCAAGTGTATTTAGGTCACCTTTTGATGTTAATCCCAGAATTGCTGTGATGCAAGTGCTCTTAGGTCTGATCATTTCTGTAGTTTGATCCAAATCGTTTGTGATTCTAACTTTGGGGAGCTTAGAAGTTATATCTCTAACAAAAGGTTTCGCTAATGAACATTTTATTTACCATTTTGGTTTCTTGTACGATTCCAATTAGCTGCAATATGAGTGAAGGCACGGACACTTCTTTCTGCTTTGGTCTACTTAGGGATTTCTAAGATCTCAATGAGTTGTGAAGTCGTTTCTACTAAGGACATTTTGGATTCTTTGAGTATTTGCTTTAAGGAACTATCGAATTTGTGTTTAGATAGTACACAATTTGTATGTGTTTGATGCTAACTTTACAATGTGACCCCTTATGATCTTGGCATCAGTGATCAAATCTCGTTCTTGTTTTTATCGTGTTCATTGACTTGCAGACTCTACTCACAATATGTGAGGGCCATGATGGAACAGAGACATCGAATGGAGATGTTCTGATATTCCCCGATATGATCAGATACAGGTACTCAATAGATATCGTGTTTGATGGTTCTTGATATACAAAAAAAAACTCATTTTGACATTTTCAAACAAAAACATTTGCAGGAGGTTGACTCATTTTGATGTCGACACTTTTGTTGAAGAGGTGCTTGTGAAGGGTGTTGAGTGGCTGCCTGGGAATCCTGAATCTCTAACTGGTTCATATGTCTTTGTATGTTGCCATGGATCTCGCCACCGTCAATGTGGGGTTTGTGGACCGTCTCTGGTTAGTAGATTTAGAGAAGAAATTGAATTATGTGGTCTTGGAGGGGAAGTCTCGGTCAGCCCTTGTTCTCACATAGGTGGTCACAAATACACTGGAGATGTTATCATCTATGGATTAAACGTCAACCAGAGAATCACAGGACACTGGTAAGTGAAAACAATCCCATATTTTGATAAAGAAGATTGAGTTGTATCTGTTTTATATGCGAGTTGTAAGTGATTCTTGTCTCTTAGGTATGGGTTTGTGACTCTAGAAGATGTACCTCAACTGTTGGAGCAACATATTAACAAAGGCGAAATTATAGACCGGCTTTGGAGGTATATAAAGATCAAAGATTCTTGATTTTGACTAGTCTCTGAATTTAGTCGGTATTTTAAACACTTTGATCGATCGTTTTGCAGGGGAGAAATGGGTCTGTTCGAAGAAGAACAGAAGAAAACTCAAGAACAAAGGTTCCAAGAACTAAATGGCGAAAAGATCAACAACGTGGAGGTGACTCAAGAATCAGAGAATAACAGTTTCTGTTGCCAATCTCGAGCTGTACCAGACCTTAATGGTAACTGTTGCCAACAAAATGGGAACTCTTCTCTCTGCTTGGAGGAGAATCGAGTTACCTCGGAAAATGAAGTCTCTGTAAAAAATGCATCTTTGCGGATAAGTAGCAGCGAGAAAGGATCTTCTTGTGGACTCAAGGTTTGTGCTGCGTTGTCAACGTGGTTTGAGAATTGGGAGAAAGAAGATACATATGCTGCTTTAGCTGTTGCTTGTGCTGCTGCATCTGTGGCTATTGCTTTTAACTGCTATAAACAATTGAAATGAATCAATTTGTTATGTATCTTACTTCCTTGGAATAGTGATTATTATCTCAGCCCCTTAGTTTAGTTTATATTCTTCTTCGTCTGTATAGAGTTAGAGAGGAGGGTTTTTATCACTTTATGTAAGAACTGTTTGTTCTCAATATATAATGTTATCCAATTTGTAAAAATTAACGGGTTTTTTCAGTCGGTTCTCCAGAATAGTTTTTGTCCAATTCAGTTAAAACCAGACTAAAGATCTCTGGTTTCGAGTTCAGATCAATGAGAAGCAAAGAACTTTCTGGTTTTTGGATTTGATGGATTTGCGATACTCAATGGTTCGTATCTAGTAATAAATTAACAGAAGAAGATGGTACAGAGACTGTCTTAGATTTTTTGAAGAATGATACAAAGCTTATAACTTGTTCAAGACGTGAAAGAGAAAGGACAACAAAAAGAGAAGAAGAGAGAACACATTTCTCGAAAACACTAGACAGTTTCTGAAGAATTTGCCAAGAAACAATAAGAGAATCATCAAATTTGGATAAACAGCTTCTTGCAAAAAAAAAACCTTCAGAAGAAATCAAACTCGAGATAATTGCTCTGGTCAGACCTCACGCTTGTAGATGCAGCAGCCGGTACAGCAGGAGTATGATTCACCGGTCCAAGATCAACCGGTTTAGGAATCTCCGGTGGACTGGCACACCGGACCAGAGCCCAATTCACTCCTTCAAAGAAAGGATGTTGCTTTATCTCCGTTGCTCCACGCTTATAAGCTAATCTATGTTGTGGCTCCTTCACAAGCAAGCTCCTTATCAAATCCCTAGCTGCAAAGCTAACAACCGGAGACTCCGGAAACCTCAAAGGCTGACCAACAACGTTAAAGAGCGTAGCTCGATTCCCGGACCCTTTAAACGGTGTTTTACCGAACAACAACTCATAAAGAAAGATCCCAAAAGTCCACCAATCAACAGCACTTCCATGCCCTTCACCTTTGATGATCTCTGGAGCTAAGTACTCGTGTGTGCCCACAAATGACATCGAACGGGCGCTTGTTGGCTCTGCAACGAGCTCCGGTAACGGAGTCACTTGGTGGTTACCGTTATCGGTTTTCGGTTTCTTGTCCTTCTTAGATTTAGATGAGAAGAACCGAGGACCGAAGCAAGACGTTGGAGCCATTGAGATACAAGATGGTTGCTGGATGCAAGATGGCTGTTGCGAGCAAGAAACCGAATTCTTGGACAAGCCTTCGGATCCGAGATTGGTTGATCTGACTATCGAGAGGCTAACGGTACACCTAAGGGAGAGATCGAAATCCGAAAGCATCACGTGCCCATCGTCTCTCACAAGAACGTTCTCGGGTTTCAGATCACGGTAAATGATCCCGAGCATGTGTAGATACTCCATTGCAAGAAGTACCTCTGCTACATAAAACCTGAAAACACAGTAAAAAGAAGTCAATACATACACAAAAGAATGGTTTCTTTAGATAAAGAGAGTCTTGAGCTTTATTCTCACTTGGCTGCTTGCTCGGTGAAGCGTTTCCCTGGTTGTCTCTGTCTCAGTGTATGCAAATCACCTCCAGGACAAAACTCCATAACCAAACAAGAGAACTTCTCGGTTTCAAAATGACTATACAATGTCGGGAGGAACGGGTGATCAAGACACTGCAGTATCTCTCTCTCAGTTTGAGCACGGAGAAGCTTTTTCCGGCTAGCCAAAGCGGTTTTGTCCATAACCTTCATCGCAAAATAACACCTTGTCCCATTCAACTCAGCGAGATGAACGGTCCCGATATCCCCACATCCTAACCTCTTCAAGAGCCTAAAATGGTTCAAACCCAAACCGCCATGTTTCGTTCTAACAGCTTGAATAGCTTCCCATCTCACATCGTTGGCCTTGTGGGGTTTGTTGATGCTGCTGCTAAAGCTGCTACAGGTGCTCTCATCGCTTATATCGCTGCTCGTGCTCGGTCTACACGTGCTACTCTTCCCGCTCTCACCTTGCTCGCTGATCTTGTTATTACTGGTCTTGCTGTCACTACTTGGATCGGCGAAAGACAAGCTCGAAGATACTTGATCTGCTAAAGTGTTGACTGACATACTTTGACTGGAACTGGTAAGTGATCTTTCTGGAGTTTTGGAGGCCATGGAGATCAAAAAGTAAATCAGAGAACAAACTTGATTCTTAGAAACCTCTTCTCTCTTCCCTGAGATTTAAGCAGCTTTTCTTGACTCTAGTAATCAATCTTGCCATCAAAGAGTGACCTGATCTAGTCATCAAACAAAACAATAGCAAGCTTGTTACTCAAAATCATTAGAAGACTATAAAAATCAAGGGACTGATAATCACGGATCTTACTAAATATACACCAATAAGCTCTAGAAATCGTTTCATCCACCAAAAATTGGATAAGCTGAATCTTAAAAATGTATAGAGAAGGAATTTGAGCTGTTTTGGATCTTTGATTCAAATCTAACTGACAATCAATTGAATCAAAAATTAGCATAAACTAATTGAAAGTTTAACCAACCAAAATCAGCATAACCTATTTGAAACTTTACATGCAAAAAAGTGGAGTCTTTTTTCTCTCTATATGGTTACACAGATCTCGTTAAAGTAAGAACAGCCAAATAAAGGCCTTTTGGATCTAGCAAGAATCAGAGAATAAAACCCAGAAGAAAAGATAAAAGAACAGAGCTTTAGAGAGAGAGAGAGAGGGGGAAAATCCATTAAATTGTTACCTGAAAGTTAAGAATTTTGAGCGATAAGGATCACGAGATACCCTTTTTCCAGAAGAATTAAGCAAGGGGAGAAGAAAAAAGGAGGGAGAGAGAACAGTCACTTTTCATGTAACGCTGTTGAGAGAGATAGAGAGAGATGAACACATCTCTATGCTTCCATGGAAATGGGGATAGCTAGATAGAGAGAGAGAAGAGGGATGAGAGAGTGCTAAGAGAGAGAGAGAAGAGAGAGAGGAGAGAGAGTTGGGTCTACCATGAAAAGAGGGAAGAGAGAGAGTTGGGTCAAAGAAAAAGTTGAATACTTTTTAAAATATTTTTGAGGGATTCAATTATTTCAATGTATTTTTGTTTTCCCCAAAATGGAAGACAAAGGTTTACATCAAGGATGCTCTCGTGAGCTGTAATAGTTGAGGCTTTTTAGGGACCGAATTAAAATTTTGATAAAGATTATTATTGCATACAGTAGAGTTTAACATTTTTTCTCATTTTTATTTTTAGATTATCTTTATCGTAGAATTTAATTAAAATAAATATAGAGAATGCAATAGTTTTAATTGAATTTTTCGTCATGTAAATCTTTCCTATTATCGCATGTTATTTTGTAAGTATGATAATTGTCTTGTTATTCAATTTGAGAGTTTGAGAAGGAAATAAGATCGTCACTTACGTATTTGGACTATGGAGAAAAAAAGATTTTCTTAGATTGTATTTATAATCTTAATTTTGGAAACATTTGCTACACTTACCATGCATTTAATGCGTACAACTAATTTAGTACAGATATTATAAAAATGTATTTATAATAGTTTCCAATTATAATTAAACATTCATTAAAATTCAAAAGGCTCTAACTTTTGTCAACTTAATAAAACATATTGAATCAGCTTTAAGTGTTATTCCTTCCGTTTTATAATAAGTGTCATTTAGAGAAAATGTATATGTATTGTAATTGGATGTATATAAATATGTTTTAAATTTAATACATTCAAATATATTGCAGATATATTTTCTCAAAATAATACTTATTATAAAACAGAGAGAATATTATTTTTTATAGTAAGTAGACCAAATATCTAGTTACGATCAAATTTCACCAACGTAAATTTTATGAAGTTGGAACCGTGGGAGTTCCAAAGATTCCCAAAAAAGGTTCAAGCAAATTTCAGCAATTTCAAATTTATTTTGATATTAACTCGAAGAATGTATTTTTTCCCATTCACATTGTTTCTTTGTTTATTTCCCATTGAATTGAGCAGAAATATGTTTTTGAGAAATGGTTCAACAGGAAGTTGACAAAACAGAAGATTGTTCAACATAAAAAAACACAAGTAGGTATATTTTGTTTATTATATTTTAGTTATCTCAATAATTCGTTTTTTAATCTCATGCTTTTAGATCTAATAACTGCGTCAATTTTAACAGTAAAAGCTCAGATTCAATAACGACAATTGCTACACGATCAGTTTTGGACGTGATACGCGCATGTGGAATCTTTCTTCATAGCAATCCCATTTTTTAGGATAAAATTACTCCAATAATAACAAATTATAGTTAATTAATTCACCATAGTCCAATCGTGGAAATGTTCATTATTCACCATGAAAATTGTAACATGCTTTAAAAGCATATTTTTTTTGTTTAGCAATAACCAATTCGTGCTTCTTTTATCATGTACGGGAATTAGTATAAAACTTAGAGTTAATTTATAATGATCCAATATTTGAGTGATTCTTCTTAAATCTTAAAGATTAGAAATCAGAGTTCAAATTTTTTCACCGTAATTTCAAGCATATTACAAACAAAAACTCGACTTTTCTATGTCTGAAAAATATAGGTGTAGTTTCACGTTTTAATTATTTTTTTCAGAGAGTAATAACTATATAGTTTGAGTAAAATTTATGTTTCACTAAAGTCAACAAAAATAATTCCCTATGATGGCCGTACTTTTATAAAAAAGTACATGTAATTTGTTTTAGTTCTCTATGTATGTATACCGATTACATATGTGGTAGGTGCTGTAAAGTGTAAACTAACATCCAGTTAATCACTGTTTAATTATAGTTTATATCCACTCTGCTTTAAGCACAACACAAATGTCAGAACATAGTCCACTTGATTTTGTTTGACGTAAAGAAAAAATAATAATAGTCCACCTGATTTAATTATAATCTTCTTTTGTAATGACATAACCCATCTTTTTCGCTACAACAAAAGAAAAATGTTATTTTGAACAGCAGATAAATATAAATATGTTCTTCCGAATATTTAAAAAAAAAAATCCACGAAGAAAGTAAACAAATTTATATTGAATTATTCATACAATAATAATACAAGAATTGATTGATTGAATCATATATCGATTATCTACCAGTTAGATATCTTTAATGATTTGCGAATATTTGATATAATTTTATAAAAGAAAATAAAATCTGAATAATGCAAAATTTGTTACGGATAAATAATCAAATATTAATATTGAGAGGTCCCCAAACAAGATCTGACAGAGATAGATGAAGAATGGGTTGTCATGTTCTCCAACACAAGTCCCACTTTCGATAGAGAGAGAGTTCTGATTTCTGAATCTCTCTCTCTCCAAGTCCCTAACTATTTACAACCAATCAACAGCTCACTGCCAAATCCCTCATTTTTAATCATCTTTCTCAAAACGAAAAAAAAAAACTGAAAATTTCAGAGCCTTTCTTTTTCTGTCTAATCCTATTGTTGTTTTACAGATACTAAAACCAAATTTGTACTTTCATTTGGGTTTGGTTTGGTTTGAATCATCGAACTATGGCTCTAACTGGTGAGTGGTGAAACATAAAAAAAGAATAGGAATGAGAAAGAAAAAAATGAAAGGAACAAAAAAAGAAATCAATAGAAATAAAATACATATAAAGAAATAAAGAATATTTTTTGTTCCTTTCCACATTTTATAAGGAATATTTTTGTTCTATAATTCCTTAAATAATAAGGAATGAGAGGTAATAACATGAAACAAATATTACTAGTGAATGGTAAAAAATTTAAGGAATGAAAAGGAATTCATTATTCCTCTTCATTCCTTTGGTCACCAGTTAGAACCTATAAGATTTTTTAAATTTATCTAATTAACATTGTCTGTATTTATTATGTAATTTTAGGTCGATTATGTAACTAAAACTCAATACAAAAACTCAGTAAATATGGTGGTGAATTATTTCAGTTTAGTGCACAAATACAAAAATATTAGTAATGTTCATTACACTAAATCAATTCCATTTCAGTTTAATAGCCTTAGTTTAATCAGTTAAAATCAATTCCATTTCAGTTTAATAGCCTTGGTTTAATCAGTTAACTCTGGTTCAAATATTTTGTTCTGATTTGGTTTGGTTTTTTTGTTACAAAACCCCAACACAACTAATTTTGTCAACGTGAGAAAGATGAAGAGGAATTTAGACCGACTCAAGAACCCAACTCATCTTTCACACTCTTCAAGAGATTTTCGAAACAAAACTTTTGGACATTTAAGATATGTCCATGGAGTACAAGACAGTGTCATTCTCTTCTGGTTTTTAACTTTTAATGTCACACAAATAGCTTCTTGAATTAATGTAGAAAAAAAGAAAGAAAAAAAAACCCAATATATGGCACAGACCATGAGGATAAAATGATAAGCGTTTTCCCAAGTTTCTTCTCTTTGTTGCAAAAACACTGAATCATTGCTTCGGCTTCGACTTCGACCTCGACTTCGGCTTTGAAGCTGACTTCGGCTTCTCTCTCTTTCTCATGGCAATCATCTCTTTCTCTCTCTTTCTCATGGCAATTCTTTTCTCTTCCCTGCAAATGTGTTTATCCATAACATTCATTGTCAAGCAAAAGATGTAAAACAAAGCTTTTTGTTATTTCAGTTCATGGATTTTATAAGTACTGAGTTATCTTTTATTACCTAGCTTGAGCAATTTCCTCAAGCCATTCAGATCTCTTCTTCTTTGGCTTCCTTACTTTAGGTGGATCTTCAACAATTCCTTTTCCAGGTTTTGATTTCTTCTCTTTTTTGACTCTTTTGTTCTCCATTGATTCATCACCAGACACATCAACTTGCTCTACACTTTCTACCGCCCCATCTTCACCTTCTGAAGATTGTTTCGTGTTGCTCATTTTCTTCAGCTGCATAGAGTAAAAACAAACAAGCGCATAACATCAAAACATGTACAAGCTATCATCTGTTTCAGATAACAATGACAAGGACATGGTTGACATCATTTATAGGGTTACAAGTCAGTACCTTTGCCACAAAGAATCCGTCCATGTTGTGCACATGAGGATAAAAACGTTTAGTCTTCACTAAAGATGGATGAAACCGGTGTTCTCTAAATTTTTTATATCTGATCAAGACAAGGACAAAGAATTCGAGACGTTAGACGTATCATTGTAATGTTCCTTCACATCTCTCTATATAGATAAAACTTGTGCATTACCCGTCTTGGCCAAAATCGAGTCCAGTTTTAACAAGTTGAACATTCCTCTTTTTGAGAGCATAGTCAATTACAGCTTCGTTCTGTGCAATTTTTCATACAAAAAAGAAGAAAAATTTAGGATGCATCAAAAACAAAGGAGATAAAGATATCAGTTAACACTTAACAAACCTCGTCAACCATAAGTGAACATGTTGAGTAAACAATAAATCCACCGGTTTTGGAATTGGCATCCACCATATCAATTGCAGCCAGTAAAAGTTGCTGCATGTCAGAAAACCGGGTTATACTCGCATTTATTTGAGAATGTAAAACTTGTTTGTTGTCTAAGAAGGTACTGTCATACCTTTTGCAAGTGAGCAAATTTCATTATGTCTTCAAGAGATTTCGAAGTTTTAACTGATTCATCTTTTGATATGACCTGTATGTGTACCAGAAGACAATTAGTTATAAAGATCAAGAGCTTTCACTACGGTTTAACAGAGACTAAGTTCAAAGTTTCTTACCCCAGTCCCACTGCAAGGTGCATCCAACAATACTCTATCAACCGATTTCTCACCTAACACAGTGGGTAGCTAAAAGCAACAACAACAAAAAAGCAGAATAAACAGAAGTGCAAAGAATAAAACAACCGTGCTGCATATTGAACAAAATCAAGCAGGTCAAATTTTATAGTTCCGATCGTGTCAGTAAGGTGAACTCAGGTAGATGTTATGGGTTTTATGAAGCAATTCAATTATATTCAACGATCTTTGAGATTCTACGTCATCAATATAATAACAATTGTTCAAGAAAGCTAACCTCTCTTCCATCGTAGTTACAAACTATGGTATTTGTCACTCCCATGCGATGCAGATTGGCAGTTAGCGACTTGAGCCTAGGTACTTTCATCTCATTTGCAAATATTAAACCTGGTTATAGGCATCATTATAACGTTACTTAATCCAAAATAATCATTATAAACATTAACCTCCAGACAATCAACTTAAGTATGGGGATAAGAAGCACAAGAAACCAATGAAGACGTACCAGTATTTTTCATCAGAGCAGCAATATATGTTGTTTTGCCACCAGGAGCAGCACTGCATTGGGTATAAATATTTTTGTTATTACGTCATGCATAAAGAAACAATCGCACAATCAAACAATTCACATTCACGAAACACGCGAGGATAAAGTTCAGCTGCGTCTACAATTTAATAGATGATGGTAACTTACGCTACATCTACAACCCGCTCATTCTCTCGGGGAGCAAGGGCCATCACTGGCAAAAACGAGCTAGCACCTTGAAGCTGCAGATGCACCACGTACACACTTGAGCAAACAATTTACATTAACCATTATGGTGAACAGAAGGATGCAAAAGATCAGAAGATCACTAACCATGTAGTAACCAGCCAAATATTCAGGAGTCGCACCGATTGGCACTTGTGAATCATAAACAACAAGTCCGACCTACAAGAGTTAGGACATATTAACTATGGAACACTCGTAAATAGGACTAACAGAAAAAAAAAAAAGAAAAAAAAAAAACAATGAAGAAAGTAAACTAATTACTTTAGACCACTTGCTTAATGGGTCTAGATTGACTCCTCTGTTCAAAAGTACATCAGCAAGATCCCGTCTTCGAGTCTAAAACAAAACAAACAACACGATTAAATTGCAGAGCTCAAAAGCCGTAAGATTTAACCAAACAAAAGGACAACCAAGTTCACCTTAAGTGTGTTTGTCCGGATAGATGTAGGCCTTTGCTTTTCAAAAGCTTCAATTAGCTCCATAAGTTCAACAGGAGGAAACAGCTGCAAGAGAAACCCCAAATCAACATCCATAAGTAAAGAGTATTGGCAACATACTACCCATAGTTTATTAATGGAACTTTCAATTTAAAGACCAGGGAGACTAGAGAGTAACCTCAAACAAAGCTCCGATGAGAAAACTGTTGTAGCCATAATATGAACTAAGATCAGCTTTGAGCTGTTCAACGCATTCATCCCTGCTAGCACCTTTCGGCCTCAAAACCTTGAAATTTGACAGCGCTCTAACAACTGAGAGATGAATAGACCATTAGACCTCAAAAACTTGACCGAGATAATACCAAACACACCATAACATTCAACAGTAATACAAAAAAAGAAATGAAATTTGGAATGTTACTGACTCTCTTTTATTCTACTCTGCAGTAGAGGAAGATCTGGTGGCCCAAGTGCTTCTTCTTCAAGTTCCTGAACATTGAAGGATAATAACAGCAGTTGAGAAATAGCACAAATACAATTAATATCCTAATCAAAACAGAGCATTGCACATGTCAAATGTGTGTACCTTTTCAGTTGGTAGCCGAAACGCATCATGTTCAGATTCTTCATCAGGTCCAACTTCCCTGTTGAAATCCTTCAGCTCATCATCAGCTTCTTTCTCCCGCAGAGCTTTTTCTTGATCGAGGGCCTTAGATTCCTCCAGAATATCGCCTCCATCGGAGTCAGAATCCGAGTTCGAAGCCTCATCCGCATCCAGAGGTTCCTCTTCATCGCTACCTTCCAGAAAGTCATCACCCAAGAGCTCTTCATCGCCGTCGTCATCTTCCCCATCATCAGAGAAAAATCCAGAGGAACCTAACCCATCAGACCCTTTCTCTCCATCATCAGATTCATCAAGCTCTTCTGATTCGACGTCGGTAGAGGCGTCATCAGAGCCATCGGAAGCTTCTTCATCATTTTCGCTAGGATCTTCCTCAACAACTTCCTTCTTCTGCTTCTTCAATGGAGGTTTCTTCTGGGACTTCACTCCCTTCTTCAATGCCAGAGTTTGGGTCTTCTCCGCCTTCTTCAGTGGAGGCTTTTGCGATTTCGCCTGATTCTTCGATGGAGGAGGCGTCTGAGTTTTCGCCACCTTCTTCGATGGAGGGGTTTGGGATTTCGCCCCCTTCTTCTTGTTACGAGTGAGAGCAGGCATGGCAAAAAGGTTAGAATTAGGGTTTCCCTCGCGGCGAGGGTTTAACACAGAAGAAGAAGGTGAGGTTTTTGTTTTGAGGTTACTCTCTAGTCTCTGATCTTTTAATTGGAGTAGCACAGCCTGTACTAATGGGCCTTGATCCAGTAGATTTTTCAGCCCATTATAAAAATATTGGCCTATTTTTATGAATTTTGACTACGTGAGTGAGTCCATGTTTTTCACTTCAAACATTTATCATTCAATGTGGTTTAAACATACTGTAGATCTTTTTTTGTTATTTCAAACATTTATCAATGTGGTTAAAGTAAAATCAATAGTAAGGTTTCATAGGATATAAAATTTGATATTTCGCTACACCACTTGAAATCCGCTACTAGCTAGACAACCATTCTTTACACAATGTACAGGTTTGAACATGCATGGATGGTGACACATCGGGCTATATTTAGTACAATGCATTGGACTATATAATTTTGATTAACAACCACTCATTAGTTTTTCAACACAATTTTTAGGGAAACTAATTGAAATTGTCATTCATAAAAACACAACCTTCAAACTAGTATGGATATATTAATAGATTCTTTGTTTTTATACAACAGACAAAAAAAAAAGATAACATTAAAGAAAAGAAAAAACACAAAAAGAAAATATCAGAGAAAACACAACAATCCTCTTAAATTCGTATGTCTTTGACTGAGACGGCTCAATCAAAAATAGAAAAAGGAAGAGCATTAGAACCACAAATTGAAAGTGGGTATGTGTCTTGTCTTCTTGTTACATGCGAGCTTTTGAACTTGCAAAACGAAAACAAAAAACATATTCTGTACCTAAAGTTTTGGTATGAAACAAAAACACATTAAAGTTGTTCCCTCCGCATAAATCTTGCAAAATAGCTATATGGTTTCTTATTTAGTTTTCCCGTTTGTATGTCCTTTATGTATATTAATCTTTAGCATTGTAACAAAACAGCTCAGTAATATGTAGTTTCAAGATATGTGGCATCAAAGAAGATGAAAATCATTTCATAAGTGGGTAAAGTAGACAAAAAAAAAAATAGTTGACCACATTTTTGCATAAAGTGTTTCCATCGATTGGCTTAGAAACTGGATTTTCAGACATGGTCCAATTCGTAAAACACGTTCGTCGTCTTCTTCTAACAAGTTGCTATCTATATATTGTCATTTTGTGAGTGAGAACGGAATACTAAAATGTTGAGAACTTGCTAATAATCTGTTAATGGATTTGTCAACGGGAAGTTGCAAACAAATTGTCGTAATCTTTAAGACACAAAAGCATCTTATCTTGTGGCATTCTAAGAAAATGGGTCGAGAAAATATACTGATGATAACGTATGTGATGGCTAAGACAAACAAACGGTGAAATTATTATCGCAAAGCTTCGATCTAATTTATTTGTAATATTAGTTTTAAAAATTACTAAAGGATTCATATTTCTCTTCCTGAATATTCCGTTGAGTCGGTGTTTTCTCCATAAAGGGAAATCAAATAATTAAGTCGTACATCCTTTTCACATGACGTATTAGATACATGTGGTTGAAATTCCCATCCAAGAATCTAGTTGCGAAAGCTAATAAATATCTTATGCCGATCGAGCCAAAGTTGTTTCATATGATTTCAAACATCAATTAAGTAAGTCACTCAAGTCGATATTAAAGAAGTTTCACGTCATTGTAACGAGTTTTGGTAATGTCATGTAGACCCGTATAAGGAGTTGAGAATGAAAACGAAATGGTTGTAAAATTGTAATATCGTATGTCTTGGGTCGAGTTAAGAAACTAAATCTTCTTCTCTTTTTTTTTGTGTGTGTGTGGAAATTAGTGAACATATATAACGACAGTTCAATCGGAAATATTGAGATTGCAAAACATCAACACACAACTCCGAATTCGATTTTTTTACAACTAACTTAAACACACCACAAATTATAAGATATCAAACAAATCCACACTTTTTAATTATCTATATATTCATCGCGCTGTATTTTTATTTTTAGTATAAACCCAAAGATCAAAAACGTTTCGTATTTTTTGAGATTTGCTTGTTATTAGGAAACTTATGAGTTTGCGATATATTTTTTGGCAAAAAAAGGAAAATAGTTTACTAAGTTAATAGTGTCTTGAAAGCTAATATTTGATTTTTTCCCCTGGCTACTATATATAGATAAAGTGAATAGTATAAAAAAAAACCCTGAATCTTCCACAGATCCCGGGGGAATTCTCACGTTTAATGTTTATGAACAAAACACGTCTCATCATCATTATGATACATTTGTTGACTAGCTCGATTAGATATGTCGTAAGTCCACTGATAGCTCCATGCCTCCATCTAGTATGTATACGGTAGGATGACATATATATAATTACTTAATTTTTTGATATATCTCAACTATTATCAAAACTCATTTCGTATGCTGGATTAGGTTAACACCAGTCTAGTGGTACGTTATTGTATTAGGACATAGCGTGATATTCACTTTCTTTTTTTCTTCTCCTTAATTCAACTCTTCTTTAGGAAGGACGAATCATCTCGCTGTGCGTGAGTACGCAAGTCTGTTAGATGATTAAATCTATCTCATTAAAGATGAATCAAAGTCAAAAATAATAGCTGGCAAATGAAACGTAAAAAATGAACCTAGACAGTGCGTGAATACTATATGCATGGTAGTTTTACAAAATTAGAAAACCGAATTAATTAACTATTTTAGGAACCTACATATTTATAGAATATATCCTGGAAAATAAGATTTTCTTACTCGTCCTACATATTGTGATCTTCCTATAGGTTTCTAGTAACGAATTTCTCTACGCTTGTAATCGCGAGTTACGGTGTGCGCACGACCTTAACAAGAGTAGAGTTGACCAAGTAAATTTCCGAAAACATTTCAAAAACTTTTTCTTTGTTATACGTACGTACGATGGTTTTCCTGGTCCGTAGGTTTTACTTATCATAACCTGTAATTTTTTAAGATTTATGATTCATTAAAATCACAATAATTCAGATCAAATTGGATTATTGCAATCTGAACTAATTAGGCGTCAAGAGTTTTCAATCCAATGTTAGTTCAAGTTTCGGTGATATTTACATATCGGTGTCATAATATATGGCTAATAACATGATATATTCAATTTGGTGACGACTCAAACACTAAAAAGTGGCACTTGGAATTTACTTGTTATATTGAAAACCCGAAACATAAAATCTGATCAATACTTCAAAATTAGCTGAACCGTTGATCGGTTGACGTACTATTGCGCTTAACATAGACCTGAATTCAAATTCCAATATACTAGTAACTAAGTATAGTTAATGTTTCAAGAATGTTAGGTTTCTATTAGCAAGCAAAATTAAATAAAAAAGAATGTTAGGTTTCCAATGGTATCAACTTCTTAATTATGTGAAACCATAGGCTATCTACTTCTTACTTTCTCGTAATAAAAAATTCCCATAATTACTCCTCTATTTTTTCTTCCCATGCAAGAAAAAAATATAGTTTGATTCGATTGAGATAATTAATACAGAATCTACAGTTGACCAATTTGAAGATTCCAATCAGTTTACATTTCTGAGTTAGTGAATCTTGTTGGGTCAAGAATTTTTGAAACGGTTTCAAACAAATTCAAACCGTAGAGTAAAGCGATCCTTTATTTACGGTCTCATCCATCTTAATTATAGTAAAACGGTAAAAAAAAAAAACAAGGTTGTGTGAATTGTCTAAAGGCTATATATGAAGGAAGATTCACACACATATGCATATGGACAGGGAAGTACAACTAAAAACGTTATCGTAATCTTTAGTTTTCAGGCTCCTTTTTTAAAATTCCGACTGGTTTATCGAGGACTAGAAATCCGGTCACCGTCGCCGGAGACAACCTCGATTTCATCATCAACACCATCGCGAAGGACGGAAAAAAGGAGCTTGAAGATAAAACAATGACGAGCGTTTACCAAGAACCCAAACCCTCCGACGACGACAATCATCACGAGTCCAAGATTGTAATCAACGGTAATGTATCTCTTCTTTCTCACGGTTTACTTCGGTTTATGCCGGTTTTGTTTCGATTCTTTTTTTTGGTTGAAGAGTTTTTGGATTGAATTTGTCGTCCGTGCAGGAGAAGGAGAAGAACTAGAGGAGGAGAATGACAATCCGATAGAAGAAGTCCGGTTAACCGTACCGATAACCGACGATCCAACACTGCCGGTTCTAACATTTCGGACATGGTCTCTCGGACTTTTCTCCTGCATATTGCTTGCGTTCGTGAACCAATTCTTTAGTTTCCGGTCGAACCAGCTTTGGGTATCTTCCGTTGCTGCTCAGATTGTGACTCTTCCGTTAGGGAAACTCATGGCGGCGACGCTTCCGACAAAGGAATTCGGGTTTCCGGGGACGAACTGGTCGTGGTCGTTTAATCCTGGTCCGTTCAATATGAAGGAACATGTTCTTATCACAATATTTGCTAATACCGGAGCTGGAGGAGCTTACGCCACCAATATTATAACCATTGTTAAAGCCTTTTACCACCGTCAACTCAATGTCGCCGCCGCCATGTTGCTTACACAAACCACTCAGGTATCGAAAAAAAAACCAAATATTCGTGATTCTTGATTATTCTTCTTGAAGTTGCAAGTCTTTGAAACTTAGCTCTTTTTTTGTAACTGTCGGTGAAATAGGTAAATAACCAAACAAAAATGTTTTTGATTCTTGACGCTTTTTGTTTTTTTTGCGAAGTTTTTAAGTCTTAAAAATCAAATTGTTCATTTTGGTGAAAAGATAATCTCTATGCTTCTGAATTATTTTATCTTAACCTTTTAAAATTCATAGTATAATTTTACTCGAGGGTAATCGTCATTTGAATACTGAACCAAACAATATTGTCACGATTCTTGATATTTGACAATCATTTTCTTGCAGTTGTTGGGATATGGATGGGCTGGAATTTTCAGGACGTTCCTTGTGGAATCGCCGTATATGTGGTGGCCGTCGAATCTTGTTCAAGTCTCACTCTTTAGGTTTGTTTCGATCTGATCTATCGAGCAATTTTCGACTCATATCATCACTTACATTTTTTTCTTCCCTCTCTCAACCCTGATTTTCATTTTGAATGTGTAACCAGAGCCTTACATGAGAAGGAAGATCCACAGATAAAACAACAAACAAGGCTAAGATTCTTCCTCATTGTCTTCAGCGCGAGCTTTGCTTACTACATCATCCCTGGCTACCTTTTCCCTTCCATCTCCGCAATTTCATTCGTTTGCTGGATTTGGAAAAGCAACGTGACCGCTCAGATAGTCGGTTCAGGGCTCAAGGGTTTAGGGATTGGTTCGTTTGGTCTTGACTGGTCCACGGTTGCTGGTTTCTTAGGCAGTCCATTGGCTGTACCGTTCTTCGCCATAGCCAATTTCTTTGGCGGATTCTTCATCTTCTTGTACATTGTCCTACCTATCTTCTACTGGACCAACGCTTATGATGCACAGAAGTTTCCCTTCTATACTCCGAAAACCTTTGATTATACTGGACAGACCTATAACATTACCCGTATCCTCAATGAGAAGAACTTCGATATCGACATAGACGCTTACAACGGTTACAGCAAGCTATATCTGAGTGTGATGTTCGCGTTGCTCTATGGACTCAGCTTCGGTTCTCTTGCCGCTACCGTCTCTCATGTAGCCCTCTATGACGGAAAGTAAGGATCTTTCAACATCTTTTGAATGAATAACCTGATTAGATGGTGACTCTCTCTCTCTCTCTCTCTCTAAGCTTCTTTTGTGTTTGATGTATTCTCTAAGGTTTATATGGGGAATGTGGAAGAAGGCAAAGACAGCAACGAAGGACAAGTTCGGAGATGTGCATTCAAGATTGATGAAGAAGAACTACCAAGCAGTACCTCAATCGTGGTTCATCGTAGTTCTCGTTGTTTCCTTTGCTTTCGCACTCTATGCTTGTGAGGGCTTTGACAAACAGCTTCAGCTTCCATGGTGGGGACTTATACTCGCATGCGCCATCGCCTTGTTCTTCACATTGCCTATAGGAGTCATCCAGGCAACTACGAACCAGCAAATGGGTCTTAACGTTATAACAGAACTGATCATCGGGTACTTATACCCGGGAAGGCCACTAGCCAATGTTGCTTTCAAGACCTACGGATACATCAGTATGGCTCAAGCGCTCTACTTTGTCGGAGACTTCAAGCTTGGTCACTACATGAAGATTCCCCCAAGATCTATGTTCATCGTCCAGCTTGTTGCAACTGTGGTTGCATCATCTGTCTGCTTCGGAACAACCTGGTGGCTCATTACCTCCGTGGAGAACATATGTAACACGGATTTGCTCCCGGAGGGAAGTCCATGGACTTGTCCTGGAGATGAAGTGTTTTACAATGCATCGATCATATGGGGAGTGATCGGTCCAAGGAGAATGTTTACAAAAGAAGGTATCTATCCAGGGATGAACTGGTTCTTCCTCATCGGTATCTTGGCTCCAGTTCCCTTCTGGTACCTATCGAAGAAGTTCCCAGAGAAGAAATGGCTGAAACAGATCCATGTTCCCTTGATCTTCTCTGCAGTAAGCGCAATGCCACAAGCCAAGGCTGTGCATTACTGGTCCTGGGCCATCGTTGGGGTTGTGTTCAACTACTACATCTTCAGGAGGTACAAAACTTGGTGGGCAAGGCACAACTACATCCTCTCTGCAGCGCTTGATGCAGGTACCGCGATTATGGGAGTGTTGATATTCTTTGCGTTTCAGAACAATGATATAAGCTTACCTGATTGGTGGGGGCTTGAGAACTCAGACCACTGCAATCTAGCGCATTGCCCAACAGCCAAGGGTGTTGTCGTTAAAGGCTGTCCAGTGTTTTAAGGTTAATGCAGATGAAAGCGTTTCCCTGAAAGGGGTTTATTGTTATCGGGAAAGAAAAAAAACGCTTTGGTGATCGTTATATCTGTGTAAAAAACCCGTCTTTTAAGAAGTTAAGCGATTCAGGCAATGTAAAGCTCTAGATTTGGCTTCATGTTCTTTAGAATTTAGCTATGTACTTCGCAAGTTTAAGAACCAAAGCCAAATAAAGCAGAGCTTTCATTCCAACTATATAATCAAAATGCCACCAAAGAGATTAAACAATTGGATCACGATAACAAGCCCCAAAAGATATCATTCCAATGATAAAACTAGGGTTTAAGATGTGTACCAATGAAAAGTAATTCGAACTCTGTTGCGTAGCTGGATAAATACTTCAACATGATTCAAGGGAAACTGTAAACAGAGGTCTCCGAGATTTTTTTTTGTTTTTGGACTGAAGATGATGAAAGCAAAAAGTCTAATTAGCTATATCGCATATCCGTCTTTCAGTTGAAAAGTCCAGGGTTTAGCCAGTCCCTGCAATTACAGAGAATATAAGTGAGATATATTTACCATCGTCTAGTCTACATAAAGGTTGTAGCTTTTTTCGTTTTTTTTAAGCTCGTGTGTATCTCTATCAAACTTACTTGGTGACATCATCAAGATGATCATCAAGATCTATGACGTCCTTCCATTTCTCAGATGAGATGTAATCTGACAAAACTACATTGGCCGATGGCTCTTTCAACAGTAGCTTGCTTCCTCCATCTGCTCCAACCACTCTCCAGTTCTTGGAAGCATCCTTCACACAAAGCTAGCATATACATACAACATAAAGTATCAACTAAACCAATAAAAATGATTAAATCGACCTATTTATTGTCCAAAGCAAAAGTGTTGATTTAAAGGACAATATAAGCCGGGTGTAAAGAAGGTTGCTAGCAGAATTCAAGTAGAAAGTCTGGAAACGTGATCCGCTAGTATGGTAATGTTTTATATCATAGCAAGGACAGTGTTTGTTTAGGATGCGATAACAAAAAACAATGAATGCAACAATGCCAAAAGAGCCGGGACTAACAAAATTCGAGCTTCTCAGTCTTTCAATATTCTCTCTCGAGCTTATTTATAGCAATAACAGTAAATACAAACCATACTTTCAAATGCCAAGAAGCTATATTGGTGTCGAGTGGCCTTGATATATATATATATATGTTCCTTACTAAATTGACTAGCTTCTAAATCTCATATCCATGCTACACTAAGTTTCCCAAAACGTTGCCCTGATTAGAAATACCAACCTGCATCACAGGGCTTCGCTCTTTACTCTTTGGTAGTGCTTCAAGCTTTTTGCTGTTCAACTACAAAACAGCAGCATACATGTCCAACATAAGATGGTTAAACCTAGTGATGCAATAAACGGATGTGACTGAAAGTAGAGGGATAAGAGATTCACCAAGAGAATTGGTGCCTGAGGGAAATAGCGAGAGATGTGATCACCAATGTTCTTAGCCACACCACAGAGCTCTACATCATCGAACCTCTCGTTCGCATGAAAGTACCCAACAATACTCAAACCTTGAGCCACGTAATGCTCCTCTATCTAACACATCAAAGCAGCAAAGATATATCCAAATCCGTAAGTTCAGAATCTCAGACAGAGTTCAGAAATGCCAATTCGCATCGAGATAACGTATAGATACAGACAATAAATCTCTGTCAAACACGGCTACAGAACAATGTTGTGCTGGTGATTAAACCCAAACAATCCAAGATCTGATTTTTCTATGCTTAAATAGAAACAACAGTAAGAACTGAGAATCAAGCAACAGAGAGAACAGTAAGAACGAGCTAATAATAGCACACGCAGCTGCAATTACATTCACTTCACGAACTAAACTTTCGGAAATTCGCAATTCAATATCCACACCAACGCAATCAGATCCTAAATTTTCCAAAACTCAATTTCAAAGCTTATGTATCAAACCGATTCGAATCAGCGGAAAGAGGATATAAGACGCAGAAGAAGAAGAAGAAGAATATGAAGAAGAAGGAGAAGAGAGACCGACCATGATGAGTGAGATCTCGAGAGGAGGGAGGAGAGCGAGGTTAGAGTGAAACAGTGGCACAGAATCGGAGATCTCTACAACTCCTTCGTCCTTAGGGCTGATTCGACCGACGAGGACTCCGTTGACCGCCGCCGTCTTGTGTCGCAGCGAGTGGAGAACGAGTTTAATGTACGCGTCCTGGGAGATCTCATACTTCAATTCGCCGTTACTTCCCATTCCCATCTCTACCTCACTCGATCGGAGACTCACTGAGTCAGTCCTTAAAATCCCACTCGCCGGCGTACGGGGGATTTACAAAGGAAATTATGAAGTCGCAAACAATCGACAGAAACGTTCTGAGATCAACTTTTTGTTAACGACAGTGGTGGAATGGAATCGAATCCTCACAAAACCGGGTTCGGGTCGGCCCGAGTTTATACTGGATTAACCGATTTCCTTATAACTTTCAGTTAAGTACGTTAACTGTTTTGAAATTATAGAATACTGCCATCAAGTTATCGATGCTTCAGAATTACACCCTCTATTTCATTGTTTAACAAAGTAGACCCATCAAATCTTCATGAAACTTTTGAAGTTGATTGGTTGTGGCGTCAAAGGTTAACCCAAATGTTTTTATTGTAAGCTTCAAACTTTTTACAACCTTAAAAATCATTTTACTCTTCAGTCTCTTAATCAGATTTTATCAGTTTATATGCTAACGAAACGAATAGTGTGTAATAGACATCTCACAGATTATCTACAAATCAAAACCTGTGATTTATTATTACCAATGCAAAAAAATTCATTTATTTACTAATAGTGCAATTAGATAGCCAAATATGCTATACTTGAACAAAAATTACAAGCTAAACCCTGAAAAAAAGTAAGCTATTTTTTTGGGCGTATCTAAAAAGAAAATATAAAGCTATACGATATTTGCAGTTGTCGTCTTCGAGAGCAGTGGCTCAGCTACTCCGGTCTCTCCTCCGTCATCAGCCTCGGCTTTAGGTTTCGAAACGGCAGCGTTTTGCTTTGGAAGCAGCTTACTCGAGCTGTGATCAATGGACTTCCCCGGAAGATTAAGCCACGTGTAAACAGACATGCCGGCAAGAGCCGCCACGGCGCCACAGATGCTGACGAAGCCAGGATCGGAGCCGAAGATAACGTAACCTCCAAGCAAGATCACACATGTCTTGAATTGCCCTAATACTACATGAGATGTTGCCGAGGTTGCCCTGTAACAAACAACAACGTTTCAGATATTTAGCATTAGAGCTAGAAATATATAACTAAACCAAAGTTTATAAACCGGCAAAGAATTGATGTTTTAGCACCGGTTTTGATATTTAGGCTCATCCCATCCGGTTTAGGTTCTGTTCTGTTCATAAATCATTGTAGTAGTAACATGTAGCAGAATGAAATCATAGAAACTCAAGAATGATCTTCAAATCGAAGCAAAAAACACAAAAGACTAACCCGAGAGCGAGTGCACCAGACCACTGGAGAAGAAAGCCGAGAAGAGCCGAGACGAGGATTGCAGAAGAGTTAGCTATGTCCCATTTGAAAAGCAAAGCTCCAGGTGGGTCAAGCCATGGCATGAGAGCCAATAAGAAGAAGACAGTAAACGGCGTCGTCTTCCACATCAATCTACAGTTCGATTAAAGAGTGTATTTATCTTAAGAGACTTCTCTTGCTTAAGCATCAAGTAAAGGAAAAGGAGAGATTCTCTTACGCTAGGGCAGTCCAATTAGCTTGTTGTTGAAGATTAGACCAGAGGATTTTGTTGATGGCGCTTGGGATAATCCAAGCAACAGCAACCAATGCGCCGAACAAATTGAATTCTAGATCGGTCACTGTTGCGATTGCCACGCCTAGAGATACTACGGCTAACGCCATGACCTGTGAGAGAACAAACTCTAAAATAGAGTAAGCACCAAAGAAACCATGTAATGAGAGTCTTTAACTAATCAGGTCTAATCTCGTAAACTCAAGCCAAAACCTTTGTGGAAGAAATGGTTTTCTTGAAGAGAACAAACTCTGCAAGAACAATCGTTGGTGTCACTGCGATCTTTGCCATCTGATAGAATCCAACACTGGACAAAAAAAAACAAAAACTTTCAAGTATGAGACAAGAAGTGAAAACAGAGCAAAATCTCTTCTATATCTTCAGAGTCTGATTTTAGATTTACACAGTTTGCTAAGTGATATTAAACGTCAATTTACAGTTTGAGCTATGAATGTTGATGTAATTCTTTACGGAACGAGCATAGAACCTGTTGTGTTTGAGGCTGGTATTAGCGAGTCCAGAAGCGAAGGCCATGACAGCTCCAAGAGAGAAGAGAGAGGAGAAAGGTGTTGTCTTTGATGGAGGAGACATTGGAAGTAATGAGAGAGACTTGAAGAAAGCTAGAAGAATCCAAGCAACGGTATAGTGGATCAATGTTAGAAAGATTGGGAAATTGAACCCAACTCTTCCCATCACCTGCAGAATTAGTCCCCCACCAAAAAGGAAAAAGTTACAATAATGGAAATAAAAAAGAGAGAGTGAGAGAGAGAGGAAATAGAGATTTCAAGAAATGAATTTTACTAATTTATTGGCGAGGATGATTCCAACTGCAACAACGAAATTGAATGACATTGCAACAACAGGGCCACAAAATCTCTGTTGTTGCCGTTTAGCTCCTTCTGATGTTTTAAGCTCATTGTATAGAGAGCTTCTGAGCTCTTCCAAGGCTCGTCCTGCAAAACCGAATAAAAACAACACAAAACGATCCATGAACAGATCAAATACAATTCATTTCTCTTCAGAAGCAATTCATCAAACAGGTGATAAACAGTGTATTCTTAGAATGGAAACAAACAAAACCATTGATGATCCTTTTACTTAATAATCCGATCAAAAATCATTTAACTTAACAATGTGAGAACATATCATCATCTATTTATCAAGCGAAATCTCTGAATTTTTGGAAAAAAATGTAAATGAAGGGGGCAAATCATTTGAGGAAGATGAGCAGATTCATGGATTTATAATACAACCAATCACCTGCTTCAGCAGCGTCACTGTCTTTCCTTTTGAGAAATTTCCTTGCATCTTTTCCAAACAAAGAATCAACCAGACCCATCACACACACACACACACACACACAAAAGATGAAAAATTTATATTCCTCTGCGGAAAAATCTCCGACTATTTTAATCCTTTCTGTGAAAAACCCAGATCACATTTTCCATTATGATGGAGAAATGAAAACTTGACGTTAGATCAAAAATACGAAAACTTGAAAAGGGAGTAATGAGATATCTGGATTAGTGGATTTATGATTGTTTCGGTAGAGGCAGAGCCTTATAGAGAGAGAGAGAGAAAGAGCAATAAGCAGTTGCTTCAATACGCAGTTTCATAGCGTATCTTTCTGTTTTATTTTATTTTATTTTATTTTAATCAATTTATCTCTAAATTTAAGAAAATTGAGGGAATTTTGTTTTTTCCTTGGGAAAATTGTTGAATGTGTGTGATGCCACGTGTTGAGATTTTGTACGTCCAATACCTCATTGATGAAAATTGTTTAGCTAGAGGTATGTTTTTTCTTTTAACAGTTGAAACATAACAATAATGTTTTTTTTTATTATGCGCAATATACACATTCAATCTTGGTATGTTTTATTTATGGGAATATCTCTCTAAACAGAAATATATTATAAGTGTCTCACATTTACTTTTGACATTAATTAAAATGTGGATTTGGTCACTAGCGTATAGCACTATGCTTTAGTTATACGCCTTAAGCATATCTACTATTTATCGAACTAGTAACTATGAATTCGATAAGCAGGACCGTATAGTATACTACTACTTTTTAAAAGTCGTGCAAATTAAATTCAAATAGTTTCAGAAAGTGTGTAGATAAGCCTAAGACTTATGCGATATAAATTTTGTTAAAGTGAAGACAAATACTCTTAAAGATTTTTTTCATATGTATATAGTCTAAGTCATATATAAATACCGGCATTAAATATGCACCTTGATATATATGGTTGGTTAGGCGTATAGCATAAGGATAATTATTATATACTATAGAAAATGATAAATTTTGATACTTAATTGTGCTTTCATTTTGCGAATAACAATGACTTCACATGTACGCCCTAGAAATCGATAACGAGAAGCTTTAAATCCAAGATTTGGAAGTCTCAACAAACTCTTGAAAAGGCCTACGCAATAATAAAACAAAAAGCTGCATGTCCACGTCACATTCTCTTTGTATAATTGAACTACATAAAATAATAATAATATGCTAATAGATGTGGATCCACCACTTAATTAAAATTCTTTCTATTTTAGAATGATTTTAACGTAGCACCAATATGGTTAGGACCCGGTTATGTTTTGGTTCAGAAAAGAAATCCCTTTTTGTGAAAGTTTATTGGAAGTTTTAGCAAAAAAAAAAGTTTATTGGAAGTTTGGAACTGAAAGCAGGGGAGTGTGGCAATATATGTAATACACAGAAATTGGTAGCCGGCCCATTTTGAATAGGTCCAAGTCCAACAAATTGTTAGTGGATGAGTTAATAAAATTCAAAATTCAGAAAACATTAACATTTGAACCGCTCTTATGTTCAAATTAGTACTAACCCACAAATAGTTTACTACATAGAAACATAATATGGATTGTGAGTCGATATAGATAAATGACTTAGAAATGTATATATTTTTCTCTGACATATTTTTAAAGTTATTAGTTTTACTTCTTTGTTCCTTTATAGCATTATTTCGTAAAGTTTAGACTTATGTACAAAGTTAAATTCTAGAAACTTTGTAGGACTATTTGTTTTTCTGAGGAATTATGGTCAGCTGTGTTTGTAGTCGAAGAGTAAGAGTCACCTGAGAAAATCAATCGATACTTTCTTCAATCGTTATGTCAGTCTCACAGTTTTTATGTGGTTTATTTTTATGCTTTTGCGTCAAAACATAATTTATTTCCCCAAATAGTAATACTACACTTTTCACAAAACCAACCATTACAAAACGTAATTGTTTGATATAATTTTGCTTCTTGATTTTGATAACAAACCAAAATAGGTCAGCCTATATAGAATTTTTAAAGATAGAAATTGTAATTATCAACAATTTCTGTAAAAAGAGTGATCGAATGCTTGTTTTGTGATATATAATCATATAAATACATACATCATTTAGTACAATAAGTATCAGTTAGACACACAGAACGTGTTAGATAGTGACTTGCGTTAAGTATCTGGCTTTGTCGTGTCCTGCATGTTCGAGTCATCTGGCATTTTGGTTGACAACTTGGGTTGGTCAATTTATATAATTTACATTAACAAAACATCGATAAAAAGATGGGTTTATAAAATTAGTATATGGGATATTACGGATTACACTCTCTAAATACAGATTTTTATTTCGGAAAATAGACCATCATTTTTTGTATATGTAGTAATAGAGAAAATGGAAGTCGTCTCGTCGTGGACCTTGTGGTCACAGACTATGTATGTCGTCGGTTAGGGCATATCCGTCATTTCGACTTACTAGGATAGTTTCTCCTTCTGTCTCTCCATTAATGGCCAATCATAACATCGAATTATCATCTGAGGGAAAAATTAAAAAAATTCTGAAAAAACCCCTCTCCCTCTCTCTCCCCTCTCTGTTTCTTTCAGCTTGAAGGCAACGCATTTCTGTTTTTAAAAAACCTTACTAACTTTCGTAGATTTCAAAATCGGGCTATTGGAGGGAGGGAGAGAAAGCAGAGAGATTTGATTGATGGAATTGGTCCCGTACGATTCGGAGACGAAATCATCGATCCCCGTAAATCTCGCGTGGCAAGACATGTTCCGCTCCGCCTCATCGCGTAAACCTCAAGAGCCTTCTCCGTCTTCGTCTTCGTCGGAGCCGCCGCGAAAGCCTTCCGGCGATGGAGGGGAACCCGGCAAAACATCGCTATCCGCGGTTGATTCCCAAGCGCGTCTCGCTATCTACATAGCCATGGCTCACGCCGGTCTCGCCTTCGCTATTTTCGTTCTGTACTTCGCCGGGAAGCTATTGCAAGAGTACCTGAGGCCGATTCAGTGGGCGATTCTCTGCTCGATTCCCCTGAGAGGTATCCAGGAAACCCTTGTCGATTTCTGGAGCGAGCCCTTGAAATTAGGGCTAACGGAAGTCATCCTCGCGGTCCCCGTTTGGGTGTTCAATGTTTTCATCGAATCGATCGTGGACATCAAAAATGTATGCTTTAGGGTTTTTCTTAGGAGATCGAAACCCAAGAGAACGAGGAAGAGGAACGAGACTGGGTTCTCGAAACTGGTCAAATGGTTAGTCTCCTTCTGTGTGTTTGTGATTGCTTACGAGAGAATTGGGGGAATCGGGTCTCTCGTGATCCTCTCTTTAGGGTTTCTCTTTAGTTCCAAGAACGTCGATTCGACTCTCTCTGCTGTCTCTTCCCTGAGGAGTAACAGCTTCAGGCGCAGCCATTTCACTGCTTATTTCACCAGAGGGATAATGAAGAGGCTCAACACAATCGTTGCGATTGGTTTGATTGTGCTCATGATCCTTGGATCCTTGTCTGGTGTCATCTTCTTCTCTTATAAGATCGGTGTCGAAGGGAAAGACGCTGTCTTTTCTCTGAAATCTCACGTGGAAGAGAGCAATTACGCCGAGAAGATCGGGATCAAGCAGTGGATGGATGAGAACGATGTTCCCGGAATGGTTGACATGTACACGACAAAGTTCTATGAGACGGTTTCAGACCAGATCGATAGTTTAGCAACGCAGTATAACATGACGGAGCTGGTCACTGGGATCAAGCATTTCGTGATCGGGCATCCTCAGAACACGTCGACGCCTTCCACCGCGCTTATAGCTCCGTCTCCTTACACCGAGAAGCTCATGAGCTTGAGGACTCGTGTCAAGAACAGAGAATGGAGCCAGATCTACTCGGAGGTCGATGTGATCTTCAGGGAGCTTATAATCACAAGAGAAGACTTGGTTGAGAAAGCTAAAGGCTTTGCTGTTAAAGGCATGGATGTATCGCAACGTGTTTTCTCAAGCAGCGCATCGGTTGTTGGAAGCGGCGCCAAGTTCGTTTTCTCTATAGGAAACTTGATCATCTCGGGAGCAGCAGAGTTCTTCAACTTCGTCTCTCAGCTTATGGTTTTCATTTGGGTTCTTTACATCCTAATCACGTCAGAGTCAGGCGGTGTGACCGAGCAAGTCATGAACATGATCCCGATCAACCCGACCGCTAGAGTCAGATGCGTCGAAGTCCTGGACTTGGCCATCTCAGGCGTGCTTTTAGCCACAGCGGAAATCGCGTTCTTCCAAGGGTGTCTCACTTGGCTGCTGTTTAGACTATACAATATACATTTCCTTTACATGTCGACGGTTCTCGCCTTCATCAGCGCTCTGTTACCGATATTCCCTTACTGGGTCGCGACTATCCCGGCCGCGTTGCAGCTCGTGCTAGAAGGAAGATACATTGTTGCAGTGACTCTGTCTGTGACTCACCTTGTGTTAATGGAGTATGGTGCTTCAGAGATTCAAGATGATATTCCAGGGTCTAATGCTTACATCACTGGACTAAGTATTATTGGTGGAGTGACTCTGTTTCCTTCTGCTCTCGAGGTAACAAGAACAAGATTTGATCTTTATGGATTTTCGGAACAAACATTGGCGATTTTGTAATGTGTTTTGTTGCAGGGAGCGATAATGGGACCGTTGATAACGACGGTGGTGATTGCGTTGAAGGATCTGTATGCAGAGTTTGTTCTGAATGAACCGAAGAAGATCAATTAGCTGTTTATTGGTTTATTTAATAGAAGCTTTGAAGTGCTTCTGCCATGGCTGCTTTGTGTATGGAGAAGAATCGTGTAGATTAGTGGAGAGGGAGAGAAAAAAAACTAAACTGTTGATTGTTTCAAGTGTGTTTTTGTTTTTTGATTTGGGAATGTAATTTATTATATAGTGTGCAGAGAGATGATATGTGTAGCATTAAATTCCAATTGTTGTCGTCTCTGTTGTATTGTATGAGATCTGATTCTTTTGGTACCCGTGTAAAGTTTTTTTGGCTATTTTTATTTATTTTTCCTTTGATATTTAAGGTTCTACCGAAGACAAGATGAGTTGAAAGAAATGCTACTGTAATATACAATCAAAGTTACAATTGTACATATATGCGGTTGTAATTGTGTGATATTACAAATTTATTATGTTGACAAATGACAAATCGAATAGTAATATTTTTGATGTAAAAGTTTTATGCATAATTAAAATTTCTAAACGCCAGATATCCAACTAGCTGTAGAATAGATACAAATCAAATTTATAACAGAAAAACAATATATCTGCTGCACTCAAACGTAGCCCAAAACCCTGGATTAAAAAGCATACATATTCTAACGCCATAACGACAACTTTATCTTAAGCACATATCAAAAACAAGTAAATATTTAAGGGGCTTTTACTTATTTTACCCCTTTTAAAGACTTTTTTTTTGGGGGGGGGGGGGGGTCTGGATTTATCACTTTTTCGTTTATGTCTATACAAACTCGTTCACCATCTATGTTTCCGAACACTCGTTTGATCACATTAGTGCACTAAAACTTGTCCATATAAATCTACCACCCAAAAATTTGCTCATGAATTATTTGCTTATAATTGTAACTCGCAAGTAAAAAATGTACTAGTATAATATGTGTAGTTGTTTAGTTGAAAATGGACCAATATAGTACTTGCCAATTTTCGTGTTAGGTTTTTACTGATAGATTTTATGGACAATATTTGCTAGACCAAAACATATGATGGAACTAATATGAAGTGGCAATTTCTAATATCATTTTGTGAAAGTGGAACAAATACAAAAGTTAAGTAGAAGGTTGAAATGAATGAGTAAACTTTTTTTCTATTTTTAATGATAATGAAACCAAAAACAAAACAAGATGATAATCATGATACTATAACAAGGTTAAGAGGGCTCGAAGCCCAATCAAAATATCAATCAAACTAAGCCTTTTGTCAAAAAAAAAAATTATCAATAAAACCCTGGCTTGAGGGGCATATTCTTACTAAAGAAATTATAAATCCATTTTTATATATAAAAAATAATCCATAACTATTACGAGAAAAGAACAGAAGAATAGGAAGTTGTAGTATCAAATTATTGGAGAACAGACACGGTACTGTGTTAGTGATGTCGGGAGTATAATAATAACACCAAAAGAAGCGAGTCAGAGCCGTGTGGCAAAACTGATAATTGGGATTTCAACCTTACAATAATCCACATACTCGTGAGAAGCCACGTGTCATGCTTTGATGTTTTCTTGGAATTGTTTTCTTTTGTTTTCAGCAAAATAAATAAATATTGATGGGTCAACTTCATGGAGATTTTTCTTCTGTTTAAGTTAGTATTTTCTCCATTGGTCCTCGAATTGTCGACGAGACCGACATACATATACAAAACATGATTTATGGTCGACGATAAAAGAAGAAAGAACTTTGAATCTGGATTAACGTCATGAAATTATAATTTATACTATTAAATATCTCTATTCTACGTGTAGGTCGTAGAGTATACATGGCGTGACTTTATTATATGTTTAATTACAAGGTGTAATGGGGTCATTAAGACGATCTAGAAACGTAATCCCTTTTTGGCTTTAGTAATTTACTTATCAATTAAAATAGGTTTTTGTCTTTTCGACAGTAGAAATAATTTTGGATTTTTGTGTTGTCAATGTCAACTTTCCGTACTTACTATTTCAAGATATATACCATACGTCTCCCATACATATCAGTTTATCTTATTCAGTATATTCCCAGTCTCGGAAAGTTGAGCTTGTACTTATTGGTATGTGAATGGTGTCTGTCGAATACATTATATAAACTATAAGTCAAAAGATTCTAATGATAGATCATCCAGAACCACAAGACTAATAAGCAGTAGTATTATTGTAGCCTTGTAGGATAATAATAAATCATTTAATACATAGATGAAGAACCAAATTTTGTCTTGATTAGTATACCTTTAACATATACGTATGCAGTATTCGGCAGGATTACTTTCAAAATACAAAACCCTCGATGGATCCCTTTTTTTTCTTTTGATTTGAACCCTCGATGGATCTTGCAACGATATCTAAATAAAGTATATACTATATTGGCAACATAATCTGTTGATATAAAAAAAGGCAACATAATCTCAAAAGAGTTAGACATATATAGTAAAATTAAAAAGATTTGGTTGAAATTGTTTGTTTGTAATCATAAGTTTTTCTTCCATCGGAACAATATTAGGATCATTATGTTCATTATAACAGTTTAAATGTAAGTGTAACCAAGGTATGTCTTTTTAAAATTTCGCTTTATAAAACAAATATATAACTGAAACTTTACCATTAAGCGTTAAAAAACCAGTTACATTTTGAAGAAAAAAACAAAACATTCATATCACGTACACGAACACGACAAACTCTTTTTGTTATTTAACTAGAAAATGGATTGTTGATTTTTTACTTTTTTTTTTCTAATGCTACCATACTAAAAGATAACGAGTGTGTTTGGTAATCCTTTCTATCATTTTTAAAAGTTATCAATCACGATAAAGATAAAGAAATTAACAATATTGAAACATTGATCATATACTTATGTTATCTCGATTTTACCACACTATTTTTCTTACAGTTACAGTGTTACTTCTTCTGAATATTTTGGTATGGTTTACTATTTTGTTATTAAAAATTTACCGTTTTTTCACTAATCAGATTCAACTAAAGATTTTTTTTGTATATCTTAATTAAACTTTACCGATCAAAAATCAAGTGTTCTTAATCTTTTCTGTTTTTTGTTAAAGATGGATACGAAAATATGTTTAATTTTAATTTTATGTATAACTCAAAAAATTTACACCAACAAAAACAATGTCAAATCCGCGATCTATCAGAGCATATGAACTTTGACCAAGAGCCTCCGACATCAACTGAACGTTCTAGAAATTTAATTTCTTAGTTCATTCAAAATTGGTTTATCTTATAGTATTATTCTTGACCACTGTTATATATAATTCGACAAAAATAAAATCAAAGTGGGACAATAAAAACACGTTGAGAAAAGAGAGAAGGATGGGCCCACTCTTCAACGTAGATGATAGAAACTCTTTTGGTTGAGATTAGTTAGCCAACCCATTCCCATCCCCCACTCCTTCTATAGTTTCCATTCCCTCCCGCCACTTATTAAATTTTGTTGTCAAAATTAGTAATTTACGTATTATTCATTCAATAAATATTCAAAAGAACGTGTGTATATTATATATATAAGATTTAACCAAATTTTGTTGCAACAAGATTTTTTTTGGATTTTCGATACATACGCTTTTTATGCTCTCGACCTGCCTTTTAGTGATTACATGCATTCTCGCCTGCAAAAAAATTCGAATTTAGATACTTAATTAATTTCCTCCCAAAAACATGTAAAATATTCGTGTTGCATTATTTATTTTTGTTTTGGGTCGAAATGATACATTAAATTCAAAATATTTCTTTTGGTAAAAAATATAAGATATATGAATATGTATCGAGTTAAGTATGTAAATTCATTGAATTAGATACTACTAACCAATTAAAAAAAAGTTTGTATGGGTTGTCTATATTGGGAAACTATAAATGAAATTTTTCTGTTATAACAAAAAGATTGATAAGGTGAATTGATGACTTCATCAAGATGTTCTTCTTATCCATTTCTTTTCAAAAAGAAAACAGTATATAATAATAATAAATACAAAATAAAAACAAAAATCTAATAAAATATCATCCCTTGGCTCTCAATTCTAGAGAGAGAGAGAGAGAAACAGAGAAGAGAGAGAGAGGGGTCTGCTTTGGCGGTTGGAAGCAGCAGTTGCTATCAGAACATTGCTTCATAAACAAAATCTCAGGTGTGTTAGATTAGGCCAACGGTTATCTTCTCTCTTCTTCTTCTCCTTCCCTCTGCGTTTGATTTCTTCAAACCAAAGCAAAAAACACAAAACATAACACAAGAAGAGTAAACAATTCTTTTTATAGTTTGATTCTTGGTCGCCATCTCTCGCCCAACCTCACCTTCTCTGACATAATCACAACACCTTCCTTTTCTTCTTTGTGATCATCTTCTTCCTCTCAATCTTCCCCCTTTATTAAAACCGTGACCTCCCTCTAAAGTTTGTTTTCATTTCACTCTAAAATCCCTTTTCATTTTTTTTTCTTTACTTTTTTCCTTTGTTTCGATTGGAAATACTAAATTAGGTTAAGGGCTCGTGGTAAAATTAAATTTCTGTTTGTTAGAACAGATTTATCTCCTTTTTGTGTGTGTGTGTGTGTGGAATCGTGAAGTTCGTGTACGGAGCTGAGTTTACCTTTTTGATGGTTGCAGATAAAGGTATCTGAAATATATTCCTTGTGTTTTTATTATTGTTGTGCCATGAAAATTTCGTGACTTTTTATTGAGTTTCTAATATTGTTAGGTGTGTTTCATGATCTTTTTACCTTATATACCTCAAGTTCCATGTGCATGCTCACAACTTATAAACTTTCAGAAAACTTGATTCTCTTTGTACGATTTTTTTTTTCTTTGCAGAAATCTGATTATATTTATATAAATCTTGAAGGCTTGGAAAAAGTTCCAATGAATACTCGTTACTCCGTTCAGCCTGAGGCATCTTCTAATAACATCTCCATCACTATTTCATCATCTTCTTCGTTGAATACTACCACACCACGAGGCGATAATAGTCATGTGGTTGTAGCAGCTAGTAATGCTCAAGAAAGGTCTCCACCTTCGTCCTACATAAGATTGGCTATGAGGATATCTAGAGCTAGATGGTTCATCTTCTTGAGAAGAGTGTTTCATTACCAGAACGGATCAAGATCCGATCTTGGGTCTAACCCTTTCAACTCGAGCACTTGGATGATGTCTGAGCTCATTGCTCTGCTTGTTCAGCTCACTGTGATAACATTCACACTAGCTATCTCCAAAGACGAAAGACCAATATGGCCTGTAAGGCTATGGATTACAGGGTATGATGTTGGATGTCTCCTTAGTCTCATGCTGTTATATGGTCGATATCGTCAACTAGGCGTTAACCAAGGAAATGGGTTTGTCCTCGGTGATATTGAGCAGCAACAGAGAGGCAGAGAAGACAACAGGTAACTCCCAAAAATCTTATCTTTTGTCAGATTCTGAATCCCAAAACTTTTGCAAGATCTTGAAGTTGTATTAACGTTTTAAAAACTCTGTAATTTTCCAGGAGCTCTCATTTGATGAACAAATGCAGAACATCGCTAGAGCTTTTCTTTGCGATTTGGTTTGTGATTGGGAATGTTTGGGTGTTCGATTCAAGATTCGGTTCTTTCCACCATGCTCCTAAGCTTCATGTTCTCTGCGTCTCTCTTCTAGCATGGAACGCTCTCTGCTATTCGTTTCCCTTTATCCTCTTCCTGTTCCTCTGTTGCCTTGTCCCTCTCATCAGTAGCCTCCTTGGATACAACATGAACATGGGATCTTCAGACAGAGGAGCATCAGATGACCAAATTTCTAGTCTCCCTAGCTGGAAACACAAACGAATCAACGACAATGCTTCTGATTCTGATTCAGATTCGGCTCCTGCAACCGATGATCCAGTAAGTCCTAATCTTTTTACTCACTTAATCAAAGCCAAACCCTAAAAGGTTTCTTAGGACAGTAGATCTTAGTTTGGAAAAAATCTTGACATCACTATCACACAATAGGCGTCACAGATTAAACTAGTCTCGGTTTAGCACTAATCCAATAGTGTTAAAACGGAAAAAGGATCAGGTTTACTCTGTGATGACTCTGTTTGTTCGACTAGGGATTCTTTTGTGGAATGTTGTGTATTGGTCTAAATTAAGATTGAAAAGGTCTAGATATTGATTTGATTTGATTTTTGATTTGCAGGAGTGTTGTATATGTTTGGCCAAATATAAAGACAAAGAAGAGGTAAGGAAGCTTCCATGTTCACATATGTTTCACCTAAAGTGTGTAGATCAATGGCTTCGAATCATCTCTTGCTGTCCTCTCTGCAAACAAGATCTTCCAAGATAGAAAAGCATAAAACCCTAAAAGCATACAAGAGATTATATGAGTCAAAATCTCTGATTAAGTTCGATACTTTTTCTTTTTTGGTTTCTTCTCTCAAAAGGTTTTTAATTTCATTTTATTTTATTTTCATTTGAAGCAAGTCGGTTACTTGTGTGAGTGTCAACAAATTTGTACAGAAAGAGCTCACCAGTAATCGGTAAGTACATTGTGAGGAGATACAAATCACAATGCTACAACATTTATAGAATCTTGATTTAGTGTTTTATACTTTAAAATACATGTTTCTTTCTCTTCATCCCTTGTATTAGTTTTCAATTTATATACTATAAAAGCATATATTACTCAAATAAACTTTCACTAAAAACTACTATCAGATTCATAGTATCTGGATCTTCAAATGCGCATTTGAAGATGACTTTGATAAATTCGAAATAATTTTTGTCTATACTTTTCTTTTTAATAATGTACATAAATACAAATACCTGACTTTCATGTCTGATATAAAGTTTGAGTCTTTGAGATGACTTTGACTTCAAACAATCTGAGGTGTTTTAATTTGGGTTTGATTCTAAGGTCGTCCCCATCCTAAAAATAGGTACAGAACCAACAAAAAACAGTAAAATGTTTTGGATTAATTTGTCTAGTTACAAGATTTTCAAATTAGACAGTTATGGATTTTCGGTTTTGCGGTTAGACAAAAGATTCCTTTCAACATATTTTCACTAATCAAATTTGCAACCATGCACAAATGTGTAAGTATGTAACCATAAAAAGAAGAATATAACCACCAAGTCAAATATTTTACCCTAATTATTCTTCTTTCTTCTAGAATACTAACCACCAGAATCTTTTAAAAAAGTAGTTTGTTAACAACCTGCAACAACTATTTTTAGATGCCTTCTCTCACAAGTCACCATATAATTACCACTGCTCCATTCCCATGAAACAACAACAACAATACAAACAACCATTCTTTGTTTTCATCAAAACCAAGGCGAGAAAAAACCCTTCATCCCTAATTCTCAGAGATACTATGGCGGAGGAGAGTATTCCGTAATTTTAGCCAAGATAAATTCCAAACCTTCCGGTGGTTCCACAGTTGAACCGATCAAGAAACAGAGCCAGGACCAAAACTCACCGAGCTTACGTCGTTGGGGCTCGTCCTCCGGTTCCGCTAAACCGGGGAGGCAAAATTGCCTATGTTCTCCGACGACACACGCTGGTTCTTTCAGGTGCAGGCACCACCGCGCCGATTCTTTGACACGTGTCGGATCTGTTGGGTCGAACCTCGCTGTGTTATTGTCATCCAAGTCGAGCCGGTTTAGTGACTCCCTCAAGGCTCAGTAAAACGGTTTTACCGTGTTTGCTCGGTATAATAAGTGACGGTTTTGTCATTGTTTATTTTCTATTGGCATTGTTCAATAATGTATACTAAACCGACTGAAATCGACCTTTAAACCGATTCAAGCTACCGAGTTAATTTATATTCGACTAAAATATTTATACGCTTTATCAATTAAGATTCCATTGACCAAAAAAAAACAAAAATCAATTAAGATTCCATTTCTGCTATCACGATACCAAAAATAGAGAGAATATGGGTTTTCTCAATTAGACTGAATCAAAATTTAACTAATAATACTCTTTGTACAAAAATGAAATACCTCGAATGTAGTATATTTAGGAAAAAACAATAAATCATTGGAAAAAAAAGATATTAAGTATCATCAATATCATTAGTTGATTATGAAATTTCATCTCATAGATGATAGTTAAAGATTCTCATTATAGTCTAACCTTGGTATTTAAAATATAATGAGAATTTAATTTTACTGCATTTTTAAAAGAATATTTGATTATGTAATCTATTATAAATTTTATTAAAATTTGGAGTATAATAATTTTTTTATTTAAATTTAGCACGTAAAAATTAATGATGGATTACGCGCCAAATTTGAATGAAGTGAAGAGTTTATAGCATATATTTTTAACAAATCAAAGCTTTTGTTTATGATTCGAAAATCAATAAATTAATCAGATGTTAAAAATAAAAACCAAATCGAGTTTTGGAGGAAAGAAACCAAACCAAGAGATGAACGATACCATAGAGAGCCAATATAGGAAGCCTCGACGAAAACAGCGTTTAAGACAGCGCATAATGGACACAAACGCGACGTGTGTGTGATAAGTTTGTTAACCTTCTTCTTTAAACACTCTCCTTCGCGGCTTAACAACTGTATATCAACAGGTTTATTTTATTAACCATATTTAATAAATGCTAAAAGGTTTATTTTATTTTGATTTATTTTTTTGTATGGATTTTTTTTATAGATATATATTTAAAAGATTTCTCAGGTTTTTTATTTGTCCTCTCCAACTTTCTCTGCTTACAGGATCGTCTCCTCTCTCACCTTACCAATCTCCAGCTTCAACCGCCAAGAGCCGCCTTGAGATTGAGAATCAAGCTACGAAATCGGTAAAGTTTTATTCTTTGGATTTCTCTTTCGCGAAAAACAATTCAATTCCTCTACTGATTCTGAGTTACAATAACGTTGTGATTCTATCTCTGAGCTTTACGAATCCGTTTTTTGTTGTAAATGCGAATCGTGCGATTTTGGGATCTAGATCGGGTTTTTGCGTACGCTAGATTGATTTAGCAAAGTAGGACATGCTTCGATTGAATTCGTCTTGATTGTATAAACCCGATTTCATATGAATCTCTTTACTCGCAATCGCAATTGGTATTTTCAATTCCGATGATTTTAGATTTTTTTATAAAAATGTTAAATATTTCATATATTTGTTGGGACAATTTGATTAACTCGTTAAATCTGTTCCATAGCTGTGATGTTTAAGGAAGAGAAAGAATAAATTTTGGTTAGTGCTTGAGTGGGAATTAGACTTTAGATATATTGTCCATTATTATTTTCTTATCTCTTTAATATTTTGTCAAGGATATTCTTCGTTTCTGTTTATGTGGACATAAGTAATCATCTGATAATTATGACAATGACTCGTGTTTCTAGTTTGTAAGCAATGTGTTTACCTTTATTGACTTGAGATTATAACATTACTCGAATCTTTGTCTGATCGTATCTAAAAACTTTTCAAGTTGTATCTTATGCTGCTGTGAGCCAAAAAGATTAAAGTGATTTCATCTCATCCCCTTTTACATTACAGATAACCACCATTCTCAGACAATATTAGGAAATGGTTAAAAGGTGATTTTTATTATACACTTGTTTCATATGCTTCTATAGAGTTTACACTCGACAAAACTTTCTCAGTGTTTGATTGTTTTACAGGCATGGAGCGTTTTGATTTGCTGAAGATATCATGGCGCAGTGCATAGACGGTTTCAAGCATCTATGCTCTTCTGTTTTAGGGTGTTTCGATCTCGATTTGTATAAGCAATCTGGAGGCCTTGGAGACCCTGAGTTGCTTGCGAGAGACACAGTTTGTATGCTATCAGCTTCTCTAAATCTTGTTCTATTCGGTTTATATGATTTCTAAGGAACACCATTAGAGGAATGATGATTGAATTTTTGTTTTATGTTGCAGTTAGTGTGAGTGAAATCGAAGCTCTTTATGAGCTGTTCAAGAAAATCAGCAGTGCCGTGATCGATGATGGGCTAATAAACAAGGTAAAAAAAGTTTGTCTGATCTTTTTATTGCTCATTAGTTACTTGTAGACACAATCTGTCACAATTACTCATCGCTTGTTAACTTTTTTTGGTAACAGGAAGAGTTTCAGTTGGCTTTGTTTAAGACGAATAAAAAAGAGAGCTTGTTTGCAGATCGGGTAATGTTTCTTTCCGAATCCCATTTTTGGTTAAAGATCAAGTTGAAAAAGTAAATGGTGACATGTGTGATTTTTGGTTTGTAGGTTTTTGATTTGTTTGATACAAAGCATAATGGAATACTAGGGTTCGAGGAGTTTGCCCGTGCTCTCTCCGTATTTCACCCAAATGCGCCTATAGATGACAAAATCCACTGTATGTCTATTCCCTGATAACTTTGAAAAAAAATATTCCCCATTGATTTGGTTTCAAGTTCATGGTATATATGTATATATTGTGTTTTGCAGTTTCATTTCAGCTATATGATCTTAAACAGCAAGGGTTCATCGAACGGCAAGAGGTAAAGCTTGTATAGGGTTTCAAATAGCTTTATGGATACTTCTGTGTGAAACTGCGCTTTATCGTCCTCACCTACAATTGTTCCAGGTGAAACAAATGGTTGTAGCTACGCTTGCTGAATCCGGAATGAATTTGAAGGATACTGTCATTGAGGATATAATCGACAAGGTAATTAAGTCAGTTACTTTTTTTTTTCTTTTTTTTCTTGACACAATATCTATCGTTGAAAGTTAATTTGCCGAGTTTTGATTTTTGTTCAGACGTTTGAGGAAGCAGACACAAAGCACGATGGAAAGATCGATAAGGAAGAGTGGAGAAGCCTTGTTCTTAGACATCCCAGCCTTCTCAAGAACATGACTCTTCAGTATCTCAAGTGAGTTTCTATCAATGTAACCGGGATTGAATCTGTACAACATTAATTGCTTCTCTGGTTTCTTTTATTCTTCTCGATGATGTGTAATAAATGAAGATCTTGATCTTGTTGTGTGCGTGTGCTTGCAGGGACATCACAACTACTTTTCCAAGCTTTGTGTTCCATTCTCAGGTTGAAGATACCTGAAGACAAAAAAAGCAAAGCAGCAAGACTTTTATGGGTTTTTGTTGTTCATTTGTTTCATTGAGCTTTTTTTTTGTGAAGCAATATACAAACTTCATTTGTTTCTCTTAAACTCATTTGTTTTCTATTGAGCTTTTTTTTGTGAAGCAAAATTCTTTTCGATTTCGCATCTTCATCAGGCCTATTTGTAGATACAACTTTTGCATCTTGATATGATATGTAAAGTTTATAAGTGTATTGATACAACCAGGTAAAGGGGTTTGCTATGTTTTTGTTATTTGAGGAATTGGGAAAAGAATAAACCCAAA